AGAATCTGGATAACCTTAATTAGATGTTGTAAAACAAGTAATTAATAATAATGAAAATCTTAATGAAATTTAAGATAACTAAGTCTAAGAATAATAATTGGAATAAATAATCTAATAGAAATCTGGATAACCTTAATTGGATGTTGAAAAAGAAATAATTATTAATAATGAAAATGTTATTGAAATTTAAGATAACTAAGTCTAAGAATAATAAGTTGAATAAAATATTTAATTAGAATCTGGATAACCTTAATTGGATGTTGAAAAAGAAGTCATTATTAATAATGAAAATGTTATTGAAATTTAAGATAACTAAGTCTAAGAATAATAAGTGGAATAAAATATTTAATAAGAGTTTGGATAACCTTAATTAGATGTTGAAAAAGAAGTAATTATAAATAATGAAAATGTTAATGAAATTTAAGATAACTAAGTCTAAGAATAATAAGTTGAATAAAATATTTAATTAGAATGTGGATAACCTTAATTGGATGTTGAAAAAGAAGTAATAATTAATAATGAAAATGTTATTGAAATTTAAGATAACTATGTCTAAGAATAATAAGTGGAATAAAATATTTAATTAGAATCTGGATAACCTTAATTGGATGATGAAAAAGAAGTTATTATTAATAATGAAAATGTTATTGAAATTCAAGATAATTAAGTCTAAGAATAATAAGTTGAATAAAATATTTAATAAGAATCTGGATAACCTTAATTGGATGTTGAAAAAGAAGTAATTATTAATAATGAAAATGTTAATGAAATTTAAGATAACTAAGTCTAAGAATAATAAGTTGAATAAAATATTTAATTAGAATCTGGATAACCTTAATTGGATGTTGAAAAAGAAGTAATTATTAATAATGAAAATGTTAATGAAATTTAAGATAACTAAGTCTAAGAATAATAAGTTGAATAAAATATTTAATTAGAATCTGGATAACCTTAATTGGATGTTGAAAAAGAAGTAATTATTAATAATGAAAATGTTAATGAAATTTAAGATAACTAAGTCTAAGAATAATAAGTTGAATAAAATATTTAATTAGAATCTGGATAACCTTAATTGGATGTTGAAAAAGAAGTAATTATTAATAATGAAAATGTTAATGAAATTTAAGATAACTAAGTCTAAGAATAATAAGTTGAATAAAATATTTAATTAGAATCTGGATAACCTTAATTGGATGTTGAAAAAGAAGTAATTATTAATAATGAAAATGTTAATGAAATTTAAGATAACTAAGTCTAAGAATAATAAGTTGAATAAAATATTTAATTAGAATCTGGATAACCTTAATTGGATGTTGAAAAAGAAGTAATTATTAATAATGAAAATGTTAATGAAATTTAAGATAACTAAGTCTAAGAATAATAAGTTGAATAAAATATTTAATTAGAATCTGGATAACCTTAATTGGATGTTGAAAAAGAAGTAATTATTAATAATGAAAATGTTATTGAAATTTAAGATAACTAAGTCTAAGAATAATAAGTTGAATAAAATATTTAATTAGAATCTGGATAACCTTAATTGGATGTTGAAAAAGAAGTAATTATTAATAATGAAAATGTTAATGAAATTTAAGATAACTAAGTCTAAGAATAATAAGTTGAATAAAATATTTAATTAGAATCTGGATAACCTTAATTGGATGTTGAAAAAGAAGTAATTATTAATAATGAAAATGTTAATGAAATTTAAGATAACTAAGTCTAAGAATAATAAGTTGAATAAAATATTTAATTAGAATCTGGATAACCTTAATTAGATGTTGAAAAAGAAGTAATTATTAATAATGAAAATGTTATTGAAATTTAAGATAACTAAGTCTAAGAATAATAAGTTGAATAAAATATTTAATTAGAATCTGGATAACCTTAATTGGATGTTGAAAAAGAAGTAATTATTAATAATGAAAATGTTAATGAAATTTAAGATAACTAAGTCTAAGAATAATAAGTTGAATAAAATATTTAATTAGAATCTGGATAACCTTAATTAGATGTTGAAAAAGAAGTAATTATTAATAATGAAAATGTTATTGAAATTTAAGATAACTAAGTCTAAGAATAATAAGTTGAATAAAATATTTAATTAGAATCTGGATAACCTTAATTGGATGTTGAAAAAGAAGTAATTATTAATAATGAAAATGTTAATGAAATTTAAGATAACTAAGTCTAAGAATAATAAGTTGAATAAAATATTTAATTAGAATCTGGATAACCTTAATTGGATGTTGAAAAAGAAGTAATTATTAATAATGAAAATGTTAATGAAATTTAAGATAACTAAGTCTAAGAATAATAAGTTGAATAAAATATTTAATTAGAATCTGGATAACCTTAATTGGATGTTGAAAAAGAAGTAATTATTAATAATGAAAATGTTAATGAAATTTAAGATAACTAAGTCTAAGAATAATAAGTTGAATAAAATATTTAATTAGAATCTGGATAACCTTAATTGGATGTTGAAAAAGAAGTAATTATTAATAATGAAAATGTTAATGAAATTTAAGATAACTAAGTCTAAGAATAATAAGTTGAATAAAATATTTAATTAGAATCTGGATAACCTTAATTGGATGTTGAAAAAGAAGTAATTATTAATAATGAAAATGTTAATGAAATTTAAGATAACTAAGTCTAAGAATAATAAGTTGAATAAAATATTTAATTAGAATCTGGATAACCTTAAAATGATAAAGATTTGAAACATATTTCAAAAGAAAGAATTTACTAAATATAAGATGATATTACTGATTACATTCCTACTTAGTAATTAACACCTCATCTTAACGATCCTTCTAAAAATTAAAAATTATTTTCTAAACTGGATGTTCCAAGTCCTATAGATAAATAATAAAAGATTACGTCAATTTCTAACATTTTGCAAAATGAATTTTCTTAAGATATTAGAGAAGATTCATCATTTTTCGCTGAGATGGATTAAAAATCAAAAGTTTTGCCAGGATATTAAGATTTAACTTTTAATAGTAGGAAAAAATTGATCAATACAAATATATAAGTTAATTATAGATCTGATCAAGGAAAAGAAAAAATTATCGAATTAGAGACTATGAGCTTAATTTTTGATGGATGCAAAGAAATAATTGCTGAGGATTATGTTATTTACTTAGAAAATGTCAGAAAAATAAGAAGACTATCATTAAGTTAAAAAAAGTTCAACGAATACATATAATTTGTTTTATAAATGGCAGAAGATTAATTTAGGATTATTTAAGATGGATTTAGTTTAATTGCACAGAGTTTAAATATAAGTGAGGAAGTATTTTCAAATTCTTTTGTATTTTATTCATAGCATGAGGAATATGGAAAAGAATTTGTAGAATAATTAACATTTGTTTAACAAAATCTGAAAGATATTCCTTAAATTAAGATTTCCTTAAGGAAACAATAAGGTCTGGAACTTATGAAATATTAGATAGATGTTATAGAAAATTATACAAAGCATGAGTATTTTGGTGAAATTTTATAGCTGTTTTATGTATTTATTTGCAATCAATATTTAGGAAATGGAAGATATTTAAGAAGCTGCTCCAGTTCTATTAAATACTTTGATTGATGATATAATCTATGAAAAATATGGCTATGAGGAGGAGGATAAAATTCAATTTATGAGTACAATATAAGTTCTATTAATAGAAAAATTCCATAATGACAGAGAAGTTAAAAATTTACAAGCACAATTAGACCATTTGATTGAAGCTTTATTCAATGTTGAATTGGAATGATTATTTTTAAATTTACAAACATAGAAAAGTATTTTTATTTTCAATTTAATAAAAATCAGTATTCGTCATGTTGATTAAAGAAACAATTTTAATCATAAAAATAGTAAAAGTAATTTATATTAAATCATTAAAAAATTCAACCAATTTTTTAATTATTGAAGAGTTTAAAATTGTTGAGGTCAAATAGAATTCTAAATTATTAATAATAAATTACTAATTTAATATATTAATTGAATAATATTTGTCTAATAATTTTCAATTTTAAATCTATAAGTTGAGATCATTAAAATAAATTATTTAATGTTTAATATAAAGAAAAAATCACAATTAGTTCATGAGTTCTAAATATTATTATTGGTTTTTGTAAAATAATTCCATAATCCTTTATAATTTTGTTTGTTAGATAATTTATTAAATTATTTTCATCATTAACCCAATCATTAATTTTTATAAATTATTTTTTCAAAGATATAATTATTTTTTATCAAAAAATTTTATATAATTAGCAAAATTGATTTGTAAAATTAACAAACAAATGAAGAATGAAAATCAATAAGATTATAACATGATAATATAAATTTAAATTAATATTAATTATAGTAATCATTTAAATGTCTGATGTGTTGTTTGTTGAAATAAGCAATTTGAGCAATTGATTCAATTTTCAGAGTAGTTAGATAATATAAAGTATGGTTTTGATGATAAAGAAATCCATTTAAAAAAAAGAAATCATTAATATGTATTAATTAAAGTATTTTTAACGAATATTAATTAAAATTAATGATCCCAGGAGGAGTATTTTCACAGTGTTTGCTTGAAATAAAGGAAAATTGTCCACCTTTGAAACACGTGAACTACAGCCATAAAAAATCATTTAAACATAGTTTAGAGTCAATCACTCAAAAGATTCCAATAGTTAAATCAATACACAAACTCCGTTTAGATTAGGAATAGAAAATATACTAGAATATTCACAAAGTTAAGAAATTGAATTTAATGCATGAAATAAATAAAGTAAATCCAAAATTGCATAATGAGTTAAAATAAATTTAGCATCATCAACTGACTCTAAAATTTGGTATAGAATGATAATATAAAAGCTGAATACAAACAATAGCAAGAATAATATGCTGAGTTGTTATCGGATACTCAAGATAGTTATATTAAGTATTAACAATAATTAGATCATCATGGATCAGGATTAAAGATATTTCAAAACAAGCCTCTCATTCGTAATATAATGGAAGAATACGATTAAGAAGATAGTAATTACAGTGATTCATACATCAATAAATATTTGGATCTTAATTGAGTATTATATAATTAATTGACCTAATAATAAATATGCGAACAAAGTTTCACACTCTATCTATGCCTTAAAAATAGAGCATTTTATAATCTGAACATTCAGATGAATATCAAAACAAGAAATAGGCTAACAACTCAAATTATTCTAAGTTAAGATTAGATGATTTAATTATTGATAAACCTTAAGAATTTAGAATCAAAACAAGTTCTGATATCAAAATGTCATAAATATTAATTAATAAACGACTTTTAGCTTAGTCTACTAATATAGAATGGATGTATACTTACAAATCTACTGCCAAATTGCATAAATAATCTAAAATGAGTGAATATTTAAAGTCAGTTATTGAAGAAACTAAATTAAAACCAAGTTTAGGATAATTACCTTTTGTAAAAATACCATATCTCACTCACAGTGATATTATAAAAGAAAAGTATGATTTTAGAAAGAAAATATTTTAAAATCCTAGGAAAATAAGACCAAAATTCAAATGATTGTACGTTTATATTTATTTTAATATTAAATCTCATAATTTAATATGACTAGATAAATTATATCTTAAAAACAAGTTATATTTATTGGTAGAGTATTTTTACTATCCTTTTAAGATTGACTCTGAAGCCACTTGATAACAGAAAATTATAATGAATTGTAATTAAATTATAATTATTGAATAATTCCAGAGTTAATATCATAAGTTAGATGACGAATATTATAAATCATACATTATATTGAATTAAGTTAATTTCTTCAGTTATTATGGCATAATCATATTATTTTTGATCAACATTCAAAGTCAACTTATCTATTTGCTACATTAAATTTTGTATTTATGAATCAATTAACAGTTTTTCTTATTGAACCCCCTTTAATTCCCGTATCTAAATAAATAGATCAACAATTTTTTAAAGATCCCCTTTAAGTTGATTTTTGAGTTAAACATTTTCATCAAACAAATGTTTGTATGTTTTTAATTTTGATCTAATTTAATTTTTAAATTCATCTGATTTGGATTCAATAAGATTTTTCTATTACTATAAACTACTATATTGACTGAATAAGATTTGATTATCACATTAAATCTTCATAATTTATTCACTTTAACCTCTGAATTTCTAAAGTAATTATTAAACAGCATAAACAATGGAATCACAATCTTATTAGACATCAAGTAATAAGGATAATTCTTTGACCATTTATTTGTATTATGCAAATTAAACTTCATCAATTTATTTAATGCTTTATCTTGGAGTAATGCTATTATGATTTTTGTATTCCACAGTTGGTTATGGTTGATCAAATCTATGATCTGGATTATTTTGAAATTCTTCACTTTCATCTAGAATGCTGTTTTGCATAACTTATTTATAATCTAATAATATTTTTTATTGTTTTATGCTTGAAGCACTACTCTTACTTAGATTGCTGCTTGTAGGTTATAGTAATTATTATTAAGGTTGTTATTGTAAAAATGGTTATTATTGCTACAACATTACAGGTTGAGGTTATGGTTAAGGTGGTAATTTTTTATGTTAAGGGGAACGAGAAGCTTGATTTTTATTTGTTTAAGGACTACCATAGCGTTTTTTATTAATTGAAGGGTCTGATTTGTTTATAGACATCATAGTATAATGATCAATCCTATTATTAATCATAGGTATTTATTTTGCAGAATTACGTATTTCAGTACATCGCAAAACTATATTCATGATATTGCCATGTTCAAGTTCAATTTTATGAGAAACTTCTTTTCCTTAAACATCATTTATAAGCAATTTAGAACTGCCTAAAAGTTTAATATAGCCTTATTCATCTGGAGTTTCAATGTAAAATTGCAGCTATTAATGATTAACACTTTTCATTTACAAATTTAATGTTCTATGTATCAAAACCATATTGATGAGGCTAGGAATATTTGATAATTTTTTGAGTTTATAAAAACTATTAATACAATATTTCTTTCCTTTCACCTAAATATGTATAAGATATATACCACATTTGACTCCAATGTTGATTTAACAATTACCCAAAACTTATTTTACACTGATTTATAAAATTGATATTTCTAACATTAAATGATAGTTAACAAATATATAATATTTAATATAATATTTTTAATTGAACGATATTTTATATACTTATTAAGATCTATATATACTAACTTGAGATGATTAAAATAATTAATGAATAATTTTATTTTCAGCAATTAAACGAGGTTTATAATATTTTATTTAATAAACTATTAGACCATAAGCTAATATATAAAATTAGAATGAATTGACTACAATAATAATTGACCCATCCACTAGATTATCATAACTTATAATACTTTTAATATTTACTAATGCATATATATTAATTTATACAACTTATTTGATGTTTGATTATGAACTGATAGTATTGATAGTGTTCTATTGGATTATTGATATAATTGTGATTTTAACACTGTCGATATTGAAAATCAAGTTATTATTTAATAATTAAAATAGGTATAAGATTACAGTAGGCAATCTTTTAATCGATACTTTTTTGGCAGCGGTTTTCAAGACTACAATTCTTATCAACTTTACATACTCTGAACTAGATATCCAATATTTTAGTTATGTTATTATGGCATACTATTTCATCAGATCTATGGTAATCAATATTAGAAAAATTGCAGTAAATGAGACCATAACCTAATACTCCTTTGTAAGCTATTATTAATTATATTCTAGCTTGTATAAGGTGTGAAAATCTTATTAGTACTCTAATTAATGCTTATAACTATGAGATGGAAATGCACAATATATTGGAGCTGGTTTACAACATTTAGTATTGCATGGGGTTTATTAGTTATATGTTTTATTGTGCATTTTGTTTTTTTTCTCTCGATTGGTGAAACATTGATAGATTATTATAAAAAAAAGACAACTAAAACATAATTGGTTGGTGGCATTTGGTTAACATACTATTTATGTGGTTTTAGTGGAATTCCAATGTGGTTTTGCTATATAATATGTTAAAATCAAGAAGTCAAAAATTTCCCAACATCTGATTAAGCAACTCTATTATGCATCTTAATAATTTCTTATAATCTTTCTCTTTTAATGATTACAACTATTTGCAAGGCTCAACTTATGTAAATATTATCATCATACTTAATTTTAGATAATTCATTAAAGATATGGGATTCGATACTGAAATTCCTTAAGAACCAATTGTATAAGAATAAAAATTACCTTATCACTTTCTTAGAATATCCTTACCATAAAAATTAATTCAAATATCTTCTACTTACTTTGATTTTGCCTAAGAATCGAATAAATAAATTAAATAATAATAATAACACATATCAAACAGCAATTTCAGTGTTATAAATTAAAAGGCTAGACTCAAAGCTTTTGAATTCATGGCTAAAACTGAATAAATTAATTCTCCAGTTGAAAGGGAATCAGGACTTGTGAAAAGTGAAGAAAAATGTTAGGTTTGTTTTGAAAATGAACCTTAAATTGTAATGCTTCCTTGTTAACATGGTGGAATTTGTGATGATTGTCTTTAAAAATGTCTAAAGAAATCACCCAATTGCTATTTATGTAGAAAGGNTTGATTATGAACTGATAGTATTGATAGTGTTCTATTGGATTATTGATATAATTGTGATTTTAACACTGTCGATATTGAAAATCAAGTTATTATTTAATAATTAAAATAGGTATAAGATTACAGTAGGCAATCTTTTAATCGATACTTTTTTGGCAGCGGTTTTCAAGACTACAATTCTTATCAACTTTACATACTCTGAACTAGATATCCAATATTTTAGTTATGTTATTATGGCATACTATTTCATCAGATCTATGGTAATCAATATTAGAAAAATTGCAGTAAATGAGACCATAACCTAATACTCCTTTGTAAGCTATTATTAATTATATTCTAGCTTGTATAAGGTGTGAAAATCTTATTAGTACTCTAATTAATGCTTATAACTATGAGATGGAAATGCACAATATATTGGAGCTGGTTTACAACATTTAGTATTGCATGGGGTTTATTAGTTATATGTTTTATTGTGCATTTTGTTTTTTTTCTCTCGATTGGTGAAACATTGATAGATTATTATAAAAAAAAGACAACTAAAACATAATTGGTTGGTGGCATTTGGTTAACATACTATTTATGTGGTTTTAGTGGAATTCCAATGTGGTTTTGCTATATAATATGTTAAAATCAAGAAGTCAAAAATTTCCCAACATCTGATTAAGCAACTCTATTATGCATCTTAATAATTTCTTATAATCTTTCTCTTTTAATGATTACAACTATTTGCAAGGCTCAACTTATGTAAATATTATCATCATACTTAATTTTAGATAATTCATTAAAGATATGGGATTCGATACTGAAATTCCTTAAGAACCAATTGTATAAGAATAAAAATTACCTTATCACTTTCTTAGAATATCCTTACCATAAAAATTAATTCAAATATCTTCTACTTACTTTGATTTTGCCTAAGAATCGAATAAATAAATTAAATAATAATAATAACACATATCAAACAGCAATTTCAGTGTTATAAATTAAAAGGCTAGACTCAAAGCTTTTGAATTCATGGCTAAAACTGAATAAATTAATTCTCCAGTTGAAAGGGAATCAGGACTTGTGAAAAGTGAAGAAAAATGTTAGGTTTGTTTTGAAAATGAACCTTAAATTGTAATGCTTCCTTGTTAACATGGTGGAATTTGTGATGATTGTCTTTAAAAATGTCTAAAGAAATCACCCAATTGCTATTTATGTAGAAAGGTATCTTATGTATATTTATAAAGAAAATTCAAAAATTGCTTAGAGTTTCTAAAGAGACTTCTGGGAAATTTGCAATAAATGACATTGCATTATGTGATGCATGAAATTAATACTCTATTAAAATGCGCTTTATTTTATAATTTAAAATTAAATGAGTTTAAAAGAAATAGTTACCATTTAAAACATCTTCGAAGCACTCTAATCTGATGAGGCAGAAAAACAATTAAGAAAAAAGAAATTATTTGCTTTCATTATAGATGCTTCTTAACCAAAAAGACTTTAAGGTTAAGGTGATTACATGTAAATGATTAAAATTATGGATGACTCATATAATGGATATCTAACTCTATTTTATTTTTTCAAATCTCTTTCTGATGCTGCTCCTTTAGATACAATTGGAGATATTGTCTTTCTTAAAAGATATCATTATCAATTATTTAATGGTGAACCTTAAGGAAGAAGAAATAGTTTCAAAACATCATATTTTTTATTATTTGATGCTTCTACATTGCAATTAAAATTCAATCCTAATGATAGTTCATAACCATCCAGCGAAGAATTAGAATATATATAAAAACTTTCACAATATAGTTAATAATATTTATCTTTGAATAGCTGTAAGTTTAATAATATATTTAGTGCTTAATTTATTTTGGTATGGAACTACTAATCCAATATTTGATGGATTGTTTTAGATTAAAGAATTAAAAGAAAATAATATTGTTTTATTAAATGATTCTAAAAATGATCAATATATCTTATTATGTAAAGCATTGGTTGATTTAGAAATACAATAAGGTGCTATTATTAAGATTAGAAATATACAAATGTAATTTCATTCTTTATTACAATTAGTTCCAATGATAATGAGATATTGATTAATGATAAATCAAATATTATGATGTTGCCTAATTTTTGTTATGATGTTTAACATTTTGATGAAATTATTTAAACTTTTCCCAAAATAGATTTTCAAAAGGAAAATTATTAATAAATAACAATAGGATCAAGTAAAACATTAATTAATAAATTTGTTTAGTTACTTAAATTAAGAAAAAATACGAAAATTTATAATATGTTCCTTTAATAAATCTGATAAAAAAATAAGTTCAAGATAATATTATTGTAATATAAGGATAAATTTAAAGCATCTAACCTACTTAAATAGAAGAAGCTTTCATATATTATAATAAATTTAAATCTTTTTCTTACAAAGAAGTCAAAGCAAATAATTTATAAATATCAGGACTTCAAAAAACGTTACAAATATAGATCAATTTAAGAGATGCTTCATTAGAGGGAACAGATTTTATAATTCAAATATTAATTTTTGACAATTCTTCATTCTTTCCATTTCCTATAGTTTGGGATAATATTGAATATATGTAAACTGAATATGAAAAAGTAATGAATATTATGAGATTATTAAGTTACTAGAAAAGCTGATACTTGAATAAGATTAGACACATGATTTTGTTCTAGAAATATTAGATTCCCCTGATACAATCATTTATAGAGTAATTGATACAAAAATAATTTATTGAAATCAAATAAATCAAATATATTGTTGATAATATTAATAAAAATTATATAAAATGGAAGTGTTAAAACTTTATTGTTGTTGTTAGAATCGACAAAATGGCGTTATTAGAATTATAAAAAAAGCTTATTTTTTTTATTAATTAATTAAATGTAAAATCCTAGTATCCTGAATTTACAATAAGTGAAATAGTTTTAAGTTAGAAGACCTTAAATAACGAAAGGTTCTCCTTTATTAAAGGGAAACTAGGTTTAGATTATAGGTAGAGTGTTTATAAATAAGATAGCAAACAATCGTAATTAAAGCTTATTAAGTGATTAACCTTAACACTTAAAAATAAAGTAATAAGAAGAATAAGAATTGTAATTATAAATAATTATAAGATTAGAGGAATACATAATCAATTTGAGAGGAGAATATAAAAGCAAAACTAATTTGATATAAAATAATAAGTAATAAGTCATAAAATAATTTATAGGATAATATATTCTAGTTGAAATTAAGTAATGAGCATTAATTGAATTAATTGAATATGTAATTAATAAAGAAGAATAAAATTCTTAGCAATAGACTTCATTAATAATATAAAGTATTTAAATAATTGCAATAAGATTAATGAATCTTAAATGGAGTAAATAAGTAAATTGCAGGAGACGAATCAAGCATATGAATAACAAATTAATTAATTGGAGGAGAAAATAAAAAAATAGAAGTCGAAAAAGAAATAATTAAAAGAATAGATTGATCAACTTTAATAAGAATTAGATGAGATGTAGGAGAAATATTAGAATCATTCTAATTAAGATATGAATTAAGAAGTAAAAATAAGTAATAGTAAAGGAGGTGCCATAATAACAAAATCATGTTCCTTTAACAAGGTAGTAATTATACTAGTTAATGCAATACTTATATTAAGGAGAATAGTAATAAGTGGATAACTTCCAAGAATATTAGGATTAAGAAATAGATCCAGATGCTATGACTTATGAATAACTTTTAGAATTGGAAGAATAAATTGGGTAGAGTTACTGATTAAATTAGTAATGTACCAAAGGGACTAACCAAATAATAAATTAAACAATTACCAAAAAGGACATTAAATTAAGATAATATACCTGAAGACAAGTAATAAATAGATCATTATTAATAGATGTTCAGTTTGTTTATTTGAATTTAAGGAAGAGGAAAAGGTGCGAGAATTACCTTGCAAACATATATATCATTCTAGTTGTATTAAAAATTGGTTATAGAATAATAAGTAATGTCCATTATGTAAAACTGAAATTGAAATTTAAATAAATGAAAGTGATGATTAGGCCAATTAATAAGATGAATAAGAAGATTAGGATTTTAATTAAGAAGAGTAAGATTAATAATAATCAGAAACAGAATGATTCTTTTATTTTAAATAATTAATATATAAAATTAATCCATAAATTATGCTCATTAAGACTTTTTTTATTATAAAATTCTCTTAATTAAATTCAAAGTCGTTCCAGTTATTATAAATGACAATCCTAAACATAATAAACTAAAAACTATTTATTTCTTTGATATTGATCCTTGTAATTTAGACATAAAATCATATTTCTCTATTAAGAATGATCTCTCTCTTTTTATATCATCTAATAAACCATTTAATTTCTTCATATGATCACCCATTTAATTTAAATCTGATATTTTTGCTACTTTTTACATATCTGCTAATTCAGATCCTGTTTTATATGTTATATTAAATAACACATTTTCATCTTCTAAATTTGTTAAACAATATTTCATATTAGAAACTTTATGATTTGATTAATGTTAATAATTATGTTCCCATAATCCATTTTTTTCATATAATATTACATATTTCTTTGATTCTGCTTCTTCTAGTTTTATTGCATAATTTGATGAATTTGATATTACTCTTAAATCGAATACATCATCTTAAGAAAAATAATCTTGAAAACAAATTTATTATCCTTTCTCAACTTCATAACCAAATTGAACACAGTAAACTATGTCAATTAATAATAGCAAGATCATTTCAGAATAATAATAATATTTTTATGAGAATTAAAATAACTATTTACTAAAACTAAAAAAATTATTATATATAAAATAAAAAAGCTCAATCAACTTTCTTCCTTAGTTGGAATTTTTATTGTTAGATTTTTCTTTTTGTTTACCACAGCTGATGAAAAATTCTTTACTTTTCGTTTTATTGCTATACTATCTTCATCCCCCTTTGGAGAACATTATTATGGATTTGTAGGAGGCCTAGCTTACCTATCAGTTTTGTCTGGAATTTCAACATATGCTTTAGGCATTGGCTTATTATTCAAATTATTAATTGTTCTAATCTTTAGTTTTCTCCATATACAGAATATACCAATCAATAATAAAACGGCTGCTGCTCCTATTATTCCCACAAGCAATACAGTATCACTAATCATTTCTTATTACAATTATTTTAATTATTTATAATTATATATATTCATTATTCAAGTTATTCTAAGACTATTTACTTTATTAAAGATTTCTAAAATTAATCACTTAATTTCATTATTAACCCTAATCTATCATCTTTTGAAAAATACCATTTAAATTCATTTTCTTTGATCTANATGAAAGTGATGATTAGGCCAATTAATAAGATGAATAAGAAGATTAGGATTTTAATTAAGAAGAGTAAGATTAATAATAATCAGAAACAGAATGATTCTTTTATTTTAAATAATTAATATATAAAATTAATCCATAAATTATGCTCATTAAGACTTTTTTTATTATAAAATTCTCTTAATTAAATTCAAAGTCGTTCCAGTTATTATAAATGACAATCCTAAACATAATAAACTAAAAACTATTTATTTCTTTGATATTGATCCTTGTAATTTAGACATAAAATCATATTTCTCTATTAAGAATGATCTCTCTCTTTTTATATCATCTAATAAACCATTTAATTTCTTCATATGATCACCCATTTAATTTAAATCTGATATTTTTGCTACTTTTTACATATCTGCTAATTCAGATCCTGTTTTATATGTTATATTAAATAACACATTTTCATCTTCTAAATTTGTTAAACAATATTTCATATTAGAAACTTTATGATTTGATTAATGTTAATAATTATGTTCCCATAATCCATTTTTTTCATATAATATTACATATTTCTTTGATTCTGCTTCTTCTAGTTTTATTGCATAATTTGATGAATTTGATATTACTCTTAAATCGAATACATCATCTTAAGAAAAATAATCTTGAAAACAAATTTATTATCCTTTCTCAACTTCATAACCAAATTGAACACAGTAAACTATGTCAATTAATAATAGCAAGATCATTTCAGAATAATAATAATATTTTTATGAGAATTAAAATAACTATTTACTAAAACTAAAAAAATTATTATATATAAAATAAAAAAGCTCAATCAACTTTCTTCCTTAGTTGGAATTTTTATTGTTAGATTTTTCTTTTTGTTTACCACAGCTGATGAAAAATTCTTTACTTTTCGTTTTATTGCTATACTATCTTCATCCCCCTTTGGAGAACATTATTATGGATTTGTAGGAGGCCTAGCTTACCTATCAGTTTTGTCTGGAATTTCAACATATGCTTTAGGCATTGGCTTATTATTCAAATTATTAATTGTTCTAATCTTTAGTTTTCTCCATATACAGAATATACCAATCAATAATAAAACGGCTGCTGCTCCTATTATTCCCACAAGCAATACAGTATCACTAATCATTTCTTATTACAATTATTTTAATTATTTATAATTATATATATTCATTATTCAAGTTATTCTAAGACTATTTACTTTATTAAAGATTTCTAAAATTAATCACTTAATTTCATTATTAACCCTAATCTATCATCTTTTGAAAAATACCATTTAAATTCATTTTCTTTGATCTATTTATTGTATCTTACATTTTAAATCTTAAATTTATTGTTTTATATATTCTATTATCGCTTATACTAATCAGATTTTCTTTGATTTATCTTATATGTATTAATCTAAAATTGTTTTCTATTTGCCATTCAAGAAATTTATACCTAACTAAGTATTCTTTTATTTAAATATGTCTTATATTTTTAGCTGATATTTGATTTTAATTTTCAATGAATATAAATCTATCTAAAGGTTTTTAACCAATTTATTACTTTATTTTTATTATTCCTTAATATTTTTAGTAAACAGTCTTTTCTAAATACTTACTTTATTTTCAATTCTTCTCATGCTTATTTTTATCTTTAATCTCAATATTATTTTATATACTCCAATATTATGGTATCTGATACTTCTTTGTAAATAAATTTAATATGGCTTTATTATGAATATTCTCTATATTAATATCCTTGATATCCTTTATTAATAATTTCTCATCTTTATTATTCAAATTTACAAAACACTGCTTGAACATAAAAAAAGCTATTTCATTCACCTATAAATATTAATTTTATTTGTTATTTTTAATCTTATATAAATGTATTAATTGTTTCTTTTGAAGAATCAAAATTGAATGGAATACCCAGATTTTTTATCAAATCTTCACTGTAATTTACTTTTATTTTATCAAAAAACTATTTATATACAAATAAATTAGTATTCTTTATCCGGTGTTTTATTTAATCATTTACATTATTTAAAAATCATAAAAAATCTTCCACCTTACTATTCATTATAATAATTTGAGTTTATAGCTTTAATGAATATACTTTAGTTAAAGTTATCTTACCATTTAATATTCAGTTAAATTACAAAAAAGTTCAAAATTTTTATCATTATTTATTACCTTAACTTACACTATTATTTATTTGATTTAAATATTAGTGTTTATCATATTGTAAATACCGATTTTTTTATTTGTAATAACTGCTTTAAAGGTTTGTAAATTAGAATTCTTTAAGTTCTGGCATTTATATTATATCTTTAACAGTTTAATTTAACTAGGCTAATTCTCTAATCTTCTTTATTATATTTAATTTTACATCTAAACCCTTGATTACTAAATAATCTAATTATTGATAATTAATTTTTTCTTTTCTATTAGGTAATTTTACACCCAAAATTAGGTTATTTTGTTTTTCTTAAGTGATAAATGTTCAACATTATTTCCTTACTTTTTTTCTATATACTTGATATTACTTATTGATTGTTTATTTTACTTTTCATTTAATTCTACATAGTCTAGCTATTCTCTTTTTTATTATCATGATTTAGGCTTCTTCATCCATAGATTATCAATGGTTTGAGTTTCCTTTTTTTTGGAATTATTGTTCACTTTGTTTACTAATATACTAAAGATGAAGATTTGCAAGCAATATTTGATTCTTGGATTAATCTTTTTCTGAAAATTTAAGAATCTGAATGAACTTTAATAAAAATGCTTACTTAATTGAGCTATNAAATACTTACTTTATTTTCAATTCTTCTCATGCTTATTTTTATCTTTAATCTCAATATTATTTTATATACTCCAATATTATGGTATCTGATACTTCTTTGTAAATAAATTTAATATGGCTTTATTATGAATATTCTCTATATTAATATCCTTGATATCCTTTATTAATAATTTCTCATCTTTATTATTCAAATTTACAAAACACTGCTTGAACATAAAAAAAGCTATTTCATTCACCTATAAATATTAATTTTATTTGTTATTTTTAATCTTATATAAATGTATTAATTGTTTCTTTTGAAGAATCAAAATTGAATGGAATACCCAGATTTTTTATCAAATCTTCACTGTAATTTACTTTTATTTTATCAAAAAACTATTTATATACAAATAAATTAGTATTCTTTATCCGGTGTTTTATTTAATCATTTACATTATTTAAAAATCATAAAAAATCTTCCACCTTACTATTCATTATAATAATTTGAGTTTATAGCTTTAATGAATATACTTTAGTTAAAGTTATCTTACCATTTAATATTCAGTTAAATTACAAAAAAGTTCAAAATTTTTATCATTATTTATTACCTTAACTTACACTATTATTTATTTGATTTAAATATTAGTGTTTATCATATTGTAAATACCGATTTTTTTATTTGTAATAACTGCTTTAAAGGTTTGTAAATTAGAATTCTTTAAGTTCTGGCATTTATATTATATCTTTAACAGTTTAATTTAACTAGGCTAATTCTCTAATCTTCTTTATTATATTTAATTTTACATCTAAACCCTTGATTACTAAATAATCTAATTATTGATAATTAATTTTTTCTTTTCTATTAGGTAATTTTACACCCAAAATTAGGTTATTTTGTTTTTCTTAAGTGATAAATGTTCAACATTATTTCCTTACTTTTTTTCTATATACTTGATATTACTTATTGATTGTTTATTTTACTTTTCATTTAATTCTACATAGTCTAGCTATTCTCTTTTTTATTATCATGATTTAGGCTTCTTCATCCATAGATTATCAATGGTTTGAGTTTCCTTTTTTTTGGAATTATTGTTCACTTTGTTTACTAATATACTAAAGATGAAGATTTGCAAGCAATATTTGATTCTTGGATTAATCTTTTTCTGAAAATTTAAGAATCTGAATGAACTTTAATAAAAATGCTTACTTAATTGAGCTATTATTAATTAATAGAAAAACAGGTTAAAATTTTAAAACTATTTTTATAGTTTTTTATAAAATAATTGATTTCTCATAATCTTCTATTTGTAATTAATTAAATTCATAATTTTTTTGGAATAATATTATTTATTTTTATATCTATAATATATTTATTCATTAGTTTATATGTAATAATGAATTATATATAATTATAAAATATCAATATATATATTCAAATAATTTGAGAAATAAAATTTACTATTGATTTATTTTTGTATTGAGTTGCTTACCTTAAGTTATCTTAATTAACTGATTGTATTAATCTGCATAACTTTTGTTTTATTCTTTCGAGCTTTATGCTTATTTCTACCTATTTTATATAAGTGTTTGCATTGTTAGGTTCCTGAACTAGCTTTTGCTTATGATTATTATAGAGCTTAATTAAATAAATATTAGTTAAAGATATTTAAAATTTGTTTGAGTAAAAGAATTATTTTTATAGGTTAAAAATCATTCTTAATAATTTATATTTGATTACTTTAGAATTTATTTTATTAGAGAATGGATTATTAGTTATAAAATTTAAGTAATTAATTTTTAATTTTATGAATACAGAAATAGAGTTAGATTAAAAAAATAGCTTTACTAGTCCTTTGATAACAAAAAAGGAAAACAATTAAAAGAATATTTAGATTGTAAATAGAAGTTCTTCGATTTATTAAATAAATTAGGATTTACTTCGTTCTCAAATAAACGAAAATATTGAGAAATCTTTTTCCGAATTCGTAATATTTATAGAGGTATTCATAGTAATCGATTGAAGAGCTTAAAAGATTGTTACCATAGATAAATTATAAAAAGGCATTAAATATGCTTATGAAAGCAACTTAAGAGGGAGATGTTTAAGAAATTTAAGTGATATTGGATGATTTGAAAAATAGAAAAGAAAAATTAAGATTAAATGATTAGTTGGATCAAAAAAAACAAACACTTCTTCATGTTGCTTGTTTTAAAAATTTACCAACGATAGTTGAATAATTGTTAGAAAATGTAAAGAAAAATTCTACATAAAATGAATTTGAAGAATGGATAAATAAAGTTAATTAAGATTAATTTGCATCAGTTCATTTTGCAGCCTATGTTGGTTCAATTGAAATATTAGAAATGTTATCGAAAGCAGGTGCAGATATGAACATAAAAAATTCTTAAGGTTAAAATGCTCTATCAGTAGCAGCTTAAGGGGATTAAGTTTAAGCAATGGTATGGTTATATTTATAAGGCCAATCAATAGTTGAATAAGATTCTTAAGGAGGAACACCTTTGCATTGGGCAACATATTTCGATAGTTTATTTGCACTTCAATTTTTGTTGTCTTGGTTATCGAAACTTCCTAACTATAGTTATTATATTAATTTAAAGGATGGAGAGGGAATGACTCCTTTACATTTGGCTGCTGTAACAGGAAATAGTAGAATTGCTAAGAAATTGATATAAAAAGGAGCCAATAAAAATATTAGAGATGTAAAAAACTAAACACCTGCCCAAGCCGCATTAGAAAATTAATAAAATGGAGTATATGAAATTTTAATGAAAAATAATTGCTTGTTGGAATTTTTCAATATTAAATAAAGGTATTTATAGAAAAATTTATATAAGTGTAAAACCTCCATCTATAAGTTGGACTTAAATAATTGCTTTCTTTATTATCTATTTTTATTGTATGATAGGAACGATTTTGTTTATTTACCCTTTTTATACTGAGGGGAACTTAATTTGGTTATAAATTATATCTATTTGTTCTTTCATACTTGGAATCATACTGTATTTTTTGACAATGTTTATACGTCCTGGATATATAAGGAAAAACACTGATCAATATTAGTTGTTTAAATTATTAAATGATTATGAACCTTGGGAAGTATGTTCAGAATGCCTAATAAAAAAACCAGAAAGATCAAGACATTGTGAATTTTGTAAACAATGTATTGTTGTTTATGATCATCATTGTCCGTGGGTTAATAATTGCGTAAATATTTACATTTATTCATTTAGATTGGAGCTAAAAATTATTTCATTTACTTTTTCTTTATTACTATAATTTGGATTAATTTACTTCATATTATTATTGTAAATAGTATATTTATAGGACAGGAATATACAAAAACAAATTTTACTTATCCTTGGTTTAATAATATGATATTATATCAATCTCAAACTTTGTTTATAAATAAAATAATTGTTTAATCAATTATTTTATTTTTAAGTGTTTTGTTTATTATTGCAGTATCTCATTTACTTTATGGATAAATTATCACATTATTTACAAATAGAACCACTTTTGAAAAATACAAGTAAACTGAGAATTTCACTTAAAATACTGCAAAATCAAAGAGTCAAAAATAATTGTAATTATTCATAACTAATTTAAAGATCCTAATAATCTATTAAAAATGAAGATTAGAAGATTTAATACTCTTTTAAGAATTGTGTTTTAATGTGTTGTGAAAATGCCAATAACCCTGTATTTTAATGAAATTGGAAATATAAATGTGTATAATATCTCAAATATTTTCTACTATTGAATCTAAGTATTATATAAAAATCTTGTTGTTATTAAATGTTCAAATATAAAATAATAATAATAATAATTTAATTTAATGTCATACATAGGAATCAATACATCTGGTGGAATCAACCCTTGCATAACTTTTTATGAGAGAATGCAAGCATGCATCAATAGAGAAAATTTACCCAATAAAATGTGTGCAATTGAAGGACTTGATTTCTTAGAATGTGTCAACCGAAGAAAATAAGTAATTCAATATTCAATATTTTAGTATGCACTTAATTACAAAATTTAATAAGAATTGCACAAGAATAGAATACTTGTTTTACCAACTTACGATGTTGAAAATGATAGATTTGTATCAAAATATTAAAATGCAACTGAGGTGTTTTAATAAAAGCATTGAAATTATACAAATACACAGAAATATTAAATAAATATCCAAAATACTCATTATTATTATGATAACTTAGCAGGTCTCAATAGAAATGCTTCTAAATCTTCCCAAAATGCATTCACCACATCAATATCTTAGTATCTTTTGCTTCTGTGTAAATCCAAAACCTTTACATTCCATTGTTTGATTAAGTCTTTAACTTTTTCCTCCTCAAACTTCATATGATATCCTCTAATACTAAGTTTTGATATGATAATTAATTATACTTTTTAAATAATTGATTAGGATTTTAATCAGGAAATTATCTCAATTCATAAGTAGATCCTCTTAAAAATACAGCAACTACTCTTTTCCAATTAGTAATTGCATTAGGAGTATCCAATATTAAAAACTACTATTCACTAAAAATAAAATAACTTAGAATTGATTACATATCAGTTAGTCTTAACTTTACTTTAATTTAAACAGATCTTGATTCATTCGTGAATTTAAGACCATTTGGATCTAAATATTGTCCTTATTCTAAAAATTATTAAACATTTCTTAAACAAATGTTTCCCAATTCAGCAATTTAAGGTACTATAATGATTGGTTTATCTTTAGATTTAATAAATTCATTCAAAACTGAATAGGATAGTTTTGCACTTGATAATTATTTAGCTTTATTAACATCTTGTATTCTAGTTCCTAGAATTTATTACAATTCTTCTTCATCTCCTCCGACTCCAACATATTAACCTTAAAATATCTAAATAGATTTAAAATACATACTTTTTATGCTGTTTTTAAAATATCATCAAATGTTCTATCTTAAACTCTAAATAATCTATTTCTAGTAGTAATTGGTTTTTCAAATCTTAAAATTTCATCAAAAACTTTTAGATTGAATTCTTTTTCAGTTAATGGCTAATTACATTTATAAAAGTACCTCTTTCTCTTAATCAGGCTTAACCTTCTTTAAACTTGCTTGTTCAATATCTTCATTATTTTGGAGGGGTTTTCTATTATATAAAGATGCTTTCTTGTCTGCATTTATACAATCTGTATAATCTACTTTACCAGTAAAATATTCAATTATATCTTAATTGTCTGCTTTAAACACCTATTCAAAATTTAGATCCAATGCTTTCTTTCTATAATTTTTTTATTCCAATCCTTGTAAATGACAATCTAAAAAACACCATAATGCTCCTAATGTGTATTCTTATCCTGATTTAGATTTCCATGCTGTTTCCTTTTAATTATTTATATATCAAATTACAGTCGAACATTTAAATTCAATATTATTATCAAAAAGCAATCTATGATCAGTATTTTTGCTTCTTAATTTTATCTATTTATGATGAATCACATGATCTCTTAATAATTCTAAAGGGTCATTTCTTCCTTTTCTAAACATTATTTTATTTTTTTTAATAATTATTTATATATTTAATTATAAAATATATGAATTGGAGTTGTCCTTATCCTAATCATAGATAATTTTATGCTCCTATTATCATTACAATAAATCTTATGTATCTTTCAGGAACTATATCAACTACTTATACATCTGAACTATAAAATGGAATTCTATATTTTGGATGTATAATAGGATCAAAATTGTATAAGTAAATTTACGTTTTTATTCAGATATTTCAAATCATTATCAAATCGTTTAAACTTTTATATAACAGATTTAATAGTTTTAATAGTTTCTTTAATAGAAATATATAGAAATATATTTTTTTAGGTAAAATATCAGGAAATTAGTTTATTATTAATATTCGTTATAGGAATTGCTGCAGGAATTAATTTTTTATAAATCATCTTTTATTTAAAATTAACAAATACAGAATATGATCTCAATTTTTTTTCATTATTTATTCCTCTTCAATTTGCTATAGGAAATATGCTTAAAACTCTCTAAGCTCAAATTAGGATTTTTCATTACGATTCTTATAAAGGAAGTTAAAATATAGAATATATTGTGGTTGGAGGCTTTACAATTTTAAGAATAATATTAATAACTATAATTCCAATTTAAGCATTTTCATAAAATATAAAATAAATGGAATAAGCTCAATAAAATAGTTGTGTAAACAGTTAGGAACTCAATAATGAATAAACATAGTAAGAAAAAGAAAGTAATAAATATATAATTGCATTTTTAAGAAATTTCAAATATTTAATAATTATAATGGTATTTTAAACATCCTCAATACCATTTTAATATCATTTTTCATAAATTCCTATAATAATTTTTCATATGATATTATTTTCTAGAATTAGTAGAAGTAAGACAATTATTTTTGGTTAAATTTGTGTTTGTTTTGGATTTTCTATTAATATTGATGCATTTTCTATTATTGGATATTATTTTGGATTAGGAACACTTTTTTATAATATACTTTGTAAAATTTGGATTGAAGATTTAATAGTAATTGCTGAAATAAATTGGATTATTCGAATGTCCACTATGTGTTTTATAGCAGTTATGTAGAAACTTAGTTAGAATTTATTCTTAATAGACAGTTAAGTAGAAAATAATGTTTTTTTTATACTAAACTTTATAACTTTAATATTCTTATTTTTAGTGTTATTTTAGGTAAAGTTTTAAATAATTAATTTTAATAGAAAGAGGGGCAAAATAAAGTAATACCAGAAATATAAATGAATTTAAAATAAGAAGAAGAGGAGATAGTTTTATAATAGTGATTTAGATTTATTATAAATAAATATTTGTTAATTTATTTGAATAATTATAAATAATGAATAAAATATTTTTACCAAAAAGAAGAAAGGTTCTTTAATGTCCTGAAACTACTATAGAATCTTAATTATAAACAACTCGATCAGTTGCTGTAAATAATATATCTTCAATGTTCAGTCAACCAATCAAGATGTACCAAAGATTATAGTTAAAACAGAAGAAAGTGAAGGAATTTCTATTCCTAAAGATAATAGATTAAAAAATTGGAATGATGTTTTTGGTGATTTTTTATCTGAAGCTTTATTAAGAAGAAAATAAACTCAAATAAAAAGAAATACAGAGACTGCTATTGATAGAGCATATTTACATGAAGTTCCTTTAAAAATTCACAATGCAATGACAATAAGTCCATCAATAAGAAGTAATTTTACTAAATATATTTTGGGTGAAATATCTGCTGAAGAATTTGTAATTAGAAAAAATTAATCTCAAAAACTTGATAAATTAATTCCAGCAGTCATTAAGAAATCAAAAAGACCAAAAATTAATGTGTAATAAATAAATATTAATATTATTAGAACATATAGAAGATCTGCAGTAACAGATGAGGGTAATCATGATATTGCTTTTTTATAATTATTAGATGAAAAAAATGAACAGATGATTAAAAAATAATAAGCATAAGATAGATTTGATATAATTAGGGATGTTATAGAAGAAAAAATTGATAAGAGAGAAAAAGAAGATCTAGTAAAGAGAAGCAGAGAATTAAAAAATGTTGCAATGATCAAATAAATGTATGATATAAGTGATCAATATATTCAAAATTTATAAAAGAAATTTTAGGAAAAAGATATAAATACAAAAAAAAAACTAATATTTAAAGGAAATTCAGTAAATATAATTTAACATTAAAACCCATATTAATTATTGAATTCTAGAAATCATTAAAATCCTAATAAAGTCAAATATGAAGCTCCTTAAGAAAAATATGTGATTCGTCATTTAGTTAATAAGAAGGTAAAATAATATATGGAAGAATTACTTATTAAAGATTATATTGAAAATGAAAAAGTTAAAAAGTAGATTTATGTTAATTATCAATTTAAAAAAAAAATTATCCCAAAATCTACTTAATCTAATACACTACAGACATTTGATGATAGCGAATAAAATAATATTAAATAAATTTATCCATTTATATAGAAAGGTACAAAAGGTAATTAAATAGTTAAAAATTAATTGATCAATAATGATTTAGAATTAATATAATATATAACAAACTATCCAAAATACGATCCATATAAAGATAAAGATGTCTAGGAATAAATCTAAAAAGATATACTTGATGCTGGAGGATTATCTTCTAATAGACATATAAAAATTCCATAAAGAAAAACAGCATCATCATTTAAATATAATAAATTTAGAAATTAAGACATAAATGGATCATTGGATTCTCGGACTGATGATGAATCATTAAATTCTATGTATGAATTCAATGTAGATAATCTCTACTAATAAAGTATGAAATTGTAAGAAAAACTATTGGAAAAGTAATACACTGATGGTTTTAGTAAAACAATAAAGGCAATTTAAAAAAATTAATAATTAAACAAGTAATTTTTTGATTTAACAATAGTGACATTATTTTAAAAAATATATAAAAACTTGAAGGAATATCTCCAATCTGAAAATGATTTAAGAATTTTGTATTTAATAAACATAATTCATGATTTAATTATTAACCATGCAGGTTGGAATTTTAATTCTTAAACACATCCATGACAAAGTTATCTACTTTAATCTGTTAGTAAGCATTTTAAGCGTTAATTTTATGAAATAATTTTTTCTTTTTATTCAAATGAAACTAACAAATAAGGTAATCGAGAACTTTAAGATAAGCACTTGCAAATTGCTGTAACTTCAATGGAGTTTAATTAAAATTCCACATTATTAGAAGTTTTAATTTAACCTAAGAACCATTAAGATGGATTTTCTGACAATTATTCAATATGTTTTTAAAAATGAATGTTCATTTACTACAAACATTTTTTGCAATCAGCTTAAAATTCTAATATGTTAGAATTTAATTTATTATAATTTTTAGTTGGCAGAAATATTTGACAGGATGGACACTATAGTTTAAATTTTATTGAGCGTAATTTAAATTCTTAAAAACCTTCTCCTTTGACATTCAAAAATAGTTTTTTATCCCCAAAGGTCTAAATTTATTATTTATTTTGTTTGATTTATTGAGGTAATATATTTGATTAATTATAAGACTCACTTATTTATGTAATACTATTATCTTTCTTATCCTTGTAGTTTTAAATTCTTTATAAATTATAAGAACAATGGAAATCAGTCATTTTTTTTAGTTCATTTTAGAAATCATGGTCTTTTTGATTATCAATAGTAAATGATCCATCTTATTCTTCAATAAAATCTTTCAAAGTTTATTTTTTAATCTCCTGTGGTTCTCTAACTTAAATCAATTAATTATTGCAATTCATTGCTAGCTATACATTTAATATATTTGTACTCGAATATCTATCCATTCATGTTCAAGTGAAAATTTATTATTCATATTAGTATTATTATAATAATCTTATTTTTTATTTTAATAATCATTATTATAATAATCTTATTCTAGCAAAATAATAAGTATCAATAATATAAAATAAGTAATTAACTTAAAAATTACTTAGCTAAAACCCAACATGAAAATCTTCTTTTAGTTGATTTATATGTAATTATTAAAGTCAGTCTAGTTAAAAGAAATTTTATAAATTAAGTTAAATCAATAATAAATACTTTAAAAAAGATGGATGACCAATTAAATGATTCGAAATCTCACACTATAAATTTTCCAGAATATCAATAATCTTTTATTGAGGAAAGCTTATAAATTGGGGATATCGGATAAAGCGATATTGAAATTTTTTAAATAACTTAAAGAACATTTCAACATAGAACTCATCAAACAAATTTTATCATTTTTAATCATCCTTTGAATAATTAAAAAGGTGATTTAGATCATGTTTGTTTTATCTTAAATATTTTGAATGAACTAATAACTGCAGTAAATGTGACATTTTTTTAAAATGAGGATAATAGTCAGATAAATCAAAATGGTTCAAAAGATTTTATAAAATTAGAAAGAGGTTCATATTATGCAAAAATATATCAATAATCAAAAAGGTTAGAAGAAAAACAAATATAAAAGATTGAAGAATAAATTATACTGCCAATCTAAAAATTTATAAGAGAAATTTAATTTGAAAAGGATACTTTATATGATTAGATTTAGCAGCTTTGCAAATAAATAAATAAAGATAAATTTTTTTGATTCAATATTTCAATATTTTTCTGCTATGATTAGAGTAATCAAACTAGTCCAACCGTTAAATGGTCTATTACCCTATCCCTATCCATCTAAGTTCTGATTATAGTGTTCATAAAAATATCCTCTAGTTTCAAATTATGAACAGATTGTTTCAATCATATTAAATCTTAAATCGTGATAGAATTATTATACTCCATCAATTTCCCAATAATATAATTTTAATGCTCTTAATACTAAGAATTAAATATTAATCCAAATAGGTCCAGTCCAATAATTAGATTTCTTTCTAAATTCTGTACTGTTAGTTTCTAATGATCTAATGCCATAAGGTGTCCACATAGTATTTCCTCTCATAAAGTTTAGATGTTGTTTTATGATATCAACTCTAAATTTATCTATCAAACCCAAGCCTAAAGGAAAAAGATTAACATATCCTCTGTGAGGAGAAAAAAATACTTAATCATCAGTATTGGGATAGTATAAGATATCCTTATAAATTAAATCATTTGGATCCAACATATTTGTCTAAATAAGTAATTATTATTAAAATAATTACATTCATCTTATTTAGAATAAGTTCCATTCTTTATTCAAGATAATTCACTATTCCTAAATCATAAAGTTTAGCAAGTTTACTCATTTAATATGTAAAAAAGTATCCCCAACTTTAAGCATCTATATTATATTTTGATACCTTGCTACCATCAGTTCTTGGCCAATCATCTAAACCTGATCCCAGATTACTATCTTCTTCTGGACCCCACCATTTTAAAAATCCAGTAAATTTACCTTTATCATCAAAAATAGCTTGAGTTCTAAACCAATTATTATACCAAGAAAATAATTTTAAATAAATTTTTCCTATTCTTTCTTTGTATTCAGGATGATTATCAATTAAATATTCAAAATTAAAGAAAAATGTTGGTGGATTTGATTCTCTAGGATCTTCTTTTAGCCACGGAATATATGATCTTAGTTCTTCACTTCTTGGTTATTCTCTTGGTATCCAACCATCTATAGACATAGTATTAATCCAATCTTCTAAACTTTGAAGACATATATCTGGATTCACTTTACAAGCAATCATATTATGAAAACCTTCATCCCATAAAAATGGTCTTGGAAATCCAAATCTTGATGGAGTATGACTTAACATAGGTTTAAATGATGTGCAAGTATCTTTATTTATTACACATGTAAGATTTCCATAAGTAAACAATAAACCTGCCATTAAATTACTAAAACTAGAATATGCACACTTATTATCAGTTCCAAAAACCTTTTTAAAATTGAACTTATTCACTACAGCCAAACTATCACTTAATTATTATAAATTATCAAATCCATATTCAGGTATGTATTTATCAGTTTATGTAACTTATATTATAACATTATCTCCTGGTTATACTCTAAATTCAATGGCAACTAAATTAGAATTATTAGTATTTGTGCTATTAGAAAATATTGCTTACATTAATGTTGGTCTTGGATCATAATTATATATATAATCATTAAATAATGTTCTAATTGTAAGATTTGATTTTTCATCTGTACAATTATATTAATATTTTTTATTATTCACAAATATTGTGATAAAGAAATGTTCCATTCTTGTTTCATCTTCATTTAAAGTACTAACTCTAATTCCTTAATTTGTTACATTTACTTAAAAAGTTCTTGTTTCTAAATTAAATTGATTAAATTATTCAATTGTTAAAACATAAAATAATGATAATGGTTTTTCAATTGCTAATGTTTAAATTTCATCAACAAAGTTAACTTTAGATTCAATTGGAAATTTAATAAATGTTGTTTAAATTATTGATTTTGTATTTGGATCACTAATCTATTAAATATTAAAGTCTTTTCCATTATGATGGATTGGATTAATCTTAATTTACTCAGTATTTAAATCAGGAATCTTATAAATTAATGATCGATCATCTGTTCCTATATGATCTGCATACATAAGAGCACCTGTTATAGGATTAAATGTTTTCATATTTCTTTATGTTACTGCATGAAGTAATTGTGGTTTATAAGTTCCCCATCTCATTCTTTCATCAAAATTACACCATATTATTTAGATAATAGTGAATATAATTACTATCATTTATATTTAATAATTATTATATCAGTATAAATATAATTTATCATAATAATTTTTAAGCTGATATCTCTAACAAAGGTTTTAAATCTGCTTAAGGTCTTCTAAACAATTAACTTGATAGACAAAAATTCTGACTTGACTTACTAATATATAGAGAAACCTTGCTTCTATTTGGAACACCACGAATCTATTATATTTTTGACTCTTTTTACTGATTAACTCTGCAGACAAGTTTATAACTCTTCCTACCATTCTTTATGAGATAATCTAAATTTTTGACTTGTTTTGCTTAAATATAATGCATTTGTGCTATTTAATTCCGGAAATACGCTTTTGTTTCTATAAGGCCTATAAAACCTTCTCTATTAAGTCTTTTATTCTATTTTACGATTTTAGGGCAAGCTAGAGATATCCTATTTTGGTAATTAAAACTCTAGTCTCATTAAATTATTTCTCATTTATTTATTAATAAGCTAAAAGAAACTAATTCTTATTTAAAGATTTTTAAACATTTCTTTTATTTTTTTATTCCCATTCATTAATTTATTATTTTTCAATCTTTTTAGTAATAAATTTTTTATTATCCATAAGATTATATATATTTAATACTCTATGGATATAAAATATTATATATATTTTTAGTATATTCCAAAAGTAAATATAGAAACATTTATATTATTTAATTATCATATTCATTTAATTCATTATGCCTCAAACTTAAAATTATCTATAACAAAATAAATTCTATTTTATTAATTTTAATATATATTTCTTCTTCATTTAAATAAGTTTTTTTAAATCTTAAATCATTCAGCAGAACTAATTCCAAATTTTTAGAGAATTATTCTTAAGATATATCTAAACATCAAATATTGATAATATAATTAAAGATATTTAAAACAAGTTTTAAAAATTATAATTAAGATTGAGAAATATTTTATAATATATACTTCTAATCGCATTAAAATATTTGTTTTATATGATTTGTTAAATATTTGAAGGCTATTTATTAATAAAGACCTAAAAATTATCTATTTCAAAAATCATTTTTAAAGTTTAATATAATATATTTCTAATTAAGATTTAGAATAGATTTCAGCTTTAGGATTTCTAAGAATCAAGATTATTTGTAAAATGACTTGAATATACTTACTTATACTAAAAATCTTTATTTATTTCAAAATGGTCCAACATAATTTCCGAAAACTTAATACTAACCTGGAGTTTGTAAATTTTAAAAATTAATAAGATCAAGGGATTAATTTTTTTAAAACTTTCTATATTTATGAGATACCCTTTCTAATCTTAGGTTTAATACAATTAATAAATTATTAAACAAGAGAAAATCTACTAATTTTCATTTATAAAATTATGATATTCTAAAAGATTATCAATAAAAATATAATGTTCTAATTTATCAAAGTAAGATTTAGGATATTGGAGATGGGTTAGAATCAAATAATTTTCGAATATCTAAAAATTTCTAAATTATAACAAAATCGACTAAATTAGGGAAGCGGCTTTTTGGAACCTTTTGAATGATTTTTTGTAAAAATTTATAGAAATAATGACAGTTCTACTTTGCAATAGTTAAAGAAGGCTAAACTATTAATTAATATTGTAATTGGTAAAGGAATATATAAATACAACGAGGTTAGGTAACAAAAATATAATATAATATCTAATTTGATTTTTTAATAATTTTTTTTTCGAAAAATAATTTATTTATATCTAATACTTTATAAACCTGAGATTAAGAAACTTTTCTTTATATACGAAAAACTGAAAAAAACAGAATTATAACAATTTTTTGATCCTTAATTGTTAATAATTCATCAAATAGCTAATTTAAATTAAAGTATAATAAATGAAATAAATTAATTATATAAGTTGAACCTTTTTATGTAAAGTAAATCTTAAACTTAATTATAAGAATAACTTCAATAACTTCATTTATGTAATTTTGTTTTATATAATTGAAATCATATTAAATACTTTTTTTTGTTGGATTTAAATAAAAATTTGCTGAGATTCTTTTTTTTCTTTTGTAGCTTTTCCGTTTTCTATTTTGCTATACAAATTAAAACTTCAGAAAGAGGTTTATAAATATTTTAACTATTGAAAAATAATATGAAATGGATTTTGAAAAAAAAGTAAAATCGAAAATTCATTAAAAGTTGAAATTACTATAACACACTATAATAAAATATTTGAGAAAATTAGAAAAAATAAATTTTGATGTTTTGTCAAATATTGTTCATCTAAAAAAATGATTTAAGTAGAAATATAGAAAAACCTAAGCTTAATTATTTTAGAGCAAGATAATGGGTATTAATAGATAATTAATTTAGATAAGAGTAAATTTGATTTAAAGAAATTTAGACCATTTATAAAATTGTTAAAAATAATAGACTAATTGATTTAGGAAATTTAATACAATCAAATACTCATTAATTTTTATCAATATTGAGATGAGATTAAGATTTCTCAATAGTTAGGGAAAAGTTTAGTTTTAACTCCTATATTTTGATTTAAAGAAAATAGTGCAGGAATATTAGGAATATACACTCTTTCTTACTCTCTATGTCTTTTCCAATTAGGACTTCTATTTTCAAAAGAATCTATAGATAGATTGGGTCTTTTTTCACATCGATTATTTTTTTAATTTTTCATATGATGTAGAGAACGTTGGCTTTTGGTTCTAAAAATAGTACCTTTAGCAAATCGAACTGATCTTGTATCTGGAGAACCACTAAGACTATCCTTTAATTTGCTATTTTTTTTTAATATGCTTTTGACAGACTTTGCATCATCTTCTCTTTCTTGTTGTAAGGATTAATTACAAGTTTATGAATTTTATTTAATTTCATTAAAATGACTATGTGTTGCACTAGTCCTAAATAAGAGTCTTTTTTATTTAGCTACTAATTTAAGAGATTCAACATCATCTTTATTGGATATTTTTTTATGAGATTCTTCTTCTTGAAAATTGTATAATATCTTGTTCTTTTTGATTCTAGTGTATACAGTAAGTAAATTTTATTCATCTTCAATAATGAGATCTAATTCATGTTTATTTTCAATATTTGAAGGTTGTACAATTTAATTATCAATAATGGATTATTTGGATTGAATACACTTTGATGAAGAATCTTTAGATGATATAGTGTGTGATCCTACGCTTTAGATTTAACATGATCCCATTTAGGAATATTAGTAAAAATAATATAAAATAATGCTAATACAAACTGAGTAAACATTCATATTAAACTTCTTCTTAAGTCTTTGAACATTGTTCTTTTTAAAGGAGAAGTTTTATTTGATCTAAAATTTGTACCTTAAGCAAAATGTACTTTCTTATGTTCAGAGAAAGAATTAAAACTTTTATTTAAAGGAGATTTTAGAATACTTCTTTAAGAATGGTTTTCATTATTTTCTAATTAGTAACTTATTCTTTGAGTATAAAATGATAAATCTAAATTTTAAATCTAAATAAGCTTTTTCTAAGGCTTATTTTTCTTTTTAATTCTTCTAGTTTCACTTTTTACTGTTACTGGACTATCAGTAATTTGAGAAACTTAAGAAAGCCAAAATTATTGTTGATGATCTTCTTGAAAATTAAAACATTTCATTCTTCCTTTACTTTTATTTATTTTGTTAATATGATGATCAATCTCTTTTATTTATGTTTCTGAAACATTTAAATTTATGGGATTGGTATATGTGATACTCAATTTTAGAGATGACAATTTAGTACTTTTACTCATTTCATTTAAAGTTCTCATTTTAGATTCTAAGCTTATAAGATCAGAATCTATAGTGTCTTAACATACAAATTTAGTACATGATGATCCCATTTATAAATAATATATTTTTAATCATAAATAATCATTTTTAAGATGGGCTTTGTGTTCATATGTCCATTATGCCATTTATTTTGATTTTAAATTACTAACATCTTTCTATTCTCTTTACTCTTAAGCAGACTATATTCTTTATTCAATAGATTAATGATATTATCGTATTCTATTTAGTTTATTTTCATATTTTTAATTATAATTAGCTTTTTCCTCTTATAAAAATTATTCTCTATTTTTTGAAAATCTCTCCCCTTAAGTCATAAACATTGAGGATGTCTTAGGAGGAACAAAATTTTCAAAAGTATTTTTAAAACCAGGAGTAGCTCCAAATCTCGTTGAGGGTCTTATATCAGTATGATTAGTTTAAGGTCTAAAAGGTTTTTTAAACTCTTCAGTTAATCTAGATAATTCAGGTAAGAAAGCTTTGGCTGAATTCATAAAGATTTTGCAAGGTTGACTATTCATTTAAATTAACTGATTTCCACTATTATCTACTATTGTCATTCCTGCCCTTATTTTTTCATGAAATTCACTAAAAGTAGCATATCCTTTATTTGTTGGATCAACATAATTTATTAATACTCCTATTTCTTTACCATTAAGTATATTCATTTCTTCTAATTTTTATTTCATATCCTATTATGAAATGTAACCATCCTTATCTTTATCGAAATCCTTAAATAGTTTATAAGCTCTTTCTGTTTTATTAAATAGATTATTTTCAACCTTCATTAAAATATCCGACAATTCTTTTGATTGATTAGGTACATACCATGTCATACCAGCATCTTAATTATAAAACTCTAAAGATAATTTATTAAATTAATTATACATATTTATTTATCTAAATCTTATTCCTTATTCTCTATACTTTAAAGTGGTTAATCAATTTTTGATACTTTTTCAGGAGGAGCAGGCCCTTTTTATCTTAATTAAACTCTATCATAAAATTCCTAATCAGTTTCACTAAATTTATGGATCTAATATTTACTTAAATAATATTCTAATAACTTCTTCTGTTTTTTAGGTCTCATATTATCCAAATTATAATATACTTAACATACTTTCAAGATCATGTTTCTGATATCTTTCATTTACACTTTCTAAAAATTGTATGATTACATGTGAGAAATCTTTAACATTAATTTAATTTCCTTGAATTTTATTCTTAAGAAATTCTTCAAATTTAGTTTAAGAAGGTAAATATCTTTAAATTTTATTAATTAAAATTTTGGTTTTGTTTTTCATTTTTTCTAATGAATAAGCATCTACTCTTGTAATATCAAATAATTTAATTAGTTAATCTTCTTGATATTTCATACTTTTTAATAATAGTTATTTTTTATCAACAGGTTCTTAATTCTTATTAGAGTATGGATCATCATATACTTCTTCATTCAATTAGAATGATTTAAGATGATTTAAGAACTTTTTATAATCAAATGTATCATCTTGATTTTTGAAATTTTCATATAAAATTTTAAGATCTTATTCTGATAAAATACTTGGATCAATTTCTAATTTTTTAATAACTCTTTCAAATCTACCATAACTAATATAACCTTTTTGTAATTCATCCTACATAGTTAGTTATTAACCCAATTATTATAACTTAAATTATAATTGGTTTTAAATACTCTGTTTTTAAGAATTAAATTAACTTAATTCTAATGTCTTCTATCTCTAGCTTGTAATGCATCTTTTCTTAGAAAATCTATAGTTTCTTGATTTTTAATTAATGAATCTTTTTCATCTTCAGTTAATTATGGTAAAGCTTTTAAATTCACATTAAGTGCATCTTTATCATTAAATATAAGATCTAAAAATTCATCTAATCCTAAATCATTAGAACCATCCATATCTGCACTTGCTAATAATACTCTTGCTTCATCTATATTAATATTAATGTTTAATCTTTAAATCATATTATAAAGATTCTTAACACTTACTGCACCATTAGAATCTTCATCCCATAAATTAAATATTTTTTAAAAGTTTTTTCTATTTGCATATCTTCTTCTTATAGCTCTTCTAATATCTCTAACCTTTTCTATATCTACTTTCCCTTCTAATGTATTCTTATTTTCTAACCCTACTAATTAAGTCTCTTAAATCCCTGTTGTATTCTCTTCTCGTTTCTATTATGCTAGTTTCTCTTTTTATTCTTCTATTTTAATTTTATTCATAATCAATAATACATTTTGTATCAATTGGACTTTCTTAATTCTATCTATGTTCTTCATTTAAAAAAAGTGTATTAGAATCACCACAAAATACTCTTTTCATTAATTCCTTCTCTTCTAACTAAGAAAACCTAAGATTGAATATTTTAACTTTTTATACCTAGGATAACCAATTAAATGATGTTAATTAAATTTCTTAGCAGAATTCCTAGTCTCCTCTACTGGATCTTTGCATTATACAATCCTTTTAGATTTTTAGTCTAATATTTCTGAAAACTTTTTATTTTTTGGAATAGATAATGAAGTGATTCTATCTCCATCTTAAGAACTATTTTGATTATTCAAAGTATTTTTTTATGAATCTAACATCCTTTTATAAAATTAAATAGTATACTTAAAGTCTCTATTAGTTTTCCCTTGATGATGAATGCGATCTCTTCTTACTATCATCTAGAACAGTTATATATTAATTATTTATGGATTAAATTCAATTCAAAACACTTGATGAATTCATAAGACTTTTTCACCAAAAGGGTAATTATTTATAGATTTCTAGTGTCTACATTTACGGCATCTGAAATGTTAATTTAATTATAATATTTAGCCTAAATGCTATGTGAAAAATCAATATAGACTTAGGCTAAAAATGATAATTTTTTTAAGAGATGGAGTGAAATAAAATTGCCTATTAGTTTACTTACAATAGATTTCATATCATAATTGTTTGTTATTTATACCAAAGTTAATGAAAGTTTAAAAGAAGATGTATTGATTGAAATTAAGAGTAGATTTTATTATACTTTATTTGGCCTCTAATAATCTATGAATTTGAAGATAAAAAAGTAGTAGTTGAATATTTTAACATTTTGAAAACAATATACAATAAAAAGTACAGAGATTTACTAAAAAGTTTTGAAATGTTGGAAATAGTGAAATTCATGGTAATATTGTCGACAATAATCGCAGCTAAAAACAACCGAAATAGATGAAATGATTTGTTGTGAATAGCACAACAATAAAGAGTAGCCATAATAAATCATAAGTCGAGAAACTTAAATAAAAATTGATCAATTTGGATTGCTTATTAATGAAATACTCGATCAAATAGTTAATGATATATCATAAGCAACAGGCAGTAATCTAAATGAGTTAGAATAATTATTTGGTTAATCAATTCAGCAAATATTTTCATATTGTACAAAGGATCACAATTTCTGTTAAGTTTAAACATTATTAATTGTTCTAATAGTAAGTAAATTTATTTAGTATTAGAATTAATTGTCAAAAGTTAAGGTAGAAGTTATTAAGAAATTATTTAAAGATTTTGAAGCGATAAGTTTTATTGTTCTATTATATAATTGTACAACTTCTTAAGCTCTCCAAATCTATTGTATAAAATTATTCTAAATCATTTCTGTATAAAATTCATAGGTATTCCTTAATTCTTTAAATAGGTGTTATAAAAATTAATTTTAAGTATCATACCATCATCTGATAACATAAGGTTTGTTTAAAATTTGAATTCTGAATCACTTATTTGTTCAGTATTGGAATGGCTTTTAGATATTCCGGTTTCCTTAAAAATAACTGAATATCAAATGTTTGATGAAAAATTAACATTTAAAAATACTGATGTCATGGAATTAGTACTTAATTATTTATTCATTTGTCCTATAGTAATGAAGCAATAATTAATTACTACAATATATACACTAATAAGAAACAATAAACAAAATTAATTATTTTTGTTAGACAATAAACATTTTCTAAATACTTTTCCAAAGTTTTTGATGGATCTTTAAAATAAAGATCCACTTGATGTTGATGATATTCAAATTTCACTTTAAAAATCAGTATCAATTGTTCTTAATGTAAGATATTAGATACAAGTTTAAAATTGATAACAACAGTGTTTATGAACTAACTTCAAAATGGCAAGATAGATATGTTGTTCTAGTGGTTGAAATTGGCTGAATTGGAAGAAAAAAAAAAAAGAAATGAAGGTTTAAAAGATGTTAGAACTCCAAGTTATTTAATTAGGTAATTGATTAGCTATGTTTTTAATAATCTTTTGAAAAGTTCGATATAAAATGCATAAGAATTGTCAAATGATAATTTATGGAAAGGATTTAATTTATTTTTAGCATGTTTTTTGGGTATAATTTCTAAAGAGTTAATTTAATAAGATTAATTGACATCTAAATTAGTAGGATAAAAAGTAATATAAAGTCCATAATTATTAATGATTATATGTATATATATATTAATGAATGTAGAGTTGTTTGAAAATGAATAATGGATTGATTACTAATTTTGTAGTAAGATTATATAGATTGTTAATTTTTTATACAGTTAGACAATAAATATGAATTTGGATATTATTAAGCCAAGCATAAATTTTAAGAGTGGTGAATTTGCGATTTGGTTAAGCCAGCTTTTCAAAAAGATTTTGAGTAATGAGAAAGATAATATATTTGTTATGAGAATAATTTAGACTTTAATATGTTATTATTAGCATTATATAGTTGCATAAAACTTTGGATAATAATAATTAGAAGAGATTCAATAATTATTAAAAGCTTATAGACTTTTAATGTAAAGTCTTGTTTGTGGAGGTTAACAATTTAAAAATCTTAAATATATTCCTGTAGATATTGAATATCAAATATCATTAAGTCATTATTTTTATATAGAATCTTAAATGAAATTGTTAACTTAGATTAAATAGAAGTGTTAAAAAGGACATCATGAATCTCATGATTCTTACTTGAATTAATATGCTCTATAAGAATTGATTGCTTATATTTAACAACAATTATAGGAATATTATGTTAGTTTATGTAAATTATGTCAAATTTATGGGAAAAGATCCCAAATATTTATTTGGAACTTTTGTTATGAGTTGATTAGAATGAGGAAATAAGAAGGAGATGTTTTAGAATCTTATTTATAAACATTAATAAATCAACCTGATATTATACATGATATTGTAGGGAATGAAGAAATGATTGTATATTATAATGATTGTCCAAATATGGTAAATTTGAAATAAAAATCATAATTGAAATTGAATGAACTGATTAAATGGATAAATGTTTTAATTGAATAATAGGAACATGAATAAATTGTTTAGTATTAGGAATAGTATTCTAGATAGAGTTAAATTTTATTGAAGGATGTTACAAAGACATTAGACAGATACAATTTGATTCAACTACAAAATTATGAAATTTTTGAATAAGAGAAATTAAGATATGATTAATCTAAGACATTATGATTTATATAAATTGATTTAAAATTCATATTCCACTCCAATTTTTAGAGTTTTCATTAAATTCCCACACTATTATAATATATAGAATATAAATAATATACATCTTATGTAATGTCTAATAGAATGTGAGAAATAGATCATTATCAATAAAACAACTGATTCAATAGTTATTTATATAATGATTAATCCTGTTTAATTAAGTGATTCACATACAATATCATTAATAACTTTATCAGATTCTGGGTAGATATTAAACTAATTCATTTAATATGCCATATATCCATACACCAGAATTCTTGTAAATAACACCCACAATAATGTCCAAAAATATCCCTAGTCTTATATAATATATACCTATGAATCTTTTGTGAGTTCTTTGCATCAATTGAATAAAACCCAAATATTGAACAGAGAATCCAAAATATATTACCAATTAACAATGCTCCAATCATGTATGCATATGATAAGCATTTATCATAATATTAGAAAAACTAGAATCCATGTTATATACTATCATAACTCAACATCACCTATTATTCAAATCTATTCCTACTGCTATAAAAGTATTTGCTCCTTGTACAAATTATATTCTTTTCTCTACTATTGCATTGAATGAAGATGAATCAGGCGGTACTATGTAATTATCTTGTATATGTCTTATTATAAATGGTTTTTAGGATGTATTCATATTATTTAATATATTATTTATTTCTATTCTTACATTTAATACTTTTTTTTATTCATTAACACTTATAAGATCTTGTCACATTCCCTTAACTATTCAAAAATACCTAACTGTTATTATATTTTATAATTATGAAATTATGTTATTTTATCTTGCTTGGCTATCTCATAGCATTACCAATTATCTAACATAACTCTTTCAAAGGACTTAATTTTATCACAATCCCTTTCAATTTTACCAATAATCAAATTAAAATTACACTTGATACCTAAAATGTTGATAACTTACAAAAACAACCATTTCTATTTATTTGCATTCATAAGCCAACTTAATCTACATTTATGTAATTACTCTCTGAAGAAAAGTGAATATTGATTCTTTATTAGATGTTTTGTTAATTGGTTTTCGTATCAAATGAAGCAAACTTAATATTTAGTGTTGTAGATGTAATCAACCAATAAATTAATATCGAATTACTATCAAATCTATTAATATAACGAATCTTTATATATAGGTTTTCAATCAAGTTATGAAGCCAACATAATTGTAAGAATATAATAAATCAATTCCAATTAATGCATTTTGTAAATAATTTGTTTAATATCAGGAATTGCTAGAATGGTACGGAATGTAAATACTAATTTTGTAGTTGTAATCTTTATTAAATAGGTTAAGATTGCAATCTTATAATTGATGATCTAACTACACAATAAATATTTTAGGGTGGAAAGATTTATTATGTTGACGTTCAAAAAATTCAAAAGGAAAATGAAGAAATTTTATTATAATTTTAAAATTCCACTTCATTTTATGGATTTTGCATAACTTAAAATTTCAATATAAATTAAATAAGTAATTAAACAAACAAGACTTTGTATATTTCAATTGATTAAATCAAATAATGTCACAATAATGTGTTAAATTTAAAAGAATAATTTAATTATACTGTAAACTTTTATTATTTAGTATATTTTAATTCAAATTACTTAATCTACTTGGAGAGTCCTGTTCAAAATAGTGATAATTATTTACTCATAATAGTTTTGAGTACTATTCTATCAGTAGCTACAATTTGCTTTATATTTTGTATTATCAAATCAAAATGTTATAAAAAATAAAATGGATAAAAGAAAAGTGAATTAAAATATGAGATTAAGAATGTTCCATCTTTAATAGAGAAATTCTTTCCTTCATAAGAATTTTTAGCACTTCGAAATAAATGCGAGAAATTTATTACACTCAATCAATGCCTGATTTGCCTTGACATTTTTTATGATGAATCGCCTGTAAGAGTCACCTATTGCAATCATATCTTCCATACGTCTTGTTTCGATAAATGGATGAATATACATAAAGTAATGTGATACCAATATCTACAGAGCTGTCCTAATTGTAGGAGTTTATTTGACTAGGAATCCATATTAAAATATTACATTTCCAATAAGAAAGATTCTGATATGCTTTAATGGAGTAGTAGAACAGACGAGATTAAAATAAATTTAAGACCACTTATTAATGAGACATAACAACAACAACCTTAAGTTTCTTAATTAGATTCTTAGAGAAACATTTAAGCTTTTTGAATTAGTTTAAATATTTATTATAAAATAATTAATTAATTAAATAATGAAGGAAAAATTTTACCTTGCATTTAAAAATGAATTGGATTTGATCTAGAAACTATAGTTATACCCTTTGTTTAAATAAATTACCATATGGACTGATCATTTGTTAGAGAATTAACAACTTACAGAATAAGAAAAATTATTAAAAGAGCTGTCCAATAATTAAGATCATTTTGGGAGACTTTTATAAGACTGTTGCAATAACTTGGGGGAATAAAATTTAAATCTTCTTTGTCTATTAACATTAGTTTTTGGTTTGATAGTTCCAATTAAATTGATTGAAGAGGAAAATATAGCATATATTATTGAAAGATACTATTGTACAATATTTAACTATTAAAATATTTAGGTTAACAAACAAACTCTATAAAATTATTGATTACATTATTTAAACAATTTAAATTTAATAATGTAATGGTACTTTTACCTTCCATTTATGACTAAGAAATTAGTTACCTTACATAATCCATCAAGATTAATTTATTTGATAGAACTTATGTGACTATATATAATTTAATTGAAGAATATACAAATAATGTATCAATTTATAATAAGTATTTAGAAATCATAAGACCTTTTTGATTAAATTATAAAGTAATCATAAGACTTAGAAATATATTCATCAAATTAATTACAAATATCATTATTACAATAAATTAAAAAATTTATAGAATATGAAAGTCATGAATTAGCTGAAAAATATGTAGATATAGAATTAAATGATTATTATGATTCAATTCCAGTATTTAAAGATGTAAAAGTGGTTAGAAATAAAGAAGATTTATTGAATAGAAAATTATTTATATAAAATGAATTTATTCATGTACCTGAAGATGAAACTATTGAATATAAAGAAATGATTAATTTAGAAGTTAAAAATTAGTTTATTGTAAAAAAAGCTGTTACTGCATTTTTAAATTAAAAAGGAGGAACTTTATTTATTGGAATCAAAGACTCATTTTAAGTAAGAGGATTCTATGTTGGAAATAATATTTACTATTTTAGATAACTTCTTTGGGAAGAATGTTTAGATATGATTCATCCAAATTTAACAGTTGATAAGTAAGTGAAAATTGAATTATTACCAATTTATTCATATGAAGCAATTCAACTTGAAGGATATTTCATTGTCAAAATAGAATTAATTAGAGAATTAGATTCAACATTTGTTTATACATTTGGAGAATTAATTGAACATCATTAATAATGTGAAGCTACATTTTGTTTTAAAAGATATGGAGATCAATCAAAAGCAGTTAGACATCATCATTTAAAATAATTAATTAAAATTCTTAATTACAATCAAAATGTTTTAGTTTCTGAAAGAATTGGAAGAAATTTCTATATTGAAGATAGAATTAAAAATAAAAGATTCACAAGTTAATCTTCAAAAGAAAGATCTAATGAAAATTAAAATTAATATAAATAAGATTTAAAAATGAACCATAATCTATTATCATAATTAGAATCCAATGAAAATCTTAATGAAAATTTATAGCCTCATCCTGATATAGATTTAGCTAATTTAAATTTATAATTTGAGGATTAAATAAATTAAATCCAAGAATGGAAAAATTGGATAGTTATTCGAAAACTGAAATCAAATGTTTTTAATTAATTAATCATTATATTAAAGACCCTTTATGATATTTGTGTTCAAGATATCATAGTTGCATCTACGACAATTCATATACAGTTGAAAAATTTAAGTAAAGAGGAATTCATTGAAAATTTAAGAAGTTAATTAAATGGAAAAAGAGAAAGAGCTAAATTTACATATGGACATCCATAAATAATTTAAGTTGCTTATTAAGATATAGATTTGGAATAAATAATTTCTGATAATTTGAAATTGCATAATTTTTATATTTATGTAAAAAAAGAATGTAAAATAATTGAAGCTAAACATGTTGAAGATCTGATAAAAATTTATAAATTTATCAAGGACAATCTTAAGATTGAAGTTCATTGGAAATTAAGAGAAGCATAAGAATTTGTAGCCTTGGACTGAGTAAATCTATCTAAATTTACTAAATTGAAATATAAATTTAATTCAGTAATCGTATTATGATAAAAAAGGATCTTTTGTTTTTTAATCCACATCAAAAGTTTTTATATCCTAAAATTTTAATTTGACACATTTATATCCATAAAAGAAATTAAATATCTATTAAATATTGATATATAAATTGATACCAATACAATTATGCTAGCTAAAAAAATTATAGCGATAATTAAAAAGGTGGCCCAATCTAAATTTATTTGTTCGAATTAATAATCATAATATTACAAGAATAAAAAGAGTTTGACATTTTCAGCTATGCAAATTAAAAAAGCAATAAAAAAATATAAATAAACTAATTTTAATTTTCTTTTTTTAACCTAAATATATTTTATCATAATATACTCCTATATATCCAATTACAAATCCAGCAATGATAACAATTATGGCAGAAATATCAGCAATAAGATGAATCTATGATTATTATTCTATTGATGTATCAAAAAAAAAGAAAAATGTTACAAAAATCAAAAATGTTAGTTGTGCATATACTTATAGAAGACATTAAAATGAAGTAAACCATTTGAATTTATTCTGTTCATTAACAGAGGCTCCAATCTTTGTAAATATTTCATCTCTAAAAGCTTCTATAAAATATTTATATGAAATCAATCCCATTATTTACACAAATATTGAAAATCCTATATAAACATAACAAACAATTTGAACTAACTATGATTAATATTATTATTTACTATTTTATGATCTAACTCTTCATTAATACTAATATAAAAATATCTTAATGTACTAGCAATTGTTGTACAAATAGATATTATTAGATAAGCTAACAATTCTAGCATATTTTTTTTGATAATCTTATAAAATATCAACTATAATTACAGAATGCCAAGCGTAATAAAATGAAGATAAACTAAACAACAATAAAATTAACCATTTGTATAAATTTTCTCTTCTATATTCGGCATTGTTTTGTTCATTTTCAATTATTATTAAGATAACACAGGATAATATTAAGAAGGACAATTGTATAGAAATGAGAATGAATAATTATTTACTCCCTTTTTCTCTAATGTAGTTATATATTTTTTCTATTTTCTCCATTTAATTAAATAATGGATTAATAATAAAATGAATAGGCTCAATAAATCAATATTGAAGAACCTATATATAAATTGACTACTAAATTAATGAAAACATGTAATCCTAAGTAAGTGAATTTTGAAGATTATAATAGAAGTTTAGATAAGAAATTTCTTAAAGACTTTAAAATCAAACCTAGTGAGACACTTGTTAATTTAAATAATACTAAATTAGATCCTTAATCTCCAAAAACTAATAAAGCCTTACAAGATTTGAATATATATCCAAACTAATTAGAACTATTGTAAAATTAATATTTTTTACTTAGGGATAAATAAGAGTTTAAAAAAAATGGAGAATCATCTGAACTAACAGAAAAGAGATATTGGTTACATTATTTTTAAGTTGCTTAATAAAAAAAGTCTGTGATTTTATAAAGAAATAAGTATAAACGAGAAGAATGGATAGAAAAATAGTAACGTCCAAAATCGATTTAAACTCTTGATCAAAGCATGAATAGTAGTATCAATATTAGCGAATATGCTCCTTATAAAAGTCCTACTGAAATGATTGAAAGTTGGATAGATAGTCAAGTATAATAAAGTGATCGTCAAATATAAAAATTCAATAAACTTTAATAAGTAAATTTTTATACTCATTTTTTTATAGAAAAGAAAAGAATTAGAAGAATTAAATTAAGAAGAATAAGATAAATATAAAGAAAATCTTGAAATTATTTTAGAAAAAAAAAAAAAAAATAGATTAAATAATTTAAAGTAGAAATCTTAAATTGCAAGAAAGGATGTATCTAAAAGCTTAGAAATTTCTACTAAAATGAGAACAGTTATTCAAGAAGAAAAATATAAAAAAGCTTAAATGAAGAAATTATAAACTGAATAAAATATTGAATAAGCGTATATTTTATATTATTAATTTAATAGATAAAAAAGAGTTGATCAAATTAAACAAACATATGTTGATACTTTAGAAGAAAAGTAAAAGATTTATGAAGAAAAATTATAGTAAGTTTTGAAAAAAAAAGATGAATAAGATTAATAATTGATGTAACATAGATTAAAAGAGATAAAAACAGATAGAACTCATAAATCAACAAAAAAAATTAGAAAATCTGATGAATGGTCCTCAAAATTACCTTTATTAATTAGTAGAAGTGAAGCACAATTTTAAAATGTTTATAATTCAAATTTAGCATCAGTTATTGAAAAATTTTAAAAAGAAGGAAAAAAGAAACTTAAATAAAATAAATCTTAAGAATTGGAAAAAGAACATATTGAAGAAATTAAATAAAAAGAGGAATAATTTAAAAAACGATATTCAGATAAACTTAAAATATTTGAGTAATAATTAATACTATATAAATAGAAATAAAAGAATGAAAATTGAAGAGAAATTTGCAAAAAAAGATCAATACTTAATTGAACATTAATAAAAAAAAAAAGAAGAATTAGAGGAAAAATTTGATAAAATTAGAGAAATAAGTGCTGAAAATGAAAGAAGATTCATAAATATTAAACAATAATATAACAATAAATGTGATAAACAAATGGATAAAGAATAAAAAAAATTTAAATAAAATATGAATCTGATTAAATAAAGAGAATAAATTATTGAATAGTTAAGATACAAAAGATTCTTAGAAAAGAATAAACCTCTGACTTAATCTTAAGAAAGTACATCAAAATACAATGATAGCAAACTTTAAGCATGATAAGAAGAAAAAAAAAAATATATAAATTAATTTAATGTACTTTTAAATCCATAATATCAATCTGTGTGTTAAGATCCTTTAGTTGCACCAACACCTGGTTTTCCATGTCTGGTTGGTTTATAGGTTAATGAAAATTCACCTAAATATCTAAAATTTAACCATTAAATCATTTATACCTGCCAATCATATCAAACTTGATTTCAACATTGCTAAATTGTCTACCATTATAAACTCCAACAATTGAACCTACCATTTCTGGAACAACAATAGTATTTCTTTAATGAGTTTTAACAGGTTTTGGTTTTTCACCAGGTAATGTTTCCTTCTTACTTTTTCTAATCTAAATATTATAATCTAAATATTACCTTTTTCATTAAATTTTAGAAAGCATGTACTTTTTCTCCTTGATTTGAGATTCTTCTTCTTTATCTGGCTCTGAATTATTCCACTAATTTATCCATAGGTAGTTTAACCAACTCTTCAAGTTAGAGTCCTCTGTAAGTGAACTTCTTAACTCCTTTGAATTGTTTTTCTTATGTTTATTCTGCCATTATTTGAAAAATGAAAATTAAAGATTTTAATATATTCCAAAACATCATACATTTTATAAAACATTTATTTCCCTCAATTTATTAAAATTGATAAATAAAACCCAATTATAAACTCTTTAATTATCCCTCTATATTTGATTCATTTAAGCATGTTATATTATCATACTTAAAATTATACAAAAAGCTTTAAAAATATATTAAATCAATAAAAATTATTAAACATATTTTAATGATATAAAGTGATACTTCTATTATAAGAATATTGTTTTAACTAAATTTATATCATATATAATATTTTATTAAAAAAATGAAATAGTTTGTCAGCCCATAGGATATGCTTAATAAATTTAGAAATCCTCACGAGATTTACACATAACAAACCGATTTTTATTATGATCCATAAAGCGATGCAAACATACCAAAAATTTTACAAGTATTACTAATTTTAAGCAAAAGCAATCCATCAATTTTTTTGATGATGAAATAAGTAAAAAAACAAAAGATAAATTAATAGAAGAGTTAAGATAGAATATTATACGTTGGTTAAAACTTTATTAATCAGTTGAATAAGAATTTGCAGGAGAATTAGCAGTTTTTGGTTCATATAGATTTGGAGCCAATGGAAAAGATAGTGATATTGATTTAATTATCTTGGCCCCACCTTAAATTGATAGAGAACTTCATTTCTTTTAACAATTACCTTCAATATTGAATTCTAATTCAAAAGTGACAAATTTATATTGTATTCAAGAAGCTATGGTTCCTTTGATTCGATTTAAATTTGCAGGTTTACTAAATTTCATACTATAATTTAGGAATATAATTTGATTTGGTATTTGCATGTGTAAAAAAAATAATGAAACCTTTAAGTTAAAGTGATCCAGTTGATGAAAAATCAAGTAGATCTCTAAATGGATTAAAAGTAAGTGATTATTTTTCAAAATACTGTCATTAAAAATCTTATTTGTCATTTTTAAAGTTTATAAAAGCTTGGGCAATTAATAGAGGTATTTATGGAAATGTAATGGGTTATTTGGGAGGAATATCATGGTAAATATTAACTCATAAAATATTTTAATTATATCCAAATTATAGTGTTTAAGGATTGATTGAAAGATTCTTTTTTATTTTTTCTTAATGGAAATGGAATGAATTACCAGTTGTAATTTAAAAATGTGATGAAATTTGGAGAAATTCACTTTTTGAATAATAACAAAAATAACATAATGTAATGACAATTTTAACTCCTGTTTATCCATATATTAATTCAGCTTATAATGTTTCTAATTGTACATTTACAATAATTGAAGAATAATTAAAATTAGCAAATATTATTATGTAGAAAATTTGCTTATCTGAATTATAATGGGTATAATTAATTAATTAAAATAGTCTGACTTACTAAAAAAGATATAATTTTTTGATATTTATTACACATATTTGTAAATCCGAGCATTATCTAAGAATAAAGATGATCTAATTTAATGGAAGAGTCATATTGAATCTAAATTAAGAAAATTAAATAAAATGTTAGATGAAGGTGATGTTAATAAAGCAATAGAATTTCATCTCTATCCAAAAAGTTTTTAAACAGATTATGTGTAAGGAGATGAAAATGATATTCCAGGATCTCTTTTTAATTTTAGTGAAAGTTTTTTTTATGGGATTAGAATTAAGGATGAAGAATTAGTAAAAGAAAAACTTGATATCGAAAATATAATTAGATAATTTTGCGATTGTCTTGAAGGATAGAAACCATATTTTAGAGTTCCAGAGAATCTTAATTTAGAAATTAAAGTAATTTAATATTAAATAATTAGTCATTACATAAGGATTAAATTCCAAAAAAAATAAAATCTGAATTGTGATGTCTTACTTAATATATATTTATTTATCATGAAATTGATATCACTAATTTAATAGAGAAAAAACTATATATAATATTCACATTTTCTATTTCCATAGTTTCTTTAATTATAATTGATTAACATTTTATAGTTTTTCTTAGATATGTTACAAAATTTCTTCTTAGATTTCGTCAATACTCTTAAGAGCATTAATTTTGTAAAAGTTCTCTTGAAGTGCTAATTGATCAAAAATGTTGCCAACTTTATATTAAAATGAAGAATTTTCATAGATTTCCTTTCCATAATCTCCTCTTTAACTTAACTGTTCAATTGGTCCAGTTAAATAAAATGTAATATCTGGTTAAATAAGTCCTGAATCTGGAGCTTTACACCATTCAATAGGTAATCCTTTAGCTGCTGAAAAAGCAACTCCAGAATATGCGTAACGATCACTTACGATATTGATTCCGTTCTAAAGTTATTTTAATATAGATGTGCTAGAATATTTAATATTTTTACTGCTATTCCCATCTGTTTGCTGAAAATAATAAATGTATCACTTCATCACTCATATTATTGTTTCCTCTTAAATAATCTGAAATAATAAGTCCAAGTTGTGTAGTTCTATCAGGAAATGATACTTTTCTTGCATTTAATTTTTAAGATAATAATTTTGCTTAAGTTGATTTCCCTGACTTATCAAGACCTTCTAAAGCAATAAATAATCCTCTATTTATCTTTTTTATTGTTTATTGGATGATTATTTCCATTAATTACCACAAATAATAATAATAACAAAGTTAATAATAATATTATGATCTAATAAAAATCAAAAGTATATCAATCATTTGATCAGTTTTGTGAATTGTAATAAAAATGGATTAAATAAGAACATGAAGAAGAATAAAAATTCATTTAATTAATAAGCTCAGAATTGAATCATACTTAAATTATATAATTGGGATATGGTTTAGGAAAATTAAAATTAGTAAAAACTAAAATGACATTTGGTAATAGATAAGTACTTGTATTTGAATAATAATAAATAAAAACAGAAGAAATTAAGGAGGATTAAATTAAACAATTTTCAGAAATAAAATAAGAAAATTTTAGATTAAAATAAGGAGATTAAGTTGGAATCTACATATGGTCAAAAGTGTTAAATTAATAGAAATTTAAAAATCCTGATGCTGTTGGAGTCATTGATAGATATAGAAAGAACTTAAGAATAATTTTAGAATAAAATTGTAAAATCCCAGATGACAATTCAATATATGGGATATGTTTATAAGAAAATCAAGTGACATATAAAAGGTATAAATATTCTTTAATTATAGACATATATAAGTGATAGAGGATTTAAAATAATAATATGAAAAGATGCCAATTATTTAAATTTTATTCGGTGATGAATAAGAACAGAAAATAAAGAAAAATACCAAAGAAGGTATATAATTTTAAGGGGATACAATTTTATAATTAAATTAATAATAATAAATAGCAGTTGAAAATGCAATGAATTAACCTCATATATCATTAATTCATGGTCCACCTGGAACAGGAAAAACAAGAACAGTTTGTGAATATATAAAATAAGCTGTTTTAGTATAAAATTAGAAGGTAATTTAATTATTTAATATTTGATAGGTATTAGCATGTGCAAATTCTAATGTTGCAGTTGATAATATGATAGAGAGGATTCAAAGTATAAGTTAATTAAAAGTCTGTAGAATAGGTAATCCTGCAAGAATGACAGATTAAGTTAGATATGTTTGTATTGATTAATTAGTAAAAAAGACTTCAAGTTATGCAATGTATGAAATGAGAAATATAAATTTAGAATGAAAACAATAAAAACAGAAATTTAATAGATTGAGAAGAAATTAAGCAGATAAGAAAGAAGGGAAGGAGCTGATTTAAGAGACCAATTGAAACAAAAGAAAAGAGAATATTATGAATAATAATAATTAGCATATGAGGAAGCTATCTAGGATTGCCAAGTTATTTTTAGTACTAATGTTGGGAGTGGTTAATTTTAATTTTCATAATTAACTAGGAATATAAAATTTGATGTAGTAGTAATTGATGAATGTGCATAATCATTAGAAATAAGTTGTTGGATTCCAATTCTTAAAGGAAAGAAAGTAGTTTTAGCTGGGGATCATTGTTAATTACCTCCAACAGTTAAAACAAAAAACACTGGATTAGAGATGACTTTATTTGAAAGAATTGAAAATGAATTAAATATTAATACTTAGTTAACAGTCTAATATAGAATGAACAAATCAATTATGTAATGGTCATCTTAAGAATTTTATAATGGACATTTAATTGCTGATGAATCTGTTGCTAATAGATATGTAAGTGAAACCATTTTACTTTTTGTTGATACAGCAAGTTGTGAATTCTATGAATAATAATAAGAAAGTTTATTGTGTTTTGATGATTAAAATAAATCAAAATATAACACTGGAGAGGCTGGATTAGTTTAAATCATTTCTGAAGAATTAATTAGTTTAGGTGTTTAAAAATAAGATATAGGAATCATAACACCATACAATGCTTAAGTTTAATTATTAAAGTCTTAAATTAATGATATTGAAATTTCTACTGTTGATGGTTTTTAAGGAAGAGAAAAAGATTGTATAATCATTTCCATGGTTAGATCAAATTAAATTGGAGAAGTTGGATTCTTAAGTGAATCTAGAAGAATGAATGTTGCTATTACTAGAGCTAAAAAATTCGTTTGTCTTATAGGGGATAGTGAAACTGTTTCTAAAGATCCTTTTTTAAAAAGATTAATTGATTATTTTAATGAAAATGGAGATTAAAGAAGTGCTTAATATTATCAATATAATGATAAGATTTAAATACCTATTTTAGTAAAATAAATTTAAAAAGAAAGTGTTTTAGATAAAAATAAGAAAACTAAAACATAAATTAAGCAATTAAAATAAAATAATAATAATTAAATCTTAAATCAATAAGTTTAAGACAATTTTATTGAATAACAATAAGAATAAAATACTATCTCTTAAAATGAAATTTTAATTATTAATTTTTTAAATTCAAAAGAAATAGAACTTATTTTTAAAGATTAAAATAGTTTTCAAAGAAAAGAACTTCATGAATTAGCAGAAAAATATTAACTAAATCATGAAAGTATTGGTAATAATAAATAAAAAAAAATCTTAAAATTAACAAAAAATTTATAAGTCTAAAAATAATAACACGCAGATTTAGATTAAAAAGATACAATAAATCAATAAGAATAAGAAAATAAAATTACATAATTGATAAAAGAGGATGAAAACAAATAGTAAGAACAATTATAATAAAATTAATAATTATAACAATAATAATAATAATAACAAAAATAATAACAATAATAATAAGAATAATAATAAAAATAATAAAGTTAAAATGGATAATAATAAAATGAGAAACAAAAGCCTTCTTAATAATAATAAAAAAAGAAAGAAAAATAGCCATCTTAATAATAATAAAATAAAAAACAAACATTGAAACAATAAAAATAAGAGGAAGATGAATTTTTTGATTAGATTGTATTAAAGGATGAGAAAAAATGTTCATTCATGTCCAATAATGTCTAATGTCATTAACCAATAAATTTACTATCCATAAAATGCAAATTCTGTGAATATTTATTTTGTACCCATCATGTATTTGCTGAAAATCATGGATGTGGAGATAATGCTAGTAAATTTGCAAGGTATATTAATTCAATAAAATTAGATAATAATTTTAATCAAATCAACTCAATACTGAAACAAGTAGGGCTGCTCTTCAAGCAAAAATTGCGGATAGTATGAAAAAAAGAGAAAAAAAGTAAAAAAAAAAATGATTTTCTTAAATCTTATAAATATTAATTAAATGAATTTATAAAATTATAATAGGGAGGGTAGGAATTACTAAACTGAGAGAGTTCGATAAATATCTCCATCCTCGAAATTAATGCATCTCAGTAATTAAGAAATTAGCTTTTATGTTTCTAAGTATGGAGATCCATAAGAAAATTCAAAAGATGCTAAAAACACATAATATTTTATGTCATTAATTTAACCCTTACTAGAGGAGAATTATTAACTAAAAGATACCATATTAAATCTTACTGAAGCCTTGAAATGTAAAATTGATTTAATTATTATAGTGGATAAAGAACTTCTATTAGAAACAATCAGTTAAATAATTAAAGATAAAAATTTATCATCTTAAAGCACAATTAGTGAAATCTTATCATAATTAACAATTTATGTAAAAAAAGATAGAGACTATACATTAAAATTAGAGTTGTTAGTTGAATAAAAGGATCTTGAGATCTTGTAATTGTAATAGGAAATTGAAAACAATAAAAAATGGAAAATTTAATTTATTGAAGAAAAAAATTAGGAGGTCGAATCTAGAACAAGCAGATTTTTTTTTTAAATGGATTAGTTAAAAGAAACAAATCAAAAATTATAATAATAAAATAAAGAGTCATAAGATTTATTGAATTCAGAATAATAATACTCTTAAAAGTTAAATGAATAGCTTTAAAAGATTATTGATGAATTCAACAAATCTTAATAGTAAAAATAAGAAGTATTATTTAAAATAAAAATTAGTTACAATTATAATTAAGTATTGCAGAAAGATAAATACAATAAGAAAAATAAGACAGTTAAAAAAGATTAAATGATCAAATCAGTTCATTACATAGAGATCACCATCAATAAATAGAATAAATAAAAAGTAAAAAATTTTAAAAAGTTTTAGTTGAGTAGATGAGTTTAGTAAACGATTTGAAAAAATAAATATAAAATTATTAAGAGGAAATAAAGAATTTAGAATTAAGTTATACGGCATCATTAGATAAAAATCTAAATGAGATTAAAGTATTATAATTTTTAATGATTTAGAGATTATAAAATTAAATTTAAATTTCAGAAAAATAAATATCAGTTTATAAACAATAAGAATTAGCTAATTTAGATAATTTAAGTAAAATTATGATGGAAAAGAGAGATAAGGATTCAAAATTAAAGAATTTAAACTTAATTATACTTGAAAAGGATAAATAAATTGATAATTTAACTTTAGATGTTTTATAATTGAAATCAAAATTAGAATAGGCTGAATTGAAATGTACATAGTAAATTACAAAATACAAGTAAATAATTAAATTTAATTAGATTAAAATATAAGGAAAAAACTTAAGAAAAGATCTTTGAAGCAAAGAAGGATTTAGAACATAAAATAGTAACTATTGAATAAGAAAAAAAAAAAATTTGTGAAGATTTCAAATAATAAATAATTGTTTTAGATGTCTAAAAAACTTCGCTAGTAAAAGAATGCAAAGCTGACAATGAAAAATTGAGAGATGAAATTGAAGATTTAGAATTCAAATTAAAAGATTTAGATAATATGTGGGATTTTAAATATGCAAAATTAAAAATGGAACATGATAGATTAAAACTTGAATTAGCGTAATATTAATGAATTTATAATTTCTCTTAAATAAAATTGATAATTTTACAAATTTTATGATAACAATACTTCCAAAAATGAAGGAAATAGTAACTATATGAAGTATTCAGTAAAAATTATTTATTTTCTGTTTATCTATTCTTATTTGTTATTTTATTTTTTGACTTGTAAAACATTTAAACATTCTAAAAATAATTCACTAATGTCTTATTTTGGAGCATCCTTCTCTAAATTATATAGTTTTGATATTTAAAGTGAATCATAACTATTAATATTTCTAGTTCATATTCCATTTATTGAATTAAAACTGAATAATTATTCTTTTCACTGTCAAATATATGATTAATTCTAAATATAATTCTGAATTCTATATCTTTTGATATAAGACACTTTTTATTGTTTTTTATAAAGGAAATTTATTGTAATTGATATTAGAGGTACATTAATAATATAGGCTTTTTTGATTGATTAAATAAAATTATTAAATTAAGTTAGCTGATTTGATTTTATTAGTTATTTAATATTTAATATATATATATGTATTTTTATATTTTTATATACAATTTTCAATATAAGAAAGAAGGAGAAAATAAAGAGATTATTGATTATTGTTATCTATATGTAATTAATTCATAAGGATTATTTTAAATAAAATAAATTGATTGTCTTAATTGGATAATTATCATATTTATAATACGAAATAATTCAAAAATGAATAAAAAACCTTTACTTCCAAAACAAACTAAACAAACTTCCTCTTCTCCTCCCACTAATTCAGGGAACACTTTACTAGATCGTATAAAGAGTTTAAATTAAAGGCAATCAGACTAAGCTAAATAATTAACCCACACATCATCATTTACAACTGATAGAGTGAAAAATAGAACAAGGGCCAATTATTCTGAATATTTTGATTCAAGAAAATTACCGTTTAATTCTACTCTATAACCATCTAGATCAAGTTCTTGTAAAAAAAAGAGGCACTTCTATGATGAAAAAGTAGAAAGTGATGGAAAAATATCATAAATAGAAGATTAAACATAACATTAATAAATAAAAGATTTTATTGCTTAAATACCTATATGTAAATTAAGCAAAGATGAATAAATTGAAAAATTAGAATTAGAAAATTAAAGTTTAAATAAATTAACAGCAGGTTATTAGAAAAAAGCTGAAGAAAGAAAAACAATAATGAAATAATTGTATGGTATTTTAAAAACTAAAGATTAAGAAATTGAATACTTAAGAAAGAACTATGAAAATTAAATTTTAATTTAATAACAAAAAATGGAACAATTTAAACATGAATGCAATCATTTATTAGAAAGGGCTGATAGTAGAATAATAAAGTTAGAAGGTTTACTTTAAAATGCATTGTAATATAAATAAAAAAGATTGAATGATTTATTAGTCAAAGAGGAAAAAATGAGAGATATCTTATCAAAATTAATAAAAAAATAAGAAAGTAAAGAAAAAATAGATGAAGTAAAGAGTATTTTAGCATTTATTGCAAGAGAAAAATCTAGGTTTGAAACCCCTAGAAAATAGAATTCTTAGCATGAATAAATTGATAATATATAGAATGAACATTAAAAATTAGTATCATTACATGAGAATGTAATGCTTTAAATCGAGAAATTAAATTATCAAGTATCATAATCTTTATAGACATCTTAATATGGTTAAAAGGATACAATTAAGGAGCTTTCATAAAATATTAAAGAAATGATAAATCAATTATCTTTATCTAAAAATACTTCTAAGGAAAAAGATTAAAAAATTAATTAATTATAAAATGAAATAATCAAATTTAAAAAGTTAGCTGAAAATAAAAAAGAAAATGATGCTTAAAAGTATTAATAAGTGATTAATGATTTGAAATTAGAATAAAGTAATCTAGAAAAAAAATATTAATAAATTGTAATACAAGAGAAATTTGGAGAAGAAAATAATTAAGAATTATAAAATCTTAATGATTAATTACATGTCTAAATAGTTAAGTAATAATCTTAAATATAATAATTACACAAACAGATTGAAGATTAAAATAGAATTATGATGGCTAATGAAAAAATTATTTAATAATATCAGCAAAAGGAAAAAAAATTGTATGAAGAGTTAGATAATTAAAAAGAGCAATAAGAAGAAATAAATTAATTAAAAATTTAATTAATTTCATTAAATAATTAAAAAGATAATTTATTAGAAAACATAGAATAATTATAGAATGAAATAATTTAGAAAAATGATGCAGTTAATCAAGCAGAAAATTAAATAAATTCATAAATTAGATTGTTAAATAAAGGTTAATAAGATTTAATTAAATGTGAAAATTATAACGAAGAACTCTAGTAGAAAAATAAAATTTTATAAGAAAAGTTAAAAAAAGTAGAGGATAATAATCTATAATAAATCTTATAAAATAAATTGTAAGATATAAACAATAAACTTGAGCTATTAAAAAATGAAAATGAAACTTTAGTACAATAAATATAATTGTAATAAGATGAAAAAGAAAAATTTTTTGAATAGCTTATTTAATTAATTAAATAAAAGTAAAATAGTCTTTTATATAAATCGCAATCACCGAAAAATGCAATATCAAGATAAAGTAGTAAATTTGGAGATCAATTATTTATCTCTGATGGTAATAATAAATATATGTCAAGATTTTAATAAGAATTAGGAGGATTTGATGAAATAATATAATAATTAAGTTCAAAGTTGATATAGATTGAATAACAAAAGAACGAATTTAGAAATTTAAATTTGGAATAACAAAAATAAAATTCTTAATTTCTTTTATAAATTTCTAATTTGGAATAAGAAAATAAGAAATACTTTTAAATGTTATAACAATGGCATTAGCAAATGACAAGTAGTAGCACTGTTAATTTGGAATAAAATTAAGAAGTAATTAAATATGTCAAATAAGAATTAAAAAAATTAAAAAAGATGGAAGATGAATGTTATTAGTTAAAACAAATTAATTTAAATTTAACCAATATTTAAGATGAGTTAACTTTTGATTTAGAGGAAAAGGTTCGATAATTAGAATAATATTAATAATAATTAGAAATAGAATAGGAATAATCATAAAAGCTGATTAAAGAAAATTAAGAACTCAAATAATAGATCAAAACTTAAAATCTATTAGAAAATAATAAGCTATTAGAAATAGAAATTGAAAATTTATAAAATAAAGAAAAAGAATATCTGTAAAAATTAGAAAGTTTTAAAGTTTAAATTGAAAACTAAGATAAAAAGATAATTTAGAATTTAAATCTCATTTAATAATTAAATGAAAAAGAAAATAGTTAAAACTAATAAAATTAATAACTTTAAAATTAATTAAATGATTAATTAAAAAAATATTAAGAAAAATCTCAAGAAGTTGAGAAGTTCAAAATGGATTTACTTTCATCTTAAAATAAAGTAAACTAGTAAGAATTAATGATGAATGAACTTAAAAATGAGATAATAAATGAAAATAATGATTAAAAAGTAAAATAAAAATAAATGAATGATATATAAGAAAAGTTATAAACTTAAATAAGTTCCAATTAAGATTAATTAGTTTTAATTCAGTAACTTAAAGATGAAATAAATTAATTACATTAATAAATAAGGAATTAAAATGAATAAATAGATTAGTAATCGGCATAGAATATTTAACAGTAATAATTTTTAGAGAAATAAATTATTTTATAATAAGAAGCATTGAAGTAATTTGAATAATAAGAATAATAAAACAAATAAGTTATTAATGAATAAGATAAAAATTTTAATGAAACTCTTGAAGATTTGGAATAATTAAAATGTAAATTAAAACAGGCTGAAACAGAACAAATAATCATATAATAATAATATGAGGAAAGTTTGATCTAAATAAATAATCTTCTTTAAAAAATTGAATGTTGTGAAAATCAAAATAAAAAGTTGTAAGATTAACTAGAAAATTTTGAATAGAGATTATAAGATAGTTTAAATGAATTATCTTTAAAGAAAGAAGAGATTAATGAAATGGCTATGAAAGAGTAGGCAAGTAAGTTTGAATAAGATTGTTTAAATGCAAAGTGTCTTTCATATGAATTATAGATTGAAGAATAAGAAAAGTTGATATCTTAATTAAATAATTAATCTTAAAAGTAATGTGAAATATAAGAGTAGGTATTAGATCTCTAGAAAATAAATGAAGAATTGTAACAAAATTTGAGTGATTCATAATAAAACTATGATATTTTGTAAAACACTTATTATGATCTTCGTAGTTAATAAAAATTATTAGAGGAAGAAATTGAGGATAAAAGTTAAGAGATAGAAATTTTAAATAGAGATTTAAAAATTTATAAAGAATAAATTGATTAAAATAAAGTTATTATCAATCAATTTTAAGAAGAAATGGTTTAATTAAGAACCAGTGCAAATCTTAATTTTGCAGAGAATTGCAAGTTAAGAGAAGATAATCAAATAATTAAAAATGAATTAGAGAATCATTTAATTAATTCATAATAAAATTTAAATCAAAATAATGAAAAACTTTAGGATTTGGAGTAATAAATATAAGTTTTACAAAATGAATTAGAGAATTAAAAATTTTAAAATTAATATCAATATTCTCAAATTGAAGAATTAACTAATATTCTAAAAGAAACAGAAGAAAATTTGGATGATGTTAAGTAAGATTTGGAAATAACAATAAGATAATTAAAAAATGAATAAGCTGAAAAAGAAGAAGAATTTTAAAATAAATAAAAATTAGAAAGAATCATTTAAGAATATAAATAAGAAGTTTAATAATAGATATAAAAAATCAATTCATAAGAAGAGAATTTATTATCTTTACATAATAAAATTTATGAACAAAGTAATCATATTGAAAATCTAAAAAATGAAAATTCTAAATTGTAAATTGAATGTGAAAAATAATAGAAAGAGATTGAAATTTTAAAAGAAAATATAAATTAATAATTAATAGTAATTGAAGATTAAAAATATAATTTAGAGGATTCAGAATTTCAAATTAAAATATTTTAAAATAAATATAATGAAATAAACAGTTAATTAGAATAATTAGATGAAAGATTTCAGGATTTAGAATAAGAAAATGAAATATTAAACAGAAATTAATCTCATAGTTAATAAAAGTTGGATTAAATTTAAAATGAGAAATTCATTCTATAATAAGAAATTGCAGATTTAAAATAATCTTTAGCAACCTTATTCGAAGAAAGATAAAAAAATTAAGAACAAATATAAAAATTATCATATGAGATAGAATCATAAAAATTTGAAAATGCATAAAAGCAATCAAAAATAGATATGATTTCAAATTAGGGAAATGATTTGTAGTAAAGTTAAATTGAATTGCAAACATAAATTGAAAATTTGAAATAAAATAATTAATAACTCTAAATTTAATTATAAGATGAAAAATAATAAACAGAAGTTATGAAATTGAAGTAAGAAAGTGATTAGAAAATTATTGAAGAATTAAAGAATGTTGAGATTGTAAATTTTTAAAAGTAAATTAATAACTTCTAGTAATAAGTTAACATTTATGAATCAAAAGAAAATTAATATTAATAATAGTGTAGTTAAATGAAAAATTTATAAGAAGAACAATCAATCAAAGAAAAATAATTGGAATAATTCCAAGAAGAAAACTAAAAACTCAAATAAGAAATAATAAATTGTAGGGATTAAATAAATTTATTAGAAAAGGATAATATATCAAAAGAATAAAAATATAATGATCTTGAGTAAAAGATGAATACTACATAAAAGACTATTGAATAATTATAAATATCCCAATAAGAATTGATCTTATAAAAAGAAGAAATGGATGAGCATATATTAAACTTAACAAATATAAATGTTGTATGTGAAAAAAAATTAGAATAATAAAATAATGATTTAAAACAAAGGTTAGAAACAATTTAGAATTAGGAAAAAAAAATTAATTAATTGAATGAATAAATATAGCAATTTTAGTATAATTAAGAATCTTTATCTTTGGAACTTCAATAACTTAATGAATAGTATAGAGAAACATTAAGTTAAAATGAAGCCAAAATATATCAGATGGGATAAGAAATTGAAGAATTTACAAAAAAAATAAATTTGTTAGAATAAAAGAATGAATAACAGGAGATTGAAATTAAAGAATTGAATTAACAAAATGAAGATTTCTAAAATTAATAATTATTATTTATGGAATAGTTACAAACTGAAAAGCAAGCTCATAATATATAATTGTCAGAAAATCATCAATTATAAGAAAAACTTTAAAATGAATTAGAATTAGCACAATAACTAAAGATTGATGTACAAAGATTAGAAAAAGAATTAGATTAATTATAGCAAACAATGTTAGACAAAGATCATAGTTTAATTTAATGGAAAAAATAGTTCGAAAGCTTGAAGATATAAAATGAGTAAATCTCATAATCTTAAAACATAGAGTAAATAGAAAATTCTGAATCTTAAATTGATAGTAATTAACTGCAAGAATCTTTAACAAATCCTCTTGATGAATCAGAAATCAATAATGATTAAAAAAGTTAAAATTAAAAATAGAACATATTTCCAACAGTTAGTGAAAATGTTAGTGAAACATATGATTTATTGATAAAAAAGAGTAGTGGAGTTTCAAGAGATCAAATAATTTAATAATTATAGGAATAAAATAGATAATTGCAATAATAAATTGAAAGTTAGAAATAAGAAAATATAATTTATGAATCTCCTTGTAAGGATAAGGCTGTAATTGAAGATTTATAATAATAAATATAATTGTTAAAAAATTAACAATTACAAAGAATTATTTAATCTCCTCTTGAAGTTCTAATAAGAGAACATTTAGATGAATAAGATGAATTAAGTGTATAGGAAAAGAACTATTTATTGTAAGAAAAGTGTTAAGGTTTAGAAATTGAGATCTAAATGATATAGTTTGATAACAAAGAAACTTAATAAATGAACGAGTCTTTAAAAAAAGAAAATGAGAGCTTACAAATATAAGTGAATTTTTTAAATAAAACTGTTAAGGTTTGGTCAGAAACAACAACAAATATACATTAATAGTATGATTAAAAATAATTAACAATATTTAGTATGTTATAGTAGGCTCTAAACTAAGATAAATAATGGGGATCATAAATTAGTTAAATTGGATTAAATTAAGAATGTGAATCAATTTTTAAATAGGTTTGTTCTAAAGTTTATGAGATGCCTTTGCTTAAATTGTAATTAGAGAATATTAAAAAATAACTGGAAAAAGAGAAATAAGAAATCAAATAATTGATTAATGAGAAGAGGATTTTGAGTTAATAAATAATTGATGTAACAAGTTAACCAGATAATTCCTCAAGACCATATAATAAATCTAGTGAGCCAAATAGTGCATTAAAAGTTAATTAATCAATTGATGATGATGATTGTACTTCAAATATTAAACAAATTTTGTTGAAGTACAAAAAAGAATAAGAATATTTAAAAATGGAAAATCTTAAATTGGCTTAATAATTAAAAGAAAGTGAATAAAATGAAGATATTTATATGGTATATAATTATTGTTTATATTTAGAAATAAAATAAATTAATGAAAGATGAGAATAGAATATTAAATGAAAAATTAAATTCAATGTAAGATGAATTATAGAAAATGGCAGAAAAAGTTTCCAATTCTGAAAATGGGGCATTGGCTGAACATCTTAAAAAGAATATTTAGAAATTCTTTGAAGCTTTGCAATAGGAGTATTTTATATTTTTAAATTTAGAAAAAAACAAGAATTTCAGTCTTATTCTTCACATCTTTTAAAACTAAGTGGTGTTTAATTTGAATAATAAATTAGTGAAGCTTTAATTAACAAATTAAGTTCTGCTATTGATAAAAAGAAATCGAGTGGGGTTTTTGGAATGTTTAAATGATATTAATTAATAAGTATGGTCAAACTAAAATTTTTCATGCTGATTTCAATAATGTTAATAAATATTAATAAATACTTTTTTCATAAATGAATAATAATGAAAATAAGAAATAAATAGAAAGATTAGGAACAGCTAGTACAATGAATTAAACTATTTAATAATCTCAATTCTAACAATAATATTAAAAACGAGCCGATTCTACATAAGTAAATCTGTTTCCAAAAAATATAAAAATTGATAATTAGAATACTCGATACTCTCGTCAAGAACATGTCAATTAATCTGAAGTTCAAAGATAAGATTCATTATAAACATAGCATAAATAATAACAATATATAATCTAACAAAAGAATTCGCAATCAAAACAAAATAATAAATAAATAAACCAATAAGATGAATCATTAAATTTAATTGAAGATAGGTTAGAAGAATTTAATAGTGTCTATGATAATGAAAATTTAGATTCCCCTATTCCTATTTAAAAAAAGGCCAAAGGAGAAAATCTATATGTCAATTGGTACAATATATTTGAATTTTAGTTAGATGTAGGCTCTAAGTGAAATCTTAGTTAAATATCGTATTTAAGAAATAAATAAGCCATATTTAAAAAAAAAAACATCAACAAAATGTTGCTGTTTCACAATTACAACTAAATAATCACTCTATTAAAATTAAAAATAAATCATCATAACAGAAGGTAAAAAGTATTATGATGAGAATGACATCAATCATTGCAACCTACTTTACTCTATCCTCTATTAAATGTTTGAATTAGAGAGATTGACAAAAAAAAAATCAAAAGAGATAGAAGCTAAATAAACAACGGTCTTTTAGTTGATTTATACATTATCTTGTATAACATTATTTAAGGAGGATTTATTATAATTGGCCCAAAATGATAAAGATAAAGTTATAGGAAACATGTTAGTAATATCAAAATATATTTTTGAAATCTTAATAAATGGTGTTTTGGATCCAATATTCAAATAATCTGATAGTAATGGTGAAACATTACATAACACTTTGACATCTATTCACATGGGAATGTTTCTCATGGTTTGCATGGATAAGTTAAATTAAGAATAATAAATAGTATAAAATTTGCAAAATAAAAATATAAAATCCCTCATAGATCTTTGGAAATAAAAAAAATTTTTAAATAACTGAAACTTATCAATTTTGATTTTATAAGACTTATTTAATTTATATTTTCTTATTTCCCCATAAAAATAAAAATTTAAATTCAATTTTTTATTTTGAAACAGAATTATTTTTATTTTATTATTATATATTGAAAAATAAGTATGTAAAATAGAATTTAAGTTGCATTATGTGTTTTAGGTATATAACATATAATTTTCTTGCTCTAATCATATTACAACTGATTAGGAGTAATAGAGTATCAGTATAGTAACAAATGTAATCAATGATGCATTTAACTATCACTATCAAAATTTACTTAATAGTTGATTGATATAATTTGTGAGAGATTTAATATAACTTAAAACATTAATTTTGACTTATCTATTATAATTATTATAAGTTTAATATCAAATTTAGAGGAAGTTTATTAAAGGATAATCAATACCTTTTCTTTATTTTTAGAATAGTGCTTCAATGTACTATGAAACTCATTCAAAAATGTCATTTAAGTTAATTGTAGGAGATAAATAATACAAAACAACGATTAACAATAGAAATTAATTTAGAGGGTTCATCAGATTTGATTTATTAAAGGAACTATGATATTAAAGTTAGAATAGTATAACAATATTAATTGAAATGTGATCTAAACTTCTAAAAATAATTATTAAATAATATATGTTTAACTTTATCAGAAGATCTATTTAAATTTAATGATACTGTTAATAAAAATTTTTAACAATGAATTAATTTATAGAGTAAAAAAAATATAATGATGAATATGAATATAAGTGATTAATTATCATAGAATCAATAAGAATAAAATTCTTTATATAAAATTATAAAATTGTTCTATCAGATTTAATGAAAATCTGTTAAGTTTCTAAATAACTTTGTAAACGTAAAAAAAAAGAGAGAAATAAATTCTCATTTTAAAAATTATATATAGAAATGAAAAATTATCAATAGAGTGTTGAATTAATATTTATTATCTATTTGAAAAAAAATAATTATATAAAATATTCTAACCAGATAGATTAGAAATTGTAAATTAATATGTGTATATTTAACAATTGGAATTGGTTTAGTGTAAAAATAAGAAATAAGATATTTTGAAGGTAAGAGGTTGATAGAATATGATTTTGGTAGTGTTTTTTTTCGATAATTACTTATATTTATTTAAAATGAGCTTTGATGATGACTTAATCTTTGATGCTTAGAATGATGATTAATTTTTCTTTGTTTAGGAAGAATAGTTTTAGAATGACTTTTTAGATTAAAAGATATAATATTAGTTTGAATGTGATTAACTAGGAGATATGAAGTAAATAAGAGGAAATACTTTTTAGTTGCTAAGAAGATGTAAATAATTTTTAAGAAAATTTGGAAGTGAATTAGATATTGTCATCTACTAATAATTTAGTTATAGAAAATGAATCACGTTTGATGAACAATAGTCAGTTTTTCAATAATTAATAAAAAGTAGATGATTTTGCAATTAAATCAAGAAGTAGAAGTAGAGAGATAGAGAAAAATGTAATAAATTAGTTAGAATAGAATTTAGAGTGGAAAAATGAAAAAATGGTCTTAAGAAGAAAATGATTTACTAGCAAATTTGTATTAATAATTTAATGGAGATTGGAATAGAATAGTTGAAAAAATGAATGGAAGAACTTTGACTTAATGTAAATAGTTTTGGTAAAGAAAACACAAACCTGAAATATCATAAAAAAGTAAATGGACACCTTAAGAAGATTAAATAATAAGGGATAATGTTAATAAAGAAGAAAATAATTGGGCAATTATAGCTAATAGTATATTATATATCATATATTGAAAGTCTTAAAAAATAAGAGTGGAAAATAAATAAGGGAAAGATATATAAATAAGTTAAGAGCAGGTATTATTGATATTAAGAAATAACCATGGTCTTATTAAGAAGATCAAAAATTATTGTAGTTTTATAATTAATTTGGATCTAAATGGTCTTAAATAGCTCAAAATTTTAATGGAAGATCTGTAAATATTTTTATAACTTAATAAAGGATTTGTAGATCAAAAACAGAACTCATAAATTATTAAAAAGTTATAGCAATTCACAATTCTAAAATGAATAGCCTAAATTATAAGTAGATAATTTAGATGACTATTTAGAACTAGATAAAACTTGTGAAAAATCTCAAAATAAACTTAAGTTTGAATTTCCTTATTATAATTCTAATTCAGTTTCTTCTCAATTAATTCACTGAAATGACTTTATTTATTTGTAAACTCTTATTAGCTGAACAATATTGTGATTTTTTAAGTTCATAAGTTTAATTAATAAGTATATTAATTTGTATTCATTTTAATTAAATTTAATAACATAATATAAATATATGGCATATTACGGAGTTGGATTACCAACTACTATTTAAGAATTAGTTTTTAGATTTAGAAATCATGTTTGTAAAGCAAATCCTTATTGTACTTTATCAAGATTAAAGTATTAAGAAATTCAATATATATTAGAGCAATATTTTAATAATATGATAAAAATGGTAACGGAAAACTAAATCTAGAAGAATTAGATAATTTATTAAAGAGTGTAGGAATGTACTTAAAAATTGTTGAATTACAAGCATTACTGAAGTATTTTGATAAAGATAGTGATGGATTTTTAAGTTTTCGAGAATTTTTAACTTTTATTAGAGAAGAAATGAATGAAAGAAGAAAAGCTATGGTACTGAAAGTTTATGAAAGTTAATAAAATAATAAAATAACATCAGATTATTTAAGTATAATAAAGATAATAAATTTAGGATAAATATATAAGATTGATAATTTAACAGATGGAATGAAAACATTTATTGATAATATACGTGTTGGAGATGAATTAACATATGAATAATTTTTAGATTTTCATGAAGAACTTTCATTAAATATAGCATCAGATGAAACATTTACATCTATTTTATCTAAAGCATGGAATATTGATGAAAAATAAGAAGACACTGCATTTTAAGAATATTTATAGAATAGTTTAAAATAAATTAAAGAAAGAGTTATTACAAGAGCTGGAGGTCTAAATTTTGTTATTAATGTTTTTAAAGAATTTGATACTAATAAATCTAAAGATTTATCTATTAGTGAATTTATTTTTTTACTAAAAAAAGTATATACAAAATTTTAATTTTTAGCTTGAATTAGATTGGAATAAAGCAGTAATTAATAGAGTTTATAGAATTATGGATAAAAATGATAGTGGATCAATAGAAGAGCAAGAATTCTTAACATTTTTTTAAAATTGATGAAATCTATAAAAAATTATCAAAAATTTATATTCATATTTTATTAATCTTTTAATTTATTTAAGAATCTTGAATTTATTTTGAATCTTTAATTTTATAAATATTTTTAATTAAAGCAAAATAAGGATATCTTTTGAATTATTAAATATTTTAAATTGATAATAAAACATAATATTTCGATAAAATAATATTCATTTAATTGTGAATGTTTAATTAAAGTTGATGATAATTAAAAATGAGAAAATATAAATAATTATTTGCTAATTTTGTCTTAACTATTTAATAATATAATTTATTTTATTTCAAGAGATTAAAAATACTATAAAATGCTTTCAATTTAAGTAGATTGGAATTTAAAATTGAGAATAATAATTAATTCAATTATGAACTTTAAAATATCCATAAAATTATTATAAAAAATCTAAATATTTTTGTATATATAATAGTTCAATAAAATTATATAAATATAAAGATAGCAATGTAATTAATTAGTTAAAATAAAAATTCAAAATAATCATGGGTACTTGTGGAGATAAGAGTAAAAAGGGAAATTTATAAGGTAAAACAGGTTCAGATAAATGTAAAATTCACAATAATGCTTTTGATTGTGTTAGTTAGAATTATACAGACAGAAACTAAACATTTAAAGCATGTCCTTTATGTAGGAAGGATAGAATAACGGAATAGTTTATTACATTTAAAGAGATTTAAAGTAAGCTTTAAAGTTAGAAGTCATGTGATTTGATTATAGAATATAAAAACACAATGTTACCATTATTAAATGAGACAGAATAATTAAGAGTAAAATTAGTATAATAAGCTGATGAAATCTATGAAATTCTGTTAAATGGGATCTATGAGTTATTTGTTAATTGTTTATTTAAGAAATTACCAAATAAGCTTTTTACAAATGAAGATATATTTGATGTATTTAGTTTAATAATTGAACTATAGTTAGTGACAGAAAAGACTATAGAAGATTTTAATAAAATAGTTAGCTCACAAATGTTATTTTAAAATAGTGATGATTTAAGTGCAATCTTGTTGACTAAAGTTTTATATAATGAATAGGAAGGAAAATAGTTTATAGATGCTTTAAAGGAAGTTTAAGGAGTGAAAAAGAAATTAGAAAGGGTTAATAATGATTTAGAAATATAAAAGAAAGATATATAGAAAAAGATTTAATAAATGTGTAAATAGGTATAGTATAAATTATATTAAATACAATAGAGTGCAGTGGAGATGCCAAAAATAGATTTGAAAGAACCTTCTTTATAATTTTTGATTGAAAAAAATAAAGAAGATTAAGAATATTTAATAGAGTCTATAAAAGCAGTAATAATTAGAAATTAGATAATAGATGTAAGGAGTGTAAGATATAATAATTGAACCAAATTAAGTAGAGAGATAAGAAAATCCTTAGGTGAAATCAATAATTTCTATAGATTAAAGATTAATAGCATATAGTTCTGGAACAAGAATATTTATTTTTGATAAAACAAAAAACTTTTAATTTATATTATAATTAGATTGTGAAAATGATATATCATCATTATGTTCAGTAACATTAGAAGATAAAAAAACATATATAATTGCATGGTATAAGATTATATATTAATAATAAGTGTTGAAGAGAATGAGTAATCATTTTAATTGTAATTATGGGATTGGGAAAACTTTGATAAATGGAAGGTAATTAATGCTCATGAGAAATATATTTGGTAGATTATAAGTTTACCAAAATATTTAATAGCAACATGTTCAGAAGATGGAGTAAATATTAAAATGTTATTTAAAAGACAACTAAAATTTTTAATGCTTAAACATAATAATAAGTATAAAAGATAGCTGTTCATTAAGCAAGTGTTAATGATATAGCTTTAATTAATCCAAATATTATTGTTACTGTTTCAGATGATGGTACAATTGTAGCTTCTAATTTCTTAAGTGGAGATTTTGTTGGAATAGTTTCTTAAGAATGTGAAATAAAAACAGTGATTGCATTAGATGGAATTAGATTTGTCACTGGAAATAATTCTGGAGAAATAAGAATCTATACTTTTATTTAATCTATAGAAATGTAATAAGTTATTAAAGCTCATTCTTCTGTTATTAGATTTATTAGAAGAATAGATTAAAAGTAATTAATTATTTATTTATAATAGATTATTTGTTACTTCATCTTGGGATGGAACTCATAAATTTTATTCTATTTTAGATGGAGAAATCAAAGTTATTAATGGACCTAAAAAGAATTTCCCTGAACCACTTCTTTGGATTGAAGAAATAGGTTGTTTAATAGCTTCTGCTGGTGGAATTCTTTAAAAATATAAATGATTAATAAAGTATATTTAGGAAATAATAAATATATATACATATATAATAGTCAATTATCATGTTTATCCATAATTAATTTAGAGGTTTAAAATAGCTTTTAATTAATAGAAAAATTAAGTTTATATAAATGTTCTTAATCTACATAATTATTATCATGTTCTAAATTATTTAACTGATATTCATCATCAAAATCAAATTACATACTTTTTTGACATTATAAGGTTTTAGAAGGTTTACATATTTTATCTTAAATATTACCATCTTTATCATTAGATGTTCTAGATTATGAACTAATTTCTTATTGTTTTTAATAATCTTAACTTTTTCTACTAATAGGAACACTCAATTAAGATATAGTTCTATTTTTATATCCATTATTTTAAGGTGTTGTTTAAGTATTTGCTTAACTAACATAATTAACTCCTTATTCCATTTCCATACTAGCATGCATATTTATATTGTTATCTCCTTTGGCAATAATATCATGATATTATTTAGATATAATTTATTTGGGTAATTGAATTTAACAAAAAAAGGGAGTCTTAAAAAATGAATGATTTAATGCATCACTTATAGTTATCCTATCTTTAGGGTACTTTTTTGTCATTTAACAAATAAGATTCTCCACTAACGAATATTAATAAAGAGCAGATTACATGATTTAGGATATTTGGATGAAGGTATTTCAAAATATCCATCAGTATTTTTTTTAATTGTTTATTTTAAATCCTTCTATTTAAATGGATTATATCCATAAAGAACTACAAATAATGTTATTCCTAAACTGAAAATATCACATTATTGATTGTATAGTTTTTTAGATTCATCATATTTTAATACTTCTGGTGCTGAATAACTATAATTAATATTAATATATATATAATACCCTGGACTTCCACATTATGGAAATGGTAAATTCTTTTACCATGTAAATGCAGCCAATCCAAAATCAATTAGAATAGGATTTTAAATATCATTATTATTTAATAGAATGTTTTATGGTTTAATATCTCTATGCATTACTTTTTATTCATGAATCTATTCAACTGCACTTAAAAGACGAATTATCATTATTCTTAATTACTCTGAAGAATATACTTTTTTTGAGGATTATTGAGATATTAACTCTGAACCCTCAATATAATCTGTCAATAAACATATTTTTTATTGATTTTCATAAACTCTATATAATTTTAAAATATTTGCATGATTAAACATTCTTAAAGTTTAGATTTCATTTAATAATTATTCCTCATAACTCTTATTTTTATTAAATTATTTTATTGTTTGTTTTTTTATTATTTTCACAGCATATATCTCTCCTTCCTTATTGAAACATTAATGAACCTTAAAATATATATATATTTCTTTTACTGTTGAAAAACTTCCCTAACCTATTTACATTCCTAGTTTGTATACTTTATCAAAATCACTTAAGATACAACAATTTGACAATGCGTCTACCCAGATTTTAAATTATTGCTTATCCTCTGTATTTAAGTGAATCTAATAACCATTATTTATTAATGCTATTTAAAATCCTGTTTCCAATTAATTAAATTAACAATATACAGTATCCAATTATACAAATCCTTTAATATTGTTACCACTTCCTACATCAGAGTATAATAAAAATTATTTAACCAGAAAGTAAGTTCTGAGACATCTCTATTTGAATGTCCTTCCAACTTTTGTAAAATTACCCATTAACACTTACACATTTTGAAAGTCTTCCTTTTCAAATAATGGAATATCAGTTTTATTCCAAAACTCTTAATTTTCCACTTGACCTTTGCTAAATATCATATTTATTATTAAAAATTATCAAATTGAATAAATATAGCTTCAATTCACTCTTGAATGTTGATGTATTTAATAATATATCATTTTTTCAATCATTTAAACCTGTTTAAAATTATTCTTCATATATTTACAATTTATTTTTTTATTTTACTTTTTATTTATCCGACCGCTTTTTTATAACTATCATAATGTCCGAGATTAATTCTTTAACTTAATATCACTTATATTATTCACCATTATGTGATAATTCATTATTCATTTAACAATCCTTTTTGATTTACTCCTTTTAAAATCCACTCTTTATTCATAATCATAGAATGATTACATCATCTTTATTATATAATGTTTTTTTATAAATTTTATTTTGCATTTATTTTTGCATTTAAATTTATATTGAATCAACTCAAGATTTGTATTTATATTCAAAATATTTTATTATCAAAATCAACATTTTATTAACCATTCTTATCACTATTTCTATTTTATCTAACATATTCTTTATTATTCTATCATTTTTATCAACTTTTTAAACTGAACATTTAATAATTAATTTGTTACTTGTGATGATTAATAATATTTTATTTTTAATTATAATATATTTTATTATTAATCATCATATTTTATATGTAAATTTATCCACAACCTAAGGATGAAACAGATAGAAAATTAATTGAAATTCCATTCAATATTAAAGATTCAAATTAATAAAACAACTACTAATCAGAAAGTATTGAAACAACAATAAAAGATTAATTGTCAACTTAAATCAAATCAAAAGCTTTTTAATCTTCAGATCAAAAATCCTATTCTTAAAAGAAAGTTCGTCTTGATTATAAAGGATAACCAATACTTAAAAAATCAAAAGCACATCAAATTACATTTAATAATGAATTATATCAAATATATTATGTAGAGTGTTGGAAAGAATATAATTCTAATGAAAATTAAGAAGAAGAAAAAGAAAACTGTTGTCCTTTTTGTACAATTTTTTGACATTATGAAGCACTTGAATTAATTTAAAATAACGTGAGATTTACTTAGTTTTTTTTTATTTTTTAAAGAAAATTATATGAAAGATTTTCACTATAGGGAGATATACCTTATTGATATAGATTATAAATATGATTCTTTGAGAACTTTCAAAAAAAATTATCAATTCTTCAAGAAAACTTTTTTATATAAACTGTTACATTTTTTTATATATATTGGATTTCTATAGTTATCCACTATAGTAAATTTAAAAAATTAAAATATTATTATTAATTAAAGATAAAATTAAGATAATAAATTATTTGAGAATTAATAATAAAAATTTGAATATTCATGCAAAATTTTCGAAATTATCAGGAATATTTTCTATGCCTCCCAATCCCAAATTTTACATCAAATCTTACATTGTAATTTCAATTTCACCTAGTAATTATAAAATTTCAGGATCACCCATGCATTCTTTAAATTAATTTTAATAATTAATACCTGGTTTGGAAATATTTCTTATTTGATCTTCTTCTTCAATTTTATATTTTTAATAAATAAAATCTTAAACCAATAAACTAATTACATTTGGAATATAATCTTTTTAATCTTATTTATTCTATTAAAATAAATTGACATAATTACAATCATAAAAGATATGATACTTTTAAAAGGATTTGGTTATTCTTTTAAAATTCTAATGTTGAATTTAATAACTTCCTTAATTTATTTAAGTGACAAATCTTTTTTAGATGGAATTTTTTCTTTAATTTTTTGTTTGACACTTGCTTATAACATATATAATTATTAAAAGAATCCTCTTTCCATCAATACAAGCATACTTTCTTCAAATATATTTTTATTAATATCTAGTCTATTAAGTAATTCTGCTTATGATTTTTCTAATAACTCTTCTAAATCTTAATTATACTTTATAATTTAGTATCTATATTAATTTAATTTTGAATTTTCTCTAAATTATCTTCTTTATGCTCTATTTCTCATAGTCATTCTAATAAATTCATCCCCTGCTAGTTCTATAGTATTTTAGAGTATATCAACAATAGTTTAAGGTTCTAAGCATTCAGAATTAGGAATATAGTTAACATTAATAGAATCTATAATTTGATCTATTTTTCCTGTTCTTGTCATTTTAGTATATAAGGTATCTTCTCTATCATCATAATAATAAGCTGATCTTTTTGCAGGAAAATATTCATCATCAAGTTGTTTTGGTGTTTTAAAGATCTCACTTTAACTTAAATTTTACTTTCTTTTATTATAAACTATTGTTGCTGTTGCACTTATAATTATTCAAATCATACCCTATAGCAGCAACTGCTGTTATACCAACCATTTTTTTATTATCTTAAACAAAGCTGTATAACTATCCCATGAAGTTATTAATTAAAATTATAAAAAAATATATTATACTTATCAATTCAATTATTTTCTGTTTCTGTTTTAAACCGTGTACCTTGTTCATTTTCAAAACGAACCTTCTGTTTTTTTTCTTTATTTATAGAAGCTAATAATTATATAAATTAAATATATTACAATCTTTTTTAAAACTACTGATTAATTTAGTTCTATCTTATTTTTTAAAAGAATTCATTAAATTATAAGATATCTTAATTTCTTTTTCTGATTATGGTGATGATGAACTTTAAGCTATTCAAATTATTTAAAATAATACCATACAAGGCGACTCTATATTTAATTTTGTATTCAACAACAAACTACTTTTTTTAAGTCTTTTAAGTTTTTTATCTTTATTTTATATCATCATTAATTTTCTAAGTTTTCTTTCAAATATTTGAATCTCATTTTAAACTTGATTCTAATAGTCTTCTTCTAATAATTTCTTAGCATTCTTGAATTCTATGAAATAAATAGATTAATAACCTTATGCTAATTTAATCAATTTTTCTTTTTTATTTTATTCCAAACAACTCAATTTATGTTAAAGTTTGACTCTCAATTATTCTTCTAATATATTATTTTATTTAATATTTATTTCTCTTTTAATTTCAGTGGCTGGATAAAGTAAATGTTTTAATGCTTATTATTTCTCACTCTTATTTACATTATTTGTTGTTTCTATTAATACATTTGTATTTTTAGCAGCACTCCCTTATGGTGTCTAATTTTTAGATTATGTTTCTGTATCTTATTCAAACTTCTTATTATTAATGTAATCCTTTTTAAATTGTTGAGTGATTTAGTTAATATTTTAATTTTTTGTTTCTTTTTCAATAGTTTATAAATTATTAACTTATTTCAATTATTCTTTAATCAAAGTGTAGAAAGATCGATCATTTGACATATTAGCTGAAGAATCTGCTTTTGATCTAGTAAAACTACTCTTTCGATGTTGTTGAGTTAAAACTGATTATAATTGAGATATTTAATTTTTGAGAGATTGTAAATTTTATATATTGCTCTATGTTGAATAAATACATGGTTAATATCTATTTATGTATTATTATGCATTTTTAGGAGATTTACTGTAAACTCTCATGCTATCTGTTGAATACGCACTTCCATTATAATTATAAAAGTTTCTGGAATGAGAATTTGATGCTTAATTCATTTAACGGAACTTAATTGTTTTTTTATTAAATATAAATTAAATTCCTACATCCGATAAGGTTCATTCAATATTTTTTAATTATGAATCCAACATTGTCAAATATTTAGAGAATTGCAAACTAAATAATAGAGTATTAAATTATAGAGATTGTTATCAAAAATATGTCATAAATTATGATAGCAACTATTTTAATTTTTTATTACTATATTTAATACTTTTTCAGAATAATAATTATTATGATAATCCTTTTTATATTTTTTATTTATATATGTGTATATCATTTAAAACTTACTAAATTAAGAAAGTCTTTTAAAAGAATAATAATTATTAAAAACCTTTATTCTTATTCTCTCCTAAACCTAGGATATGTTCTCTATCTAACTTCCTTTCAATTAAAAAATTCATTTGCTTTTTTTTCATTTTTTGGAGCCATCAAACCAGAAGAGAATAATTTATTATAATGATTTATCGAAATCAATAAAAAATTATAATGAATAAAAACTCTTTTGCTCTTTTGTTTTTCTCAAATATCTTGATAAATTACAAAGTGCAATAATGGATTTTTTTTTAAAAAGATATCTCTGTTAAAGAAACCATTTAATTAATTATAAGATCAATTATTCTTTTCTGGGTGTTAAAAGTTAAATCTATTTAAATTTTATATACTAAAAGATTTTGTTAAAAAAATAATTGAACTGCTTATTGTTAAGACTTAAATCAAATGATTTACAAATAGATATTAGAGTAGAATATTTGAATATAGATCAAGTTATGATGTAATACATCAAAATGATCTTTTTAAATTTTATATTAAAATTAGTAAAAAAATTAATATAGTATAAATTAAAAATATGGAACTGTTTAATTATTCCAATTTTAATACATTTGATATTTTATAAATTTTATCCATATATTCATCATCCTCATGAACTATAACTCTAACTAAGACAATTATTTGTTAAATTAGAATACTTAACAACGATACCTCAATATATAGTCATTTGAAACATAATCAGAATAAACGTTGAAAATAATAGATTTTTCATGTATATAATTTTTTTTGTCTTTAGATTCAAATGAATTCCAAGATCTTTCAGGAAGATTTGATTTTATCAAGAAAATGTACATTTTCTTGACTGTTGAATTCTTCATTAATTATGTATTTTTAATGCTTGGGATTTATACAGATATGATAAATTGGCTTTATCATTTATTTTTAGTTTGTAAGTTTGAGAATGGTATAGAAATGTGTGAAATAGAATTTTGGCCAACTTGGCTTTTCTATTTTTCTTTAAGTATTTCAATAGTATTATAATTCATTCTATATTTTGGAGTAGTATTTTTAAGACAAGTAAGAACTTTATATATCAATATATTTACATTAGGATCCTAATACTAAATGGTTATTAATTCTATAATTAATTTTTTTTGGATTCACATTTGCAGCAGTATTCATTTTTGTGGTTTTCTCAGTGGGACCATTATATGTTATGATATCAATAGGAATTACGTTTTTAATAATAATATCTTAAATGATTTACTTAAATTTAAACTAATAAAACACAAAGGATTTACCATACAAAAGTTAATAATCATTCCATATTTTATAGACTGTTCAATTATAATAATTTGTGTGACCATAATTTTGGTAATCATATTATCATTTCTCAAATCATTTAGTATATTTTCGAGTATTTCATGTTCAGCATTTGGTGTGTTTTATTCATTCTATTTAATGATAGAGACAGAGTTAATAATGTGCAAAGGAGTAAAATTTATAATATATTATAAGACATTTTAATTGTAACCTAGTGACAGTTTATATGGATCTTTCGTGTTAAATTCTCTAATGATGCAGCCTTTGGTGAGAATTTGTGATATTGTTTACAGAGCCTTAAGAAAAATAATAAAATGAAGAATAATAATTATAATACAATTCAATAGATTTATAAAAAATATCTAACATCATTACAAAAAAGACTTTTTTCCTTAATTTAGAATAAATATTTTATTTAAACTACATCATTTCATTTTTTATCAGTATAATTTAATACCTTTACATCATTTTAATTATTTCTTATAAGACATAATTCAATTAAAAGTTAAAATTATTGTTTCATTACTATTGCTATAATATCAATTTCAATATTATTATTATTAGAAAATAAAAATGTCTGCTCAATGAATATTTAAATTCAAGCTTTTTTTTTTTCATTAAATAAAAATTTTTAAAATACTAAAAATCAATATATATATAAATCAAAGAACTCAAATCTAAATCTAAGATAATTAAAATAAATTTTTTTTGTGTTAAAAAATATTTTGATATCAAAAACATTCCGCAAGTTGAGATGACTTTTGTGTTAAGAAGAAAATTTTTTGGCTCTTTAATTATTTACTAATCTAAAAATATAAACATAATTATTATAGATTTTGATTTAATTTTGTGATGTAGTTGAATGTCTGAATGTCATAAAAAAACCTATAAATTTAATTATGCTTTTGACTAATTTGTTTTATTTATAGAATAAAAAATTTAATGGAACGTTAAGACAGTAATTTATAAAATATTTCAAATGATTCAAAAATAAATTATATTGAAAGCAAACTCTTCTGGCCTAATTATTTTTCTCAAATATTTTGATCAATAATTTGCTTCCCCATTTTCACAAAAAAACAATAATGAAATTTTTACAAAAAAATTATTTTTTTAGAAAGCAAAGAAGTTTTGAAGAAATAAAAAAGGATATCTATTTAATTAATGATAAGATAAAGAGTTATTCCTCTATCAATATTTCAAAGAAGAAAGTTTCAAAGAAATAAGAGAAAACTAAGATATCATATTCCAATGAAATTACTTATCCTACATCAAATAAAAAAAATTTCAATACAGATGGATTTTGTAGAAATGATATGTTTTGATTATTGTATGTAGTTCAAAAAATTATGATAGTGGCTAAAACTTCGATAAATTTTGATAAGATTTTAAAAATGAAAATCTTATAATAAGTGTAAAGTTTTAAAACAATTGTATGAGATAATTAAACTTTCAACCATACTTAAATAAGAATTGTACGAAATGATTTTGATATTGAAATAAAAATTCAATATTTAGATTATATCTAATATAAAAATTTTTTTTTTAAGTAATTTAGTAATTGATTTGACCAATTTTAATTACTAAATCAAAAACAATATTGATAATTTTTATCTGAATCTGGAAGTTTTGTTAACTTTCTCAATCTGTTTCCATATTCCTTTTGTTTTTCATAGTGTATTTCCAGATTTTTTTTTGAAATATTTGGTTTAAGACTTTGAAGTTTTTTCATTAAATTGAGTTTCTCTAGAGAACTATTAAAACTAATATTTGCACTTTTTAGATCAACTTAAGATATACCTCTTTATCTAGTTTAATTAATATATGGATTTTCTCTGACCTTTATTCTTTCAATTTTATCATCTAATATCTTATTTAAAATATTGATAACAATACTTTTTAAAGACGATTCTTAGCATTTTATTATTATTATTTATTAAATTTGGAAGTATGTTAAAGCATTAAAAATCTATAATTTGATGTTGATTTATTAGATTCAATGTTTTTGTAAATATTAATTTTTTCTTTATCAATTTTTTGCATTCTTTTAAAATGATTATGATATTCTTCCAATTAATATGATTCAATTATAGGATTATGAATAATGAATCTATTGGCTTTCATTTATATTAGAGTGTATATTATTAAAATTAAATAAATGAATAATAAATAGAGATATTAAAATTGGAAAAAAGCAAGATCTGATAAAAGAGATTAAAAATAATAATAAGGTTAATAATAATAAATAAAATTACATTAATTACAATAATTAAATAATCAATAGAATAACAGTAAAGATGAAAGTAAAGATGAAGATTAATAATAATAATAATAAATACATAAGATAGAAGAGAGATTGAATGATATAAAATTATTATGATTGATTATGGATAATGTGATGTTAAAAAATGTACAGGTAGAAAAATGGAGAGATTCAAATTATTAACAGCTATAAAACCAAAAGTGAAATTTCAAGGAATTATTGTTAGTGCAAATGGAAAAATATGTATCTAAAGATGATGAGGAATTATTATAAACAGGAATTTGTGTTATAGATGTGTTCTTGGGCTAAAATAGATGAAATAACATATGTATCTCCCAATGAAAGATTATTACCTCATATGGTAGCTGTAAATCCAGTCAATTTTGGAAAATAATTTAAATTATCATGTGTTGAGGCCATTGCTGCTACATTAGCATTATGTGGACGTAGAGAATAAGCAGATTATATTCTTAGTAAATTTACTTGGGGACAAAACTTCTTTAAAATCAATAAAGATGCTTTTGATCTTTATTCTCAAAGTCAAAATGATAAAGAATTAAAAGATGCAGAATAAAAGTATTTAGAAATGGCAAAAAACAAAGAAAATACTGGATAAAGAAATTATGATATGCCTTCTAGTTCTGATGATGATGAATAGGAATAGATAATTTTATGATTTCATATCTATAATTTATTCATTGCTGCTTCAAATTCTTCCTATAAATTAAATGTAGGTTTCTAATCAGGAACTTGTCCAAAAAAATAATTATTTTAGATTGAGTTTATTTATTACAATTCTTATTCCTACTATTCTTAATTACTATTCACTTCATATATTTTATTTATGATCTATGTGATATATCCTCTATTTGCTTTTATTGGCTTAATTCTAAGTTATTAAATATTAATACTTAAATTCAATAATAGCTATCTCCAATAATTATTAGGTATCAGTTTGAGGTATCAATTTCACTATAATATTTGTAGCATATTTATGTAATTGATTATGATATTGATACTTTTGTATTAATTACTACTTAAATTATAAAATTTTACAAATAATTAAGAAACAAAATATTAGGCATTAATGTTTTATAATACATATGGTTGATTTGTAAGTGCATCATAAAATTGAATATAGGAGAAATTATTTTGTCCAAAATGATTTTGATTCTAAATTAGATTTTAAAATATGTCTTATGTTTGAAGAAAATGATTGTAAATTTAATTAACTTCTGATTCGTAATATTGTTAGTATTTGATAAGATTCGTGAATATGCTTAATATTGATTAAGGCTGATGTGGTAATGCAGCCAGAAATATATCTAATTTAGTGTATAAATGTTTGATAATAAGAGATTTCTATTGTTGAAGTGTTTCAGTAATTTAATTTAATAGCATACATATGACATTTGAAACTCCCTCACTTTTATCGGTGTTGATTTAATTTATTAAATAATCCACCAATGAAATTCTTTATTCCAAATATTCTAGCTAATTTTCTTGAGTTTAATAAATAATCATGGAATAGATTAATTCTGCGATAGTATAGTTATTGATATCTTTTATTAATGTATGCAATTATGATAAGTGGATATTTTACCAAAACTAAATAAATAAGTTGTATAATTACAATACAAGGATTATTTTTGAGAACATTCATAATGACTTTAGTTATGTATCCAATAGTAATTGAAGGCAGTGAATTTTCTGAATTCAATAATTGGATTAAAAAATTTAGATGTTTGACATTTAAAGCATAAAGTGAACCCAACAATTCGCTTACGACAAAAGGATACTTGATTACTCTTTTATGATCAGTCTCTAATTCATCATATTAGAAAAAGGAGAGCATTTCTGTTACTAAATCTTCATTACTAAGTAAACTAATTTAGTTATAGTTTATAAATAAGTTTACAATTCTTTTAATTGGATATTGTTTTCTTTATTGATTAATATGGTGTCATCATCAAGGAAGTCTGGGATATTTTTATTATTATAAAAGTCATCAAAGATTGTTAACATTATATTTATATATATATATTATTTATCTCAAGCTAGTTTTACATCTTCAATGTGAACTGGAGTCATTGGAATATATGTGTATGATGGATCAGCATATTTAGTTTTTTTAACATGTTCTGATTATGTTGATCTCTCTTTGATTATTTTAGCATGTTATTTATGATACTAGGATTTAATATAAATGAAGTTTATTACTCTTTTCATCATTTCTGCTGTATAAATAGAACTAATTTCTGTATAATGTGCTGATAATCTTTAATTTAATGTATTTAATGGAAAATGTAACGAATTAGTTGCTTTTTTCATCACGTAATCCAAATTATCAGGACTAATAATTGAATAAAAATAGTATACTAATATGATCTGTTTTCAGATGAATAATAGACTAATCTAAAAAGACCTGCTAATACAGCTATTGGTCCTAAAAATACAGCAGCTCTCATTGGTCTTAACATATGATAACCTTAATGAGTTAATCCTCTATATTAATATTTATTTATATTGGTTACTTTAAGACTGAATATTTATGACCCATGAAAGCTGTTGCAAATAGTACTCTTCTATTAAAATAAATGAACATTTAATTAGTGGGATGATATCCAAATTCTCTTGGACCAATTAAAAAGAATCTTCCTATCTTACCCAATAAACCTGATCGTTTTGCTAATTTCTCATTTATTACAACTGAAATTGGATTCAGAATCTTTAACCATGCCTATTAAATTGGATTCATCTTAATTTAATTGATATTTATTTCATTTCTCATTCTTTACTATATTTTAGAGTTAGATCAATTTTCATATTATACAATTTAAACTTATTAGAACTCATACTTTATACCACACTTAAGCTATATTAATTATATTAATTAAATAAAATGAATGAAAATAAAGAAATTATTCAACATGATTACTAGACTCAACTTAAAGATTTCTATGATTAAACTCAAGAAATTGTAAGTTCGATATAACAAGGTATTAGAATTAAAAAAGTATTATTTTATTTAATACTCTAAGGATATACCAATTCAAATCAATCATTTAATGGGACAATTAAAACCAATATTAGAATCTATCGCATCAAATGCTGAAATACAAAAATATAATTGGCTCCATTTGAGATCACTTATTGTTATTACAACCAGAGATATGTTAATTAATATGCAGAAACTTTTTCCTTATGAAAAAACACTACAAAATGAAGGTTTCGAAGATGAATTAGATATCGTCCTCTAATTTCTTTGTGTTTTTGAATAAAAGTAATCATTCACTTCTAAAATATCAGACCACCATTTACTTTGCAACGAATATGTGAATTACTTATTGATCCTTAAAAACATTACAAATCATCCAAAAAAATATTGTTTGCCATGGAAAAATTAGTAAATGTAAGTACATGATATATAATTATTATTTTATTTAATCAAACATTAACCAAATTATTGGAAATCTTCTCATTTTAACATTCTACTTCAATCTATCTAATATCTAAATTTTCTTATATAATAAATCCACTTTTCTCTACTTTTGATTTATACATCAATCATTTCAAAATATATACTAATATTTAAATTCATTAGAATTATAAACCAATTATTGAAGACCAAAAAATAAACAGTATTAAATCTCCATACAATTTGGAAACCTTCTTTGCTTTACATAGAAACAGTAAATTATACCCATCCATTTCTTATAATCAAGATATGATTATTGGAAATAAAGAGGAAGATTAAAATGGCCAAATTGATTAAGAAAAACTAAAAAAAAATGATAAATTTCGATATTGATGTAAGCTTTGTTGATATTGACATTAATTCTGGGTCATCCATTTTTGGCAAAAGTTCTTAATAAATATACAAAGAATTATTTCTATAAAAAAAATTGTACTACTATTTATATTTTTTATATAAAACGAAAAAAAATGCTTATGGAGTTAATTAGGATCTTATTTCCAAATTAAATATTACTAAATCATATTATAATTTCACTCTTAAAATATGGAATTTATGATTGCTTTGAAGATGGAAATGAACTCAATCAATATTTAATGATAGAATAAGTTTAAAAATTTTAAATATAATGATCTAAATATGTTTTTATTGAGGAATTTGGTAATTAAAGAAATTAAATATCCCTTTAAGTTGATGTTTCTAATTATAATTATATTTAATAGTTAAATTGTCTTTCTAATTACACTGATAAAGAAATATGTATTACTCTGAGGTTGCTTTAACTGATTTAGAACCATGTTTCAGTCTTAAATCATATAAAATTTTACTAGAATGGCATTTTTTATTAGTATTCTTTAAAATTAAAAAAATTAGTTTTATTTTTGAATTGATAACTCAGAATAAATCAAAAAAATATGTTTTAGATATCAAGATAATGAATGATTATAAAAATCTCTTATATTAATATGATAATTCAGAATTTTTCATGTGCATTTACTAAGTCTGCATTTTAATATAAATATCCATTTGATGCCCATTTCATTTCAATATTAAGTTTCTTATCATCAGGATCATCATTTGGAATAATTTTTTGATTATATGTTCCTTAAATTTGATTACCATTCTTGAAGTACCAGATACCTACTTTATTAGGTTTATTGTTATCAAATTCTCCCTCATAAAATGTACCATTAGGTAAAATCCATTTTCCTGATACAAATTTATTCTCTTTCCATAATCCAACTAACTAAGTAAAATTAGAGTATGAAAAATTACTCTCATTCCAGTATCATTATATAAATAGGTTCCATTGCCTTCTTTTTTACCGAATGCCCACCAACCACTATATTAATCTTTGTTAGGATATGTGAAAATGCCTTCACCATGTCTTTTGCCATTTTCCCATTAACCTAAAATAATTAATGAGAGTGAAACCGAAATATTCTCCTTTTTCTTTATACGTTAATTTTCCTATTCCATGTTTAACATTGTTGATGAAATCTCCAAAATAAAGATCTCCATTGGCATAATTATATTTGCCTTTTCCATTTCTTTTCTAGAGTTTAGAAAGAAATAGTTACTCCATCAACATATTCACCTTCATAGATTTCATTATTGGCATATTTGGCTTATCCTTTACCAGTGTAATCTCTGGAAGACTTTGTCTTCTGATCACCTTCAGGCAGAAATTTTATGAATTCAAAATTATTATCATCTGGATTTTCATCAGCCATTTTATATTAAATTAATTTATTATTAAGTTTCAATTAAAATATTTGAGTATTAAGATTGAATTATAAGAATCATGAATAAAAAGCATAATCTTAAAAAAATAAAAGAATCAAAATTGTATGGGATTAATAGAGCTATTTGTTTTAGATTTTATCAATATTAAAGAATCATTTTTAAAATTGAACAAAGAATGCTATTATACTTAATTGATTTTAGAAGATGATTTTGACTTAAGGATAATAAGAGTTGATAAAAGAAAATCTGGACTGCTTAATTTTATTAAAATTATTATGAGAATTATTAAGGGACTTCTAATTATTTTATTAATTAAGTGAATAATTAGATGGGGTAAAAGATGGAAATGAAATTGGTTATAATTTTTTAAGAGTTTGATTATTAATCATACTTGATATTCTAAATAGGGGGAATGATTATTAGTAAGAATAGATTATAATATAAATAAATAAGTGATGTATTTTGTGAGTTGAAATTTAGTGAGATTCGACTCTTTCTTAACTTTTGATTATATTATTAAAGATTTAAGTTATGAGCAAGAATAATTATGATAAATAATATAATAAATGGAAAATAATTAAGAATATATAAATATATGTATAATTTCAAGTATCTAAAGTTTCTAAACTTCTTTATTTGTTCAATGAATAATTTTAATGGCTTCGAGATATAATGTATAGAGGTGTTGTATGTTGATAATTCTATCAATTTTGACACATTTTCATTTTAATATAATATAAAATTGAGATGTATTTTTGGAAGTAAAAAAATAGGTTAAAAATTTGGTAGGTTATATGTTATATGTATGTTAGATAAGAGAATTAGTGAGTATATGAAAGAATAAGAATAGTTATAAGAGAGAAATTAGTAATAAAAAAAATGAGTTGGTCAATTAAGTTGAATGATGACATCATCATTGTATTATAAAAATGGATGATTATGTATTGAAAATAATATTATTTAAAAATGGAAAAGACACTCCTTGCAATTGGTTTATTGATGTTAGTAGGAACACTTTACAATGTTCAAAATGTTCCTGAAATGTAATTGGCATAATAATTCACAAATTATTAAACCACATTCAATAAATAATACTCAGGATCTGAACTCCTCTATAGATTATCAGTTTATGAGGCTAATGTTGCTGACATTAATGCCAGAAATGCTAGAGTAGGAAGAAAAATCTTTGGTGAAACATAATTCACAGATCTTACAGATGAAGAATTTGCTGCCACATATTTAACACTTAGAATAATTCCAGAAGATTTAGAAGTACCAAAAGTAAATTTCAATAATGTTAATGCTACACCAATTGATTGGAGATCAAGAGGTGCAGTTCAATATGTCAAAGATTAAGGATAATGTGGATCATGTTGGGCTTTCAGTACAACAGGTGTTTTGGAAGGATTCTACAAAATTAGAGATGGTGAATTACCAGATCTCTCAGAATAATAATTAGTTGACTGTTCAACTTTAATTGACTTCAATTAAGGATGTAATGGAGGTATGCCATCAAGAGCATTGAACTATGTTAAAAGAAATGGTCTTACAACTTAAGATGCTTATCCATATGTATAATTATATATTAATCATATAATAGAAAGCTAAAGAAAGTGGAAGTTGTTTAATTAAAGGAGGTCCATACAAAGTTAATGGATCATTAGCAATTGCTAATAATGAAGCTGCTCACTAAGCTGCTCTCTAAAATGGACCAGTTTCTGTTGCTGTCAAAGCTTCAGATTGGAAGAACTATTAACCCACAGATACCAACTATATCTTCCCAGATTCTGAATGCACAGGATAAGTTAACCATGCTGTCTTAGCTGTTGGTTTCACTTCAGAAGCTCTTATTGTTAAGAATTCATGGTCTACTAAATGGGGAGTTGATGGATACATCTATCTTTAAGGAGGAAGAAACACTTGTGCTGTCTGGGATAACTCTGTTGTTCCAAAATGATGATATAAATCATTAATCACAATATTAAAATATTAATTCCATTATTATTCATTATCATTGATTCTCATCAAATTAGAGAATAATACTCTTTTATAAATATCTTTACTAAATAAATCAAAATTCTTTTTTACATTTTTTAAATTAAATTATCTCATATCTTAAAAATAATCAAATCAAGATTAATTCACAACATTTAAACCCTATTCACTCAATCAAGAAACATATTGAATTAATACATTATTTTAATCTCTCTCCATTATTTATATTAATTATTAACTGACAATATATTTTTATCTACTTTATGGCAGATCATTATCTTAGAACTAAAATCATTAATTATCAAGAAATCACACCTAAAAAAATGTTTGTTAATCAAAATCAATCATTCACTTAACCATATTTAAATAAAAGTCCAAATTATCTTACACCAGATAGAGCTATGAAATAACCATTTCAAAATTAAAATTAAAGTGTAATTATAAACTCTAAAATTAGTATAATGACATGTCTGAATTTCTTCGCAAGTAATAGCTGTAATATCCTCCTACATATCAATCTAGTTAAATTTCAATTCAATAAGAATTAAATAACACTATTACTAGCAAATAGTATGATTAATTCATTAAACGATCTGATAATTCAATTACACAAGAATCTAGTTGGTTTTAGTAGAAAATGAATAATATCAGTCCAAATATATAAAAACACAGAATTGAAATAGAGAAAAATAAACGAGATTATTCATAACCTTTTTATGATAATAACCACTAAGTTACTGATAGAAATTTAAGATAAATTAAAGTTTTTATTTATTTTTATTAAGATCGAAGAAAAGGTTTCAAGTCAAAAAAGTGATATTGAAAAAATAAAATAAATTTTGGTTGATCAGCAACTAAAATTAAATTTACAAATAGATGAGCATAAAATAAAGCTAAATAAACAAGAATCTAGAATAGCAGAGCTTGAAAAATAAAATAAGATATTAAAAAGTTAATTAAATGAAAAAAACTAAGAATTGAAAAATATTTAGCAATCATATATTTCTTAAACAAAATTATAAGAAATTCAAGATTAACAAATGAAAAAGTTCTAGAAAATATACGAATAATTAACTTAATAAAATGATGATTTAAGGGAAGAAAATAATCAACTGAAATTACTATTATTATAGTAATAAATTTTTAAATAAATTAGAGTTGACAATTATTCTTCAGTATCTAGATCAATTATTAGTAAAAAAAACTCAGAATAAGATTTTCAAATTATTAGTCAACATAATAATGCCAAAGAGTTAATAGATCAATTTCTTTAAGGAATATCTGAATAATTGTTATCTTTAACATAAGATTCTTTAATTTAAAGTGTCTTTATTTAATTTAGAGATATAATTAATTCATTATAATTTAACCAGCATTAGAAATTGGATTTTTAAATACTCAAGGAAACTGACTTTATGAAAATTAAAAAATAAAGTGAAGATATCATATCAGTGCCAGAGTTAAATAAAAAAGCTAATGAGCTAATTAGGTAAATTAAAGAAAAAATGGAATAAAGAGCCTCTTTGAAGGTAATGATTTTATATATATAATTAATTAAGGATGGGGATTAAAAAAAGAATATCCTCAAAGAGGAAATAGATAGATTGTAAAAGGAATATGATGGAATTCAAATTCTTGTAACTGAATAATCAGATTATTTGGATAAAAATACTAATAATTTGCATAGAAATAGTATAATCTCATTTGATCAAAATTTTGATGGTGAGGAATAACAATGAAAATTAAAAACAAATATATTATACTTATTAATTCTAAAATTGATTCAAAAGTAAACATATCTAAATGAAACTTTCACATTAATTTTCCACTAATACAATAAACTATAGATTCTAATTTCATTATTATCATAAGTATATTAATCATATTTTTTTGATTAAATAAATAATGAATTAATATTTTTTTCTTATTAAATTCAATCCTTATCCATTACTTAAACAAGTATTATATATATATTGTATTTCAGTATTTCACATATATTGAGACAATAATTATCTATCCAAACATATAAATCTGTATTTTTTTTACTTGCATTGCATTAGAAGTACATTTAAAATATGAAATAGTCAATTCAATCCTTCAACTTGAACACAATCTGATAGATTTAAATACTATCATCTACAAATTGTATTTCATCTCAATTAAAAATAGTCTATTACAAATACAGGTAATATAAATAAATAAAAAATTAATTAAAATGTCAGTTTACATTCATAAAGCATATATAAGAAAGAATGAATGTATTGGAGATCATAATTATTTCTATCATGAAGGCTAAAACAAAAAATAATAGTAAAAGTTAAATTAGAAAATTTAAGAAGAAAATACTTAGATTGATTAGTTGCATAATACTATAAAATAATAATAATAACTGATTAATCAATTAGAATCTTAAAATTCAAATTACAATCAAACTATCTTTTAACAGGAACAATATATTTAATCCCTCTTAAATCAATTGTAATAATAAGAAAATTAATAAGAAAACTAATATAAAGAGTTGATTGAGGAAAATCAAAAACTAAAAACTATTCTAAAATAAAACTAAATTCATGATTAAAAAGATAAATTCATCGAATAGCAAGAAGTTTTAGTTTAAACAGAACAATTAGATGAAGAGATCTTTTTAAATAAATCCTAGTAAATTGAAATATTAATTTAAAATAAACAGACTTAGACGGATTTAATTACTAATGATTTTATTTCTTCTTAAAAAACTCCATAAATTTCTTAACCTATAAAATTAGATGTTAAAACAATTAGAATATAACCTATATATTATTACTAAACTTGATATATAATATTTTCATGTTAATTTTATGAATAATAAATTTTAGTTAATTAATTTAATAAGAATACCATATTGTTATTGTTATATAATATTCAAAAAAGCTACAAAGCAAATTATTAGATAATTATTTCTGCTCTATATAAAATATATAATTCTTGATCTAACTTTGAATACATAAAAATACACAAAAAAAATTATAATAATTTATATAATAGTTTTTAATATATGGATGAAAATGAAAATATAAATTTAAGTGTTAGATTTCAAAAATTGCTTGCTGTTATGATTTCTTGGATTAAAAAATGTTTTTGATCCATATATAAATATTTCAAAGTATTTTCAATAAAAAAATAATGTTTAATATTTATCCTGATGATTAATGCATTTTTTAATTAGTTTAAAGATTTCTAAATACTTTAAAAGTATAATGAATTGTTATAAGAATATTAAAGAGCTGAAACAATTTAAATTCTAAGTATTATATAATAAACCCTATGGCAGAAAATCTTTTAGGATTTTATTTGAATATACTAAAATATTCTCAAAAAATTATCTTTCTTTCACATGTCTATTATTAATAATTTACTATTTTAAGTGAAAATTATTCATTTTTGTTTTTTCTAAGAGATGTTATTTATTAAAGTGATTTTTGAATTGTATCATATACCTAAGAGTTTGAGATAAAAAATAGAATAAGTAAAGAAAATAATAAAGATGGTGTTTGATAATTTTTTGTTTTTTTCTGATATCTCTTTTTTATGATGTGAAATGAAAAAATCATTCAGATCGTTTTTTATGTTGAATATTGAATTAGATAAAATAAAATCACGCTATAAAAGTAATACACAGTATAAATTCAATTAAGTTGGGAGGAGGATTTGGAGAACTTTCTAGAAAGATACTTATTCCAGATAAAGAGTTAGTCTGTAAATTCTAGAATTTATTGAGATTTTTTGCATTTATATGGACTTTAAAAAGATGCCTTTCTGAGTGATGGATAAGTGCTTTATGGAGATGTTATTTAACTTCCAATATCTATTTCTAAAGTTTCTGGAACTGGATATATGTCTCCATCACTTTGTAAATAATTTAGTGGTGTTTTATTTAGTTTTTGCATCCTAATTTGTAAATGCTTTTGAAAATAATTTAAAAATAATTGTTTTAATCATAAACAATAATTTTACTCTAAAAAGTAATTTAATGATGCAATAAAATGTTGATATTGTGACAAAACTCATGCTTATGTATAACTCTAAGTAGGAAGATAATAATTGAATATTAATTTAATATATATTACTTAATATTATATCTTTAAATATAATTATCATTTACAAACGTATAAAGCAAACCCGTTGCAAACATATTATGCTAAATGAATGTAATCTTATAATTCTAATAACTCTATAGGAACAGCATTTCTGCTCCAATTATTTTTTTCATATTCAATAGATTTAATACTTTATTCTAAACCTTTAAAAACATCTTCACTAGTTTTCTTCATAAGATCAGCTATATTGAAAAATCCAATCCTATTTGAATTACAGCACATTAATGTAGTTTCATCAAGACTAATAGAAACTGATCTGATATAATCTCTACCATTAGCACTATGAAAATCACTTCTTTATAAATAAATTTTATCTTTTAATAGTTTAGTGATTGGTAAATAAAACAATATAACAGATCCAGAATCACATCCTATACATAAGAATTAACCAGTAAATGATATATTCATACAAGTGATGTTCCCATCCAAAATTGAGATATACATACACTCAGCTTTATCAATAGACCATATTCTTACTATTCTGTTTTCTTCAGCAGTTACTACATATTCAACAGAAGGAACAAATTCTACTAATTTTACTTAATTCATTACAGGTCCAAATATTCTAATACATTAATTTTAATCAGTAGCCCATAATAGAGCAGTTCCATCTGAAGATGCACTTGCAAACCAATATCCCATTGGAGCAAATGCTAAATGCCAAATTGTTTATAAATGACCTTTATATACAACTAAAGGTTATCTAGATTTTAAACAAGAAAATTTTATAGTTAAATCCACTGAAACTGATATAATGTAACTTTCATCATACAAAATACTTATAGCTGTTACTGGCCCTTCATGAATATGCATTTCAAAACTTGGATTGCAAAGTAATCTATTCTATCTATTTTATTTCAATTCATTCATATCATATACTAATATATTACCATCATAACAGCCACAACATATGATATTACAAAATTTACTTATTTAAATGTAAGAGATTACATTTGGCAGATCTTATAACTTTACACCAAGCAAATTTTTCTATTAATTCAATAAACACTCAATTAATTTAGTGTCATGAGATAACTTATATTTGATTAATTAAGAATATTTAACAGACTTTTCATCATTTTCTTGCTATTATTATTATTATTGTCTCTTCTGTTATAATTTTTTCAGAACTTCTTATTTCATTTGATTTGCAATTTGATATGGTAATTGCTTTTATTCAATAAGTTATTATATTTTAGAGAAATCTTGTTGACTCAATGGATCAAGATGAGACTTCTAACATTTTTCTATTTGGACTATAATTCTTAACCAATCATCTTCTATAAAAGTGTTAAAGTACTTTTCTTTTATTTAAACACTCTCTTCTATCAATTTCAAATCTCTAACTTTATCATCCTTTGAGCTAATGTTCTTATTTTCTATGTTCTTAGCAAATTAACTTAAGCCACTTAAAGTGAGATATCTAGTAGTATTAATTGTATCACTATTTGAATATTGATTAAACTTGAGTTTATTTTTGAATTCTTAAAATATTTAATTTTAATGAGTTAAATATTCTTAAATATAATTTATTTTCTCAGACATAATCGAAGTAGTAATTAATGGGTGATATTTATAAAATTAACTATATCCTATTAAATATGATTCATCAAGTCTATTCTTTGATAAAGTTAATAATTCATCACGAACACTCTCATTTAAATATGCAGCCTTTTAATTTACCATGTATTATATAAATTTATTTAATTCTGTTCTAGCAGAATATTCATCATCTTTATTTTTAATACTTTCTTCCTAAATTTTAAGAAGTTTTTCCATCATGAATGAACTGCAAAGAAAATGCAAAAATTCAATTTAAGGTCTTTGACTAGCTATTTCTTATGAGATAAATTGTTAATAAAAATCTGCTAAAATCTTCTCATATGCAACAGATTTTTTTGGTATTTAAAGCATAATATAATTATTTTATTATTAAATATTAAATTATATAAGGAAATAATAATAAAGAAAAACATACACAAAATTTAGTTATTATTTTAACAATAAACTATTTATAAGTGAATTAAGAAAATCAAATGATTAATTTTTAATAGATCTTGATTGATTTAGATAAAACTAAATTATAATGATTGATATCATAGTCTTATTATATTTTAATATTTAAATATAACAGCAAAATTAATTATTAAAATAGATGGGTAATTAAACATATTATGTTAATGAATAAGTTATTTCAATGGATGGCAAATTAGAAGATAATTTAGAATGTGTTGGATCAAAATAACATAAATATTTAGGATAAATATAATTATGGAGAAGAGATTCTAAGAGTAACCCAACAGTCTTCTCAAAAGTATGAATATTTATATTTCGATAAGTTATCACATAGTGGTTAAAGGCATGATATAAATGTAAATGAGCATAATGATAGAAAAAAAGTAAATCATCCAAATATTTTATAATATTATGGATGTTAATCAAATTATTTAACATTCAAAGGAAATATTTAATAAATGAAATTCTTTTTTGAATATATTCCAAATACATTAGGTAATGTTATAAATTTTCATAAGAAGAATTGTAGTTATTTGGAAGAAAATGAAATTTGGAAAGTAGTTTAATAATTATTTATATTAGATAATTCAACAAATAGTTTCTGCATGTTCATTTTTGGAAAAATTAGATTTATTTCATGGAGATTTGAATCCTTAAACAATATTAATGGATAATGAGAAATAAATAAAAATATTAGTATTAGAATAAATAAAAATAGTATCATAATGCATATCCAGAAATAATCACATCTTATGCAAAATTATTAGCATATTAAGATTAAAATGTTTTCATTTCACCATAATAATTGAATGATTTAATAAAATAATCAGTGACACCATAAGATAATCCTTTAAAAACTGATTCATTTTAACTTGGTCTGACATTATTAGAATTAATGACAATGACATCAGGTATATAATAATAATTATAATGAGTTTTGGAAGATTGTATAGATTATAATAGAAAAACAATATATTATAAATCAATAATGGATATATTATCATCAGCAAGAAAGAGATATTCATAATAGCTGATTAATTTAGTATAGAGATTAATTACTTTTGATGAATAATCAAGACCAACTCTTTCAGATATTTTATTTGATACAAATTTATAATAATAAGGGAGTACTTTTATACCATAATCTAAAATAAGAAGATATACATCACCTCCAAGATAACCAGAAATTACAAATTCTCCTCCACCAGATATGGGTTTGAGTAGTAAATCTCCCGTATTAAGAGATTAATCATTTTAATCACATTTTAGAACTCCATTATAAAGAAGTCTATCACCTGTATTAGATAAATCTGGTAAATATTTAAGTCCTGCTTAAAGTCGAAATACAACTGCTATTACTGCATTCTATAAAACACCAAAAAAATAAACTATTCTTATTTCTACTCCAATTAAAAATGATAGAGGAAGATAACTTACTGAAAATTCTAGAAATATATTCATGATTAGTAAAAGTCCTGTTTTAAATTAATCTAGAAAAACATCATTTTAAATAACTCCTAATCATCATCCAATTTTTAAACTAGTTACTCCTTAATAACATTCTAATTATTTACCACCATATTAATAAGCATTTTATTAGGAAAAATTTAATTAAAAATAGATTCGTTAAGAGTTTTCATAGACTCATTAACATTTTTTTTAACCTTAATTCAATAATTAAGAAAATTTTACTAATACAATATCTAAACCTGAATCTGCCTACTTTACCAAACCTTAAGAGCTCTTATCATCATAATAATAATCATTACCATAATAACAAAAATAATAAATTTCATAAGATTAATTTAATCAAACTCCAAATCCACTTCGTAAAACTCCACAAAAAGTACCCTAAAAAGGTATAAATTTACTATCACCACTTTCATGTAATAATAAATGATATAATTATTATATTCAAAAAATATTATTTATATTAATTTAATTTAAGAAATTAGTTAGATTTAATTTTATTATTAGATCCTTTTGTAATAGCTTTTCTATTTGAGTAATTTCATTTTTCTCAAAATTATTTCAGCTCATTTTTTCCGGAATCTCATTCCTTTTTACTTCTCTAGATATATCTGATTTATTTTTCGAATAGTTTAAGTTCAGAATATCTACAATAACACTTTTTAAAATTCTTTATATTTTGATAATGTTTATTAATAATCATATCATTGATTACTATAATATAATAAGTTAAGATTTTATGAAATATCAATCAATAATCGTCTATGTCTTATTCAAGAATATATTTGAATTGCTATAAAGTGATTTCATTTTTTTGATCAAAATCAAACATTTAAAAAGTTGATATTATTTCATCTTCGCACAAATTTTCATCATAATACCTATTAATTTACAATTTAATATATATACAATAATAAATCTGCAAAATCATCTTAACTCATGTTTTCTGATCCTTTAACAAATTTGTAAAATAATTCTACCAAATTTTCATTCTCTTGTTGAATTGCTGAAATCAAATTATAAATTATAGTTTTTGATTCTTTCTTATTTAAATATTGTTATTATTGAATCTGCTATGGACCACAAATGGTATTTGCTGCCCTTCTAACTTAAGAATCATAAATAATCTAGAATTATTAAATTTATGCATAACATCATGTTTTATCATCCAATTATAAAATTCCTGTTGAGAAATTTAACCATTTTAATCTTCATCAATACTATTAAATATGTATTAAATTTCAAAGTCTTCTAATTCTGTATCAATATCAGTTAATAAATCTATCAAACTTTCTTGAAGAATATTGCCATCTTTATTTACAGATAATTCTTCGAAAATTTAATTGATACTAATTTATTTGGCTCCAAGTATTTCTCTTAAACTATTAGCAATATAAAGTTCCTTTTACTAATAAATATTATAAGGATAAAATAATACTTCACAAATTTATTAAAGATTTGGAGTTTATGAAAATTATGCAGAGAATAGAGGATGATTAAATATATCATACCAACTGTATCGATCATCTATTTTGTTATATTTATATACTCTCTTAAATAACCAAACATTTAGAAATTAAATCTTTAACATTATCTGAAACTTAATTGATTTAATCATCAAATTTTAAAGGTTGTGTATTAATGTTCTTTACTAATTATGGTATTGATGATGCAACCCAAGGGGCTATAAATGAGTCTATAAATATCATATACTTCTCCCATAAAGGATTTCATAAAATAAGAAACCAAATGACCAAACATCGCATTTTGTAGAATATTTTTCATTTTTTAAAATCTGAGGACTCATGTATAATGGTGTACCTACTTATGAATAAAATAATTATTATGCAAAATTATCTACTATTTTTGCAAATCCAAAATCTACTTAAATATATAAAATATAAGACCAGCAATTTTATAAGTATTTTAATGTATTAAAATGTTTGCAGGTTTTAAATCTCTATGAATGATTCCAAATTTAATTAATTCTATGAAACCTTATAGAATTTCAGTCATAATTTTCAATGCTTATTTTTCATTAACAAATGAATGTTTTTTTAAGTATCTATGTTATTTTATAATAATAAATACTTGGCTAAATCTCCTGATTCACAAATCTCTTAAATAATGTAATAATTATTAGATGTTTCTAAGACATCTATTAATTATACAACATTTTTATTTTTTAATTTTTTCATAATTTTAATCTCATTCATTACTCCATTATTAGCATTTTGATCTCTCAATAATTTATCTTTGGATATCATTTTCAAAGCTACTTATCTACAATTTTTAAGATCCATAGCTTTAAAAACTGTTCCAAATGATCCTGATCCTAAAACATCTTTTGTATTAAATGAATAATGATCAATATTTTTTTAGGTCATTTAATTTTATTAGTATTTATTTATTTAATATATATATATATAGATTTATATTACTATCTTGAATAAATTATATATGAACTATCAATGTTTTGGTGGCCAAACAAAATTAAGAACTCTTCCAATATAATCATAGAGTGTAAATGTAATGGCTACATCCATAACAACTCTTCCTAATCTTGGTACAGTTCCTATAAATTTATAATTATATTCTAACCTTTGTAAAACCCTCTAATTCCTTCATGTTAATAAGTTTATTTGCAACAATCTAAGACACCATTATATTAATGAGATTTAAGTCCTTACATTTATGTTTTAATAACATCAACTGGAGTATTAGCCATGACAGAGGCAGCACCAGCAATACCTCCAGAAAATAATAAAACAACAGGTTCAGGTAAAAATTAAAAAGTATTCTAAAAATATAGATGATATATTGAATTACTTATATAAATTTCTTTGTATCTTCAAACACAACAAATCGGATACCTTAATTACTGCCTTATTTTAAAATGGTTGGAAGTAATCCTTTATAAATGCCTGATAAGCCCATTTCATTCACAATTGATCCAATTCCATGAATCATTCCTCTATATTTAGGAGTGCTTGATAATTTATCATGGATCAATTTAACCTAGATTTTAAATCATTTATAATATTACTTTTAAAGTTTCAGTAGGTGTAACAACAACAAATGCTTCAAACACACCAGCTCCTAAACCTGCACAGAATGTTTGTAGTCTGCTTTTTCTATCAGTAAATACATTATTTTTAAGCCATTCATTAGCACCAAATCTGCATGCTACTTTAGGAATTGAAAATGTGACTAAAGGTGTTAAACCTCTATAAAATCCTCTTATTCCGAAATTCTTATAGGTTTCACCAATACAATATTTAACACCTTTTTATGAATATTCTTTGTAGAGTTGCATCATTGTTTTAATATACTCTGTTGGATAAGTAATACAAATTTCTATTCCACCTGTTATACCACCTAAAGTTTTAATAGATATTAAATAACGTTACCTGATATAATGCCTCTTATTGGATCTTTGGAATCAACTTTTGCTCCACCCATTTCTAATGAATTTTATTATTATTTATGGATATATATATATCTTATTTAATAATCTGTTCAAATAATTATATTAAATGGCATCACTTAATAAATTAAGTACCAATGAAATTGGTAATATTGATAGATAAATTGCTAAATTAAAGCAAGGTTAAATATTGTCAGAATAAGAAATCAAGAGTTTATGCATCAAAGTTTTTATATATAGCAATTACATAGGCTAAAGAAATATTATCAGATGAACCTAACATCATTTAAGTAAGAGCACCTCTTACTATTTGTGGAGATATACATGGTCAATTTCACGATCTCATAGAACTCTTTTAAATTGGAGGAAACCTACCAGTATATTTAATTTGCAATTCATTTTAGGACACTAATTATTTATTTCTTGGAGATTATGTTGATCGAGGATCCTAATCAGTTGAAACATTCTCATTAATGTTATCACTCAAAGTCAGATACAAGGATCGAATTGTTTTATTGAGAGGTATATTGCATAATATTCTTAAAGGAAATCATGAAAATAGAGAAATAAATAAAATTTATGGATTTTATGACGAATGCTTTCGTAAATATGGTAATGAAATAGTTTGGAAATAATTTACAGAGGTATTTGGTTATTTACCACTGTCTGCAATTGTTGAATAATAAGTAACAGCAAATTTAATTAAACTTTAAGATTTTTTGTGCACATGGAGGTTTATCACCTGCTATGGAATCAGTAGATTAAATAAAATAACTGAATAGAGTATAAGACATACCTCATGAAGGATTGATGTGTGATTTATTATGGAGTGATCCTGAAGAAACAAAAAATGGTATTATATTATAATTAAACATTTTAGGATGGGGTATCTCTCCTAGAGGAGCAGGTTGGACTTGGGGTTGTGATATTACTGAAAAATTCTTACATTCTAATAAACTCAAATAAATTGCCAGAGCTCATCAATTAGTAATGGAAGGAATATAAAAAGTTCATAATTAAAAAACTATCACTATTTTCTCTGCTCCTAATTATTGTTATAGATGCGGCAATTAAGCATGCATTGTTGAGGTTGATGAATAACTTAGAATGAATTAGTATTATTAAATATCATTTCTTATAGAACATAGTTTGAACCAGCACCTAGAGAAAATGAACCTCATACAACAAGAAGAGTACCTGATTATTTTCTTTGAAATATATAAATATGTTATCTAATACAAATTGCTATACAAAACTTAATCCTTTCATTATATTCAGTAGAATTACAATATTATTATTAGTCACTATATTTTATTAACTTTACCATTTCCTCACATTAAACTCTTTATATCTATCTAATATATACATTAAATATTATTATCAGTCTCTTTATTATTCTTATGTTCTTAAAATTACTTATTTTTAATATTTCCTCATTATTCTTTCCACAAAAATTAAACAAAATCTTCAACAATTTAACCTTTATCCTTATTATTTTTTTATTAAATATAACCGATATATCCTTATCCTCCAGTTTACTATCTTTATATCAATTTATTTTATAAACAACTATTATTTTCTCATAATAACTAAATTAGGAATAAATTACCTTTAGAAAACTAGGCATAATTTAATTAAACCAGATTAACAAAATCTAATCCATAATTTTTTTAATTTTCTTTCCAAGCAATTCTCCATTAAGATTAAAAAGTTATATATATGAAAACTATAACAAGTATTTTATAAATAAATATCAAGTTAATGAAATCTTTTCAACTAGATTTCACTATGGCTTTATTTTAAATAATTTCTAGATTATCCAGATTCTGTTGGCTAGAACAATTATTGTATAACTTTACATTCCTCACTACCTCTTCTACACGAAGAATAGACGGCCTTGACTTTCTATGACGAATATTTCTAAAATGATTCTAAAAATAGTACTTTTTAATAAGTAAACATTAGGAACTAACTCTACATTTTTTAGAAACATTTTCATAATCCAATTATTAATCAGAAATTATCTGATGCTAATTAGTTTAAAATTCTAAAGGAGAAAGGGGGTACAAGTTTATTTCTAAATCATTAATCATATTATATGTTATTAATAATAATATATTTAAATTACATTTTATTTAATTTATTCAATAATTCCTTACACTATCAAAATTAATGATGAATTTTATGTCTATATTTTAACTTTATTGAGAGTGTTTTAATATTTTCCTTCTTATAATCTTCATTTATTTAGCTCTAAATATACTAAATTATTTTTAATTAACTTTTTAAACCAATTAAATTAGAGGTTTAACCTAAATTTCAATTAAATGAATAATTTATGTAAAAACTATTCTTAATAAATATCAAATAATTATATCAATTTATTTAATATTCATTATCAACTATTTTTATAAAGAAATTTGAAATAATCTTTTAATAAATCAATTAATTATAAAATTTTTCAAAAAAAAAATAATCTATTTTTTGTCAAAAATTAAATTAAATTATTTCTATGTTTAAAGAAGTGAATAAAATAATATTAGAATGACAGAATTGAAACAACGTATTTGGATGCTTTTATTAGTTGTATATTTTGAAAAACAATTTAAAAATTAATAAAATTAAATATAATTTTTGTTATTTTACTTGTATAAAGTTGAATATGTATAAAAAAAATCTAACAGGTAGAGTTCAATTCAATGTCATAGTTCTTTTTTTTTTAATTAGATTTGAAATTAATGGTAAATATAATGGGATTGATATTTAACTATTATTTTCCAAGAAAGGAAAGTTATTAGAAGTCAATTTTTATGAAATTTATATAGGATTGGTTTTTGGAATTTATTAAGTACCAGTTATTTGTTATGGGATTTAATTAACAGGGGATGTTTCTTAAAAAGAGGTATTTCTATTGCTTGATGCAAATCTAAATGATAAAGAAATTTTATTTTTATTATTTCTTTTTTATTAAAAAGTAACCTTATTTTCAGTTGATTAATTTGATTTATTAGAAAACTCCCAATTTTAAATATTTAATTCAGGATATAAAATATGCTTTCTTTGAACTTTAACTAATAAATTTAATTACATTTATTCATCCTGAAAATAGGTTAAATTTTAATTTTTTTAGACACAGTTTAAGCTTTCATACGTTTTCTTTAGGAATCTTCTTTATTAATTGCAACAACATTCTATTAACTTAATTCAGCCTTCATTTAATTTTGTAAATTTGTCAACTTAGCTTTCTCATAATCTTCAAAGATTTCTGCATCTGATTAACTTTTATTTTCATCATCAGATTCATGTTTTGTTTCAGTCTATTCTACTTTGCTAAACATTTCATTTATACTTTTCCAAATTTAACTTTATTCTATTAATAATTAAATAGAGTCTTACTTAATTGCTTTGAATTTGATTATTTAAAATTGAAATATAAAAATAAAGTTTCTCCAATGCATTTTCCAGCTTAAATCCAATCTTTTGATATAAATTTAAACGACTTTACTTTTTAATAACCACAAAAAGATGCTTCTATAGTATAGCAAAAAACATCAACAAAATTATTTGCATAGGCTCTAGCAGTTCCAAATTTAAATTTAGGAATTCCAAATTCGCATGATTTATATCTAAAAGATTCAAGCCTTTGTTGCAGAATTAAAGGAAATAATTTAGAATCATAGTTTTAGTTACTGGATTAAGGGCCATACAGAAATATATTTTTTCTTACTTAATGGCCATGAAATTCTAAATAACCTATTAATTTTGTAGAATTATCTTATATTAAATCTTTCAAAGCTTTTACTTCTGGTAATAGTGTCATATCAGTTTCTAAAAATTACCTATTCAAATCAACTCCACTTAACCCATTTCTAAAATTTCCAACAATAACTCCATCAGGATTTAACATTGGAATGATTTTAAATATGAAACTATAATAATATTATTATACTTTACTTTTTTCTTAAAAATTATGCCATAATAGATTCACTTAATAAAAATTAAATAAATCCTTACATAATAAATGAACTACAAGTTTCAGAAGGATGAATTCGAGCAGTTATAATGAAAACTTGTTTATTTATATCTGAGTTTTTATCAGATATAATAAGAAGAGGCATCACAAGACCAGATAGAGTATTTGTTAATTTTAATTTCATAAGATACTGTTTGGATTATTTATGCCATTTAAAAATTTATCTTTTTAATTCTGAATATGTATATGGAGGAAGAGTAGCAAATTCAACTTAATCATCTACATACTCATAATAATAAACAAAAGATAAAACAAAAAGATCTCCCTATGATTAATATTTTACAAATTCTCCTTGTTATGTAAAATGCTTTTCTGACCCTTTTTTTGATAAAATATAGGGTTTCATGCCTTTTAAATATAAGCTTTAAGATTTAGTAAAGTTGCAAATATTAAATTTAATTTTTTTCTATTCATTATTTGTAGTTTTGAAATAAAACCAGTTACTATGTCCGATAGAATTTGTATCAATTCTCATGAATAAATTATATTCTTCATTTGAAATCTACTTTTTATATAAAATATTACTTAATCAACTCTATCTAAATTTCCAGATTCAAAATTAGAATTAAATTATATTCCTTATTTCAGCATTCCAACAAATGGTCTTTATGTTTAAGGTTAAAATTCAAAATTATTTGAATGATCTTTGTTTTCTATTAATTTGTGTAATTAATTTGTATTGTAAAATAGTTAACCTAAGAATATAGTTTAATTATTAAATGATAACCCAGAAGTAATTAAGGTTAAATTTCTACATTGTTAGATAGATTTAGAATTTAATTTTTATTTTTCCTCTTGTTTATCATATTCTTCACTATAATCCAAGGTTTTGAATTTTGTTTTTAATTAATCAAAATCGTCATCATCATCATTGGATGAGTTAAAACCCTCATTTGAATTGCATCGTTTAAGAATCATTTATATAAATTATCATATATTTGTCATATAAATTTCAATTCTTTAATTAAAATGAATTTATTTTCTACTAAAATATTCATTGTAACCATAAACAAGTAGATTGACTAAATAATTATTTTTTTTTTTAATTTTCTAATTCCTCTTCTGACACATTTAACTTTAAAATTAATGTTATTGGTAAATGGATGAATGTAATTATATTCTTAATTAAGACTATGTAGTAATAATAATCTGAGTATATAGCATATGGATATAAAGTTTGTTTTAACATTATATTCATTAATTTTTAAATTGCTGAATTAATCCTATTGTATAAATAAATTATACTTTGGATCCAATTCATTTTTTGAATTTCTAATTATCTAATTAGCTGATAATTGATTAAATATATTATCTAAACTAATCCAAAAGATATTTCATCAATAATTTGAGTTTATTATTATTAATAAATTATCTAGAATTTCTATGTATTCAAAAATTCAATTTTCAAAAACTATTTAGAAACTCAAATCATAATATCTTTTAAATGGACTATTCTAGTATATCTTAAGTATTGAAATCAAAGCTTATCAGTTTTTATTGATTGTTTAATTTTTAAAATATATAAATTTTAGGATATCATACTATTAAGTTATAGACTCAAATATTTAAACCTCTAAGTCTACCTCAAGATATCATTTAATTATTTGAAGTTTATAATTAGAAAGACCAACTAGTAAATAATCTAAATGCAAATTATATATTTAATAGATCATGAATATTTCGATTTCTATTTTAGTTTTTAATTCTTTATCTTCTACCTACAATTTACTTATTTTACTCTCACTTCTTTTTCATAATAATTTTATTAAATTTCTTCTAATTATTTCATTAACTATTTTTTCAAATAAATTCTATAAATCTTAATATAAGTTTAAAATTATATTAAATTAAAAACAACCAAAAGTTTAACTAATTATTATCTCCATATTTGATTTGTTCCTCTTCAAAAATTTCAAATTCACTATTTTAAGAATTTCCAATTCAAAACTACTCTTTTTATTATATAATCACTACCTATTATAAATCTGCTGCTTTCAAGTTCTGAACAAACAATAAAGTAAGGATTAAGAATTAGAATTTTAAAAACTCCTATTTAACTAATTATAACTGGTATAAAAATAATTTTATTCCATATTAAATCACAATTCTAGATTTTGATTTTTAAACTTAATCTAATCCAAATATTCATTAAATCCTTTCTTTTTATACATAGTCAATGTATATCGTTGATAATCCTTAATATTCCATGCTAGCAACAAATATTAACGTTTCTCTATTCCTATACAAATGAAGTAATCTTCAGACTAAAATTGATTTATTGCATAATATATTCTAATTTACATTAATTATATACATGTTACTCCAAAATTAATTACCATTCTGTTTTAATTATTGAATCTCTCTTTCAAATTATTTTCTTAATTTATAAAATTTTTTATTTTTTAACATTCTTTAAATCAAATTCATTGTATTTCTCTTTATCATTATTACATTCTCAAATTCTAATAATTCAAAATCTGCTAGATAAACAAACTTATCTTCTAAAACTAATATATTTAATTTAATAATCTGAGCAATCTCTTTTAATTCAACTTAATTTGTTAATTTGTTAGCTTATTATAAATTCATCTACCAAATTATTCTTTGATTATTCTTTTAATTTTAAGCTATAATTTTTATTTATGGATGATAAGGTTCAAAAACAGAATCCAATTTTTCATAATGTTCAAAAGATACATTAATTAATGAAATTACTACCATATACCTAAGATTTTTATAAAATTAAGTAAATCTTGTTAAGAGTGTACTTTATTATTTCAAGCTTTCAGAGATTTTCAATTCTTTACCTTATTCTTCATCTTCACAATTACCCTATATATTAATTCCACTTTTTTTTTTTAAATGTTTAGTAAGTATCTTTTATTTATGAACTCGAATGCCATCTATTACTTATTCTGATATTTGAGATAAGATATTAGATTATGAATAATTAATTCCTGGATATTAAGATTTAAATTCCTTCAAATCTATATCAATTTTTATCAAATTGGTTTAATCTTATTATACATCTTATTTTTAAGGTGTTTCTCCAGTATGAATAGCATCGTAAATAAATTATTTTCCTTATGAATATTGCCTTTTTTAATGAAAGATTAGTCTTGGAGTTGATGGCTTCTTTGTTATCAATTTCAGTATCTTTTATTTTGACTCTTAGGAAATTTCAAATTTATGAACCTAATTCTATCTCAAAATTAAACTATTATTTTCAATATACAAATTCCTTAATACATACGAACTTATTTATTCATTTAATAATATTGAATTTGGATCAATAGTGAAGCAATTAAATAATTCTTATTCTTAGTTGCTTTTGTAAGATAACAATTCTACTCTTATTCTCATTCCTTAATTATCTGTAGATTCATAAATATTACAAATGTACATAATCTCGCTATCTTTATGGTCACTGATATCTTTTCTTTTCAAAAATGTTTTTTATACTTCTTTACCTTTCTTATTCATCATTTTGATTTTCATCCTTGCACATCTAAATAGCATCATTTAGTATTTTTTCTATTATTAATACAATCTCCATTTAGCTTACAAAACAATAATGGTTGGTAATAATTTTGGGTAGGATTCATTTGAAGTCAAATAAAATCCTTAAGATGAAGTATAAAATTTTTCATTTATTTCTTCTGTTAATGGCATTTCAAAATCCTTATACAAATATTATAATTCTAATTCTGCATTAATTGTTATATAAAGATGAAGTATATTAATCATAGGAATTAGTAATTATTTATATTTATGATAACTTTTTGATTCATTTAATGTTAATAGTTTAATAAATAGTTCTTTTTCTAAATAGCTTATTCCATGATAGTTTCCAAATAAGCAATCTAAATAATGTAAATCTAAATTATATTTTCTTTTTCTTTTCTCCTTCTATAACAAAATAATGATTTTTTAGTCTTATTTATTGTAAAAATAATTTATTTAAACATAAAACTCATTTATAAAAGTTCTTATCAAGAATTTGTTAGTCAATGGAGTTTCTTTTATTTTTTTTAAGAATAATTTTAATCTAACGATTCTTATTACTTTCTTACTAAATTGTTCTCTCAATTCAGTAATAAAATTTATTTTTTCAGATGGATGATATTTTTCTATAGGAATGCTGAAATATTACTATATCTTTTCTACTGATTCAGATAAAATAATATTTAAATAACTATTTGTATATTCTCTATATTTTATTTAATAGAATTTTCTTGGTGTTGAATAAGCAGTTACCACAATATCATAATAAGGCAATACAAGTATCCATTCATATATTACTGAATCAATATCAACTTATTTTAATAAAATAGAAGTTTCAAATCTTTTCTTTAGAATTTCAATTGTAGTATAAGGTTAAGGTATCCTTATTTCATCAAAATAATATGCTTTTTACGCTACAATTTTTTAAGCTTCAATCTATTTTTGCTTTTTTCTCAATCTTATTTAACATTTTTAATGAATTGTTGCTCTGAATTTTAATAATCTAAAAGCTATTTATTAAATAAATAATTACCTCTTTATATTTACTTTGCCTTATTATTTAGCTGCTCTAAGTATAATTCATCAGGATCTTAAATCCATTCATATTTATAAATAGATGGATATTTATTAACGTAGTGATTGATGTTGTTTCCAATTTATCTTTAAATTTTTATTTATTAATATTTTTTCATAAGTCTTTAAATATATAGATTTTTAATATGTGAAATTTAGTAAATTGAAGAATCTTCCACTTTAGACTAAATTTATGGAGAATCTTCTATTTCAAATCTATTTTTTAAGTATTATTAACAATAAATCTTTCTACTTAAATAATTTCTTCCAAAAAATGTTGGTTCCCTATTTATTGTATCTCTCTAACTTTTTTTAAATGAAGAATAACTTCTAAATAAAAATTAATATATATTCATTACCTATCAATCAAAAATCCATAAACTTCTTCTAAACTAGGACATTTTAAATGTAGCCTTTCATTTTTCCATTCAAAATTAATTTCATCTATTATTATTTTGCTTACTTATGTAAAATCTGAAATTGAAAAATCTTAGAACAATCTCTAACAACATTTAGCTATTTTAATATTTGAATACTTTTAAGAAATGATTCCTCCTTCAATTATTAGTTCTTGATGTTCTTTATATATTTATCCACATGCAGTTAATATAATATGATATTTATATTCAAATAAAACAGATTTCCTTAGTTTAAACAGTAATTGACATTATTTTGCTTTTTAAGTAATTTTCTTATATTTGAGTATTTAAGAATTAAAAAATTATATCTTTGATCTAAATACTCTTTAGATTTTTTTTGCAGCTTTTTCTACGATTTCATAATTAATTTTCTCTTTTGATTTTATATCTTTATCAATAATAAATTGAGCATCTTCAGTATAAAAAATAATATTTTTATTGGCATAAAATATTTCTCTACAATTTTATCTATTGATTGGACCATAAAATTAGATGATTGAATCAGGAATTATGATCTCATTTTCACATAAATGTTTAATTGAAAGATTATAAAATTATATAACATTTACTTCTTTAAAGATTAATAAAAAATACCCTCCTTATATCTTTTCTATAAATCTCATATGTTTATAAATTTTATTTTTAATTAACTCTTATTTTTGTCTTGCCAAATAACCCCTTAACAATGATTATAATTTCATTAATTTTGTTAATTAAATTGGATGTTTTCTAGAAGATTAAACTGATATTTAATCATCAGTTTCTAATTCTTATTATTCATCTGATAAAGTATCTGTAACTCCATATAAGTTGAGTTAATTATTTAATACATAAAATAAGCTGCATATTTCCTTATAATTAATTGATTTGGTTTATTTATAAGCAATTTGATTCATTTTAGTTGACATAATAATTGTTTAACAAAATTCATCAAAAACATTATATTTAGAAATCATAAATCTTAATTCAAAAGTTTAACGATATATTTTTGCTCTATTTCTATATCGTTTATTCATTATTTCATTAATAACATATAATATTTCATTCTCAAATTTTTTAGCAATAATTAAACAATATTTAAATTAATTTTCAATTTATAATTTTGCTATTTCTTAGAATTTTATATAATATTGTTTTTTTCTCATTAAAGAAAAAAGTATTTATTAAGTTATTCTTCTATAAAATCTTTATATTTTTATAGCTGCTTGTCTTTTGATCAAATCATTAATTAATTGATTATTAGAAGATTGATTTTTTGATTATTTAGATTACCATTTTTTTATCTTGATAATAGGATTTTCTTAATTGTTTTTTTATTCAAATGTATTTTCAAAAGTTTCTTAATTTATAAATGAAGCAACAGTAATTTCTTTTTATGATTCAAATCCTCTTATCTAATTAATAATTAATTCTTGATCATCTTAAGTAAGATCTTCTTATTAATTTAATGGAATCATAGAATCAAATTATCCATCAGGTTGTTAATTTTCAAAATGAATAAATTCTTAGGATTTCTATTCCTAATATTCAACATTTTATATTGATTCTTAAGAGAAATTAATATGATTACTATTTCTTTTGATTGATTTTCTTTCTAAAAGATGAATATTCTATTAATGAACAGATTATAAAAATATTAATCTAATTTATCTTTATTCTTCAATTTCTTTTTGCAACTATTTAGATATTCTACAATGTTCTTCTTATTCCTTAAAATCGTTGATTTAAATTAAACAAGATTAATTTAAAGTTTAATTTTTTCTAACTTTAATTTGACTTTATGATCTAGAGTAGACATGATCTGATTGATTAATAGATTAATTGATTGATTATTAAAAAGAATCAACTCTTGATATAGATCTTCTTCTATAATAAAAAGATTAAGATTCTTCACCTTATCTTGAAGTACTTCTTAATCTAAATTTATTTTAAACTGGTATAATTTTTTAAGGTATTTTTTCAATATATTAACTTAATTTTAATGTAAGAGGATCTTATAGACCTAAAAGTTTAATACTTTATTCGTATGCTTTTTCATGAAATATTTTACTTTATTCATAATTTAATAAAGATTTATATTCTATGGCTGCATTATGATATGCAATTACTAATTATTTACCAATTGAACATTCAATTGATTGCAATGCTAATTGTAATGCTTTATCATGCTATTTAAGTTTAGAATAAATGTAAGTTAAATTATTAAGAGTTTTTGAAGGATTTAATTTATTTGCAACAGTCAATTTTAGACCTTCATTTAATATTGCTATTTATTCATCTTTATTTGTTAAAATACAACCTTTTTATTAAAGGGAAATTACCTAATAAATTCAATACATCTAATTAGATATTTGGTGAATTTGTATTCCGAAGAATCCATCTATAAATAAATTCTTTGTTTTTCAATTCTTAAGTAAGTGAGTATCTTATAAGTATTTAAGCACTTTCTTCAAATGGCTTATACTTTTCTAAATAAGGTAATGCCTCTAGTAATTTATTTTCCTTTAATTTTTATAAGGCTTATTTCATTTATTTTAATAACAAACTATTTAATCCACAATATTAATTATAACAATTAATAAGAAATTCAAATTCAAAGAAATTATGAAGAATCCTTGGACATAATAAACTGTTGCTTAATAATAAATTACATATGGAATATGTTACAATATTCTAAATAAAAAGTATTAATTACAATCAGAAGAAAAAGATTAATTTTAATATTAAACAATATTAAATAATGCAAATAAAATTTAAGAGATGAAATAAAAATTAGCAATCTAAATTATAGATTAATAATTTGGAGATATGATTGATCCTAAAAAATTTGAACAAAGAATTTAGCAATTGGCTAATATAGAATAAATAATAGACTAAGTTTTATAATGTTTATTAAAATGTCAAATATGTGTATAAAACAATAATGATACAAAGAGTTTTATAAGAAATGATGGATCAGTATATATAAATATTGCTTTTTAATATAAAACTCAATTCATTTAATTATTAAGATAGGCTTAAGAGAAATAATGTGAATTAGTTGATCCCGATTAATAAATAATTTAATAAAGAAGATGTATAAAGGAGTTAGATGAATGGTAATAATAAATAGAATAGATATATAATTAGATAATATAATTATTAGATTAATTAAATTGATTTGATCGAATATAGTTAATATTCAATATATGTATTAAATCAGATGATATATTTAAATATTTTCTAAACATCTTATTTTTAAGAGAGGATATTTAACTATAATTATCCAGCTCTATCAGTAACTTCCATTTTTGGATATACTCCACATCCAAATTCAATAAAAACTTAATCATTTGTATCTAAGACTTTATTTATTCCCTAAGTAGTAATTACTAGATTTCTATCCTATAAAATATATATATTAATTTACTTTATTTGACATGGATATAATAGAATAATTAACATAATCTTATGCAATAATCATTTCTACAATAGGTCCATTAGCTACTTGTTATGATGATAAGAGTTCTCCACTATTGATATCAAACTCTCTTATTTTTCCATCCTTACCTCCACTAATGATTTTAGTCTAGTTATTTTATAGTTAAACAACATTCAAAGCACAGACAAGAGTTTAATTCTTTATAGATCTTTCTAATTATGCTTATTGAAACTATCCTTATGCATTTTTTATAATTTTCCATACAATAAGATTTTAATCTAATCCTCCTGAAATAAATCTACCTTTGGCTAAAGTTAAACAAGTGACTGCATTTGTATGTCCTATTAATTTTTATATAGATTAAGTTTTATCAATATTCCAAATCAACAATGATTTATCATATGATCCACTAACAAGTGTTTATCCATCATCTAATGATAATAATGCAACAACTGCAGCTTAATGTTCCATTAAAGTATTATGTTCTTTCAAAGTAGACAAATTCCATATTTTAATAGATTTATCTCCATTATCACTTCCAGATGCTAAGAAGAATGGTACATTATTAGCTTTAATAACAGTTAATGTACAAACTCCATCAGTGTGTCCTTCTAATTTGGATAATAGGGATGATCCATCCCAAATGTTAATGAAAGTATCTTTAGATCCAGTAGCAATTAAATTATCTTTAATATTTGTAAAACATAATATCATTCCATTATGTCTTATATCTAATGGTTAGATTTCTTATAATTCATTAACCTTTCCTTAAATAGTATGAGTATTTATGAAATTATTTTATAATTATAGAATTGGAGATGGTTATATAGTTTGTGAAGATTGATTAAATTGATTTAATTGATTCAAATGATGCTCAAAATTTAGAGTTAGTTTAGGTTCCTATATATTTAGATATGGATTAGATTTAATAGCTGATTAAGGGAGAGATTAAGTTTCTAGATTGAGTTTACTTTTACTTTCGATATTACTTTATTTCTATTAACTTTGTTCCATATAATCTAATGGTAAAATATAATCTCTCATATCACCAAACTTCGTTATTAATCTTTCTTCCACTTCTTATTTAATCATATTTAATTGTCTTAATGTAGCCTCTGAATGGTAAAATTCACTATTTTAACTTGTCAGTTATAACAACTCTTTAGATATTATTTGAATTTATTCAACTCTTTATCTTGCTAAATTACTTATATATGCATTCACTTTACTCACATAATTCTAATATTTCATCTCTTCCAATTCTCTTATTAAATTTGCATTTGAACAATCTCCTAAATTATTACTAGGTGGAGGTGGTACTAAATTTAAAGGAGCTTCTAATTTTGTTTTTTTAAATTGAATAACACCCTCCTTAAAATCAGCATAAACTTTTAAATATCGTTTATAATGATCATCTACAAATTATTACATTTGAACTCCAAGATCTTCTATCATATTTTACATCTCATTCTTTATTCCATTTATATCTCTCTTTATCTTTTCTTTCTCTCTATCAACCTTTTTCTTAAATTTATCTAGATGATTATTTTCTTCTGATAATAAAAACAGTATTTCTTGAGGTAAAAAGTCTTAATCCATTTCAAATACTTTCGGTAACATTGTAAATGTACTATTCAAATCTGTTACAGGATATTAATGATAACCATTGTAATCACATCTCTACTTTCCCATTGTTTATTGACCTTAGTTTATATCTCCTTAACCAAATGAAACCCTTTAGTTTTGAAATCCTTACTATGGAACAAACTATTGATTTTAACCTGTTAATTAATAATTCTAGTTTAAACTTTAGTTTCTCTAAATAAAATTTGGTTAAAAAATTGCTTCTGAATAATCTGTTGTACTTCCTGCAAATGATTGTTTTTTAACGCTCATTCTTAATTATTTCGATTATTTTATAATTAAAAATTATTCCTATTAATTCATTAATTTATAATGTCATATAAAAACATTATTAACTATTAATATCCAAAACTTAAAGGAAAATAATAAGATATATTATTTATTTAGGATTATTATAATATATCACATATTCAAATCCTAAAAATTAATAAATTTATTGTTATTAACAGAGTATTATTAACAAATAATTAAATTATTTTCTAGAAAATGATCATTAAGAACATAGAAATATGTTTAACTAATTCTTAATTCAGATTTATATTTGCAATTTTTAATAAAATAAGAATTAGATATTAGTAAAATAAAAGGATAATTAAATTGTTTTTAGATAAAAATATAAACAAATCATTCAACTTAATCTTCTTCTTCTTTTTCAATAATATCAGGTGCTTCATTAAAAGTTTACTATTAATCTTCAGTTAAAGATATATTTTTTGATAATAATTCCTAAGAATAAAAAAAAGATTTACTATAACATCTTTTTTATCAAGTGAAACAGCTTCATCTATACATGTTAAACCATTTAAATTTTTAATTGTAATATCTGCTCCATTCTATAATAATATAGTAATAATGGCCAATTAATTATTTAATACAGCCCAATCTGAATAATTTGATATATAATTACGTAGAGGAGTACATCCATATTAATTTTGATGATTAATTAATTTATTTAGATCAATATTTTTTTTTTGGGAATACTAGATTATTTATTCAAGAATAGATTAATGACCATTTGCTGAAACCATATCTAAATTTATTTAAATAAAAATTACGAATGCAATTATTTTAATTCATGTCAATCCAAAATAAATCCACATTATCTTCAAAGCAGCCGATTGCATCTTCATAATCTCTAAAAATGAATAAGCTACTTACCCAAATCTGCAACTGTCAATAAAGAATTCTTCGAGACATGAATATTATTCTTCTTCTTCTTGCATCAGAAATAATATAATTAATTATTTTATTTCTTTAATAATTAATAGTAGTAATAGTTGTATAATATTAATATTTAATAATAGAAATAGACTTTATATATTTATATAACATAAATTATTCAATTACATACTATTCAAAATTCATCATTATAAACTGGTTTATGATCCTATCCATCCCATTTTTCAACTTTTTTAAAATTAGGGAGTTGAGAATATTGATTAAAGTGTTCTCTTCCATTTAATACATTATTCACAAATCTAAAATTTTAAATATATTTAAAATTACTATTCAATATTTTATTTGCTAAAGGCTCCTTTAAGTTTAGCATAAACAGATTTTCTACCACTTAAAGCCATAACAGAAGGATGAGCAGCAGCACATTAGAATGCTTCTTCAAATTCATAATTATCACCACCTTGAGTCCATAAGAAATTAACAGGTTTATTTTTAAGTGATTTAGCAACTTCTAATAATTAATTAATATATTGATTTCTTTCTTATTTATTACTATCATAAATATGAGGTAGAAAAGCAATAATACATACACCTAAAATATATAATGAAAATACCATTATAATCAATACAAGATTCTTTTAAGATATCTTTTGATAATAATTCTAAAACTTCTACTTTTTTTGATTTATTAGATTATTCTAAAGCAAATTCTATCATAGCAGAAGAATCTCTAGCACCATCATAAGGAAGTGCTTCTGAATCATTAGAAAAACCAGCAGGGAAGAATTTTAATGTAGGATATCCTGAAACTCCAAAACGAGTAGCTAATTATGTATTAGCAGTTGCATCTATTTTAGCAACTTTAACTTTTCCTTTAAGTTCTGATCCTACTTTATTCCATTCTGGTTCAAGTTTTTTACAATGTCCACACCAAGGAGCATAAAATTCTATAAACCAAGAATCTTTTGATTTTAAAACATTTTCATCAAATGTTGAATCTGTAAGTACAATTACATCATCAGCTGATCCTGATCCAGAATTAGATCCAGAACCTGAAGATTATTTTTATTAATTTTTATTAGATGATCCACCTTTTTATCTACCATTAACAGTCTAAAAATAAATAGAAAATTAAATTACTGATTTGACTTATTCTAATGCAAAATTGATTATACCTTAGGCTGATCTTTCACCTTGGTAATCTTAAGGAGAACTTTTATTATCTCCAAAAAATTTGATAGTAGGGAATCCTTAAATACCATATTATCCTCCAAGGTCTTTATGAGCATCAGCATCTACAGCAGCAATATTGACAATTCCTTCTAATGTTTTGGCTGCTTTTTCATATTCAGGTGCAAGTGCTTTACAATGACCACACCATGGTGCAAAGAATTCAACTATCCAAAGAGATTTAGAATTTAACACTTTCTCTTTGAAAGTTTAAGGAGTAAGTAGCTATACTTTTGAACGTGAATCATAAAGAGCATAAGAAGTAGCCAACAATAGTGAAAGAAGACAAATAACTTTGTTCATTAAAATAATTAACACATCATTAATATTCTAGAATGTTTAGTAATAAAGTTTGGGTTTTAGAGAGTGATAATTTTATAAAAGGTATAATTACAGATACAAACGATTATATAAGTGAAGAAAATGGTCGTAAATTGAATGGATAAGTATGGGAAAGATGTGAAGATGTTTAAGCAGACATGGTCAATCTCGCAATAATTAATGATCCATAACTTTTATATAACTTAAGTGAGAGATATTAAAAAGATTAAATATTTACATATGTTGGACCTACTTTAATTGTTATCAATCCATTCAAAAGTCTTAATGTTAATCAACATGAATATGTAGATAAAATTATTAGAAAACGTCATAACTATAAATCTATTTAACCACACACATATGCTATAGCTGCATATGCATTTACTAAATTAACTGAAAAAACTTAAGCTATTGTTATATCTGGAGAAAGTGGAGCAGGTAAAACTGAAAATGCAAGATATTGTCTTAATCTATTAACAAGTGTTAATTCTGAAGAAACTGAATTATCTGATAAGATTATGGGATGTAATCCTATACTAGAAGCATTTGGTAATGCTAAAACTATTAGAAATAAAAATTCAAGTAGATTTGGTAAATATACAAGACTCTTTGTTAACTAAAAATAATAAATTATTGGTGGAGATATTGTTAATTATCTTTTAGAAAAAAGTAGAGTTGTTTCTCACTCTAAAACAGATAGAAATTTTCATATTTTTTATTTATTATTCGGAAATCCTAAATATTAAAGATAAAATTTCAATTATTTAGGTACAGATAATTATTTTAGTTAAAAGTTTTATGATGAATTAATGTAAGCCTTTTCTACTGTTAATATTGATGCTGATAATATCTTTTAAATTGTTTATTCTGTTTTATTAATTGGAGAATTATAATTTGATGATACTAATTATGGAAATACTTCTCCTTGTACTGTTAAAAATTAAGATCTTTTAAAATAAATTTGTTAATTGTTAGATTATGATTACTAAGATATTATTAAAGCTTTAACTTTTAAATAAGCTATTTATGGAAAAGAAAAGATTTTATCACCAATTAAACTATTTGATTGTTTAAGAATTAGAGATTCTTGGGCTAAAGAAATATATGAAAGATTATTTAGTTGGATCATTGAAAAACTTAATGAAACTTTAATTACTAAATAAGATAAAACAACATATATAGGATTATTAGATATTTATGGTTTTGAAGTTTTTGATAATTTTAATGGATTTGAATAAATGATGATTAATTATTCAAATGAAAGACTTCATTAATTATATATTGAATATGTTTTTAAAGAAGAAAAAAAAATATTTATAAAAGAAGGTCTTGAAAAATATGTTGATAGTATTAAATTTGAAGACAATACTTAATTAATTGATATGTTTGATAAACCTCCAGTTTGTTTCTTTAATCTTATTGATTAAGCTTGTAGATTAAATTAAACTGATTAATAATTATTACAATCTTTCAGAAAAGAACTTAAATTTCCTAATTCTTAAAAACCTAACTTTACCATTAAGCATACTGCTAAAGATGTAGAATATACATGTTAAGACTTTGTTGAAAAAAACTAAGATGAGATTCCTTAATTATTATTAGAATCTAAATGTAATAGTTAGATGGTTTAATTATAACCTAAACCAAAATCTATTGTTGTTAAGATCAAAAATGAAATGAAGAGTTTGATGACAGAATTATAATCTTGTGGAGTTCATTTTATTAGATGTATTAAACCTAATGATGAATTGATACCTAATAAATTAGATTTTAAATATGCCATGAAATAAATTAGATATTTGGGTATTTTAGATTCCTTAAAAGTAAGAAAAGAATCATTTCCTATTAGAGTGGATTTTTGGAGATTTTATTTAAAATATAGATTTATTTAAGAAGGTGGATTCTCGGATCCCTTAAATAAAGATTACAAAACATTAGATTTTAAAATGTTTTAAGAATAATTTAACCAAGTTTCTAAGGAATTATATTTATTTGGAAATACATAAATTTTCATATAAGAAATAGGAATGACATAAATTGATAAAATTTATACTTTATTGATGAAAGATAAAAATGACAAGGCCAGATTTATTTAATCTGCATTTCGAAGATGTTAATTAAGAGATAGATTTAAGAAATTTATGAGAATGATAAAAAGGGTTGCCAAATAAATAAAGAGAAAATTAAGGAAAATATAATTTAGAAAAAAAATGAAAGCAGCTACTCTTATTTAAAAATTCTTTTTTATGTATTTAGCGAGAAAGAAATAAAAATTATTTAGAAAGTAAATTGATTATTTAAAAAATGCAATTTTAAATAAAGTAATATAAGGAAGATTTCAGAAAAAAATAGATTGTATTAAGAAAATATAAAAGAATTTTCGAATTAGTAGAATTTAAAAAAGGATAATGTAATATTTAAGCATTAGACGAATATTAAATCTTGTAATTGAGAAATCTTGGGTATAAATAAGAAGTAAGGCTGCGATAATAATCTAAAAATATTATAGAGGTTATTATACTAGAAAAGCACATAACAAGGAAATAGAATAAATAAAAGAAGTTGGTAGAAAAATAAGGATGGAAAAGAGAATAAAAACAATATAAAGATGGTCTAGAGGATATATTGTAAGATTAAGATTAAGCAAAATGCATGAAGCAGCCTATTTAATATAAGGATATTTTAGAATGAAGCATTTAAGTTGCGTATTTTAGAGAATGAGATAGGCAGCTGTAATAATATAAAGAAGATTTAGAATGATATTACCTAGGAGAAGAGAATTAAAATAATAATATGATTAATATATTTAGCCATTAGAACAATAGTTGCAATAGTAAAAATTATTAGAAGAGACTGATTTATTTGGATTGAAAATGGGTTAAAAAACAGATTATGATTCAGCACTAATTTTAGGTATGGAATCATTAATATCTCCTAAAATATATTTATTTGCTTTTATAATTGATTTAGAAATAATTTCAGATACTTCTGATAGTTACAATGGATCATTTGCATCCAGCTATAAAGATTTATTTATATAAAGTTTTGAAAAAGAAAATCCTTTATAATTTATTTAGATAGGAGAAAATACAACAATAGGTGCATGTTCTAATAAATTATATGGTTGGGGTTTAAATGATATGAGTTAATTGGGTTTTACATAGGATGGTGAAAAACATACTCCAACTTAATTGAATTTTATGGGAAAGATAAAAAGTATATCTATGGGATAAAATCATTGTTTATTATAATAAAATGATAAAAAACTATTTGTTTGGGGAAGTGTTCATCATAAATATATTTAACATCCAAAGTTATTAAATGAAAATGTTGAATTTATTAAAGCTTATAGAAATAGAATTATGTATATATCAGAAGGTAAAGTTTATGATTAATTAAAATATATTTAAATGCCTGTGAAAATAAGTTCATTATCTTGTGGAAGTGTATTTACAATTTTGTTAAGTGAAAATGGAGCATTATATAGTTATGGTTAAAATGAAAAAGGTTAATTGGGTTTAGGAGATAATAAAGCAAGAGATTAAATTGAAAGATTGCCATTAAATGAAAAAATTATTGAGATAGAATGTGGATTTAAACATGTAATTGCTTTAAGTTCTTTAAAAAAAGTATTTGTTTGGGGATGTAATTAGTTTGGTTAATTGGGTACAGGAGATTTTTAGAATGTAAATAAACCTAAATAATTATAAATTTATGGAGATTAAGTGATGGCAGCAATGAAATGTTCTTGTGTACTCAATAAATAATTATATTGGTGTGGTACAAATGGTACTATTATTATGTAATGTCATTTCAAACCTTTCATTTAAAAATGTAATTATTTGAATCGGAAAGAGTATTAAATTGTTCGAGTACTTAGTTCTTATTCAAATAACATTTCTATTATATATTGTACTTATGCATGTTTGCGTGGATTATTTGATAATAATTTAGGAAAAGGGTTTTAAGTAATTAAATAATTAACAACTAATTGGGTATAGAGTGGAATCTGGACAATCGACCCACCCTATGTAGAAAGTTTGAGTAATTATATGTGTGAAAAACATCAAATGAAAAGTAATAAAACTGTTTCAAATGGAAACTAAAGTAATAATTAGAAAATAATGTAAAAGAAATAACAGTTACAATAAATTTAATCTTTACCATATGAAAAACTGCGTAAAATAGATTTGGATTTATATTTTTGAATTAACTATCATACTGCTATCTTTTTTTTATGTTATTTTAAATGGTCGAATGGAATATTTGGTTTTTATTGCTTTTTAATTAAGTTTATTAATTTTTATATTCCTTCTTAAACACCTTCACCAGTTTTTGCACTGCACATTTAAAATACAGTATCTTATTCTAAATATCCAAAAACTCCACATTCTTAGATCAAGACTTAATTATCAAGATGTAGTTTGTCTTGTTTTGTAAACATTATCAGAATTACTACCTATTTCAATCATTTTTATATACATTCAAGTATTCTAAATCTTTATTTAACTTTACAAATTGTTCTTTCACTTAATATAACTATTCTTTATTAGAAGAATCAATTATAAATATTAGACCATCAGTGTTTTCATAATAGTTGCTCCATAAACTTGGCACTTTTCCTCCAACATCAAATATCATGAATTCAGGATTGCTAAAATCCACATTCACACCTATTTATATTATAATTCCTAACCAACTGTTGGTTTTGTCTGCACAAATTTTCCTTATCTTATGTATTCAAATATTGCTGTCTTTCCACTACCTTCCAATCCTACAATAACTAATTTAAATTTCCGTTGATAAATCTCAACACTTCGAGAATTAACACATCCCATATTATTTTATATAAATTAAAATATTATTTCCTATATTTCACTAATAATTTATTTCCTATTATATATTTATTATTAGAGAGTATTTTAAATGATAATTTAACTTCTTAGCGCATAATCTCTGATATATTTCAAACAATCCTCTTTTTTAGGTAATTCTCAAATTTTTTAGACTATTTTCTTACAATTTGATATACATTTCTTCAAACTTATAGCATTTAATATATATTTAAAAAAAATTATGTAATAATATATTCGTTTAATCTTCAAGAAAATATTATTATCTTTTAGAAAAAATCAAATTATTTAAATATTTAAATTGTCCTTTTTTCATTATTTATCATTTTCCTAATTCTATGAACCAACAAATATTTTATTTACTTATATATAGATATTTTTAATTAATAAAATTTATGTTTTTAATGCAAATTACTAATTTTTTATAACTTATTATAAAAAGATGAATTATTCTTAATTTAGTAATTATAACGGATATGAATTCATATTAAAGAATAGAAATTTTTTATGAACAATTAAAACATCAAAATTGAGACTTGAAAATAATAATAATTTTTAAAAAGCAGCACACACCATTTTTAGACCAATTTATCAGACATTAAGTATTGGTTTTTTTCCTCAATTAACTAAAGTTATTATATCTTACAGCACTCAATAAAGTTTATTTCAGTAATCTTAATTTAACTCTAATTCAATCTTATATCAAATTTTCTAAGTTCTTTATATTAAATTAGCAATATCATTTCTGAACTCAATACTTACATTTTTCAAATTATTTACCTATATTTAAATTTATAATTAATTGTACCTTTTATTAATCTAAACAAAAAAATTAACAATTACAAATGAATATGATAATATTTTCGAAAAATTACAATTGATGTAAGATAAAATTTCTTTTAATTACTTTAAAAAATAATTAAAGGAGAGAGAAAGTGAGAATTATTTATAAGCTAGAATATTAATATGAATTAAAAATTGGAAGAAAACTGCATATCTAAATTGAAGAAAGTGATAAATAGAATGTGATAATTCTTGAGACTAAAAAGGTACTGATTAAATAAACAACATTTAAAAATAAAATCTACGCAGTGAATTATTAATATTATATTTATATAAATTAAATTATTAAAAATTAATGCAAAATGATACAATTTTATGTGATTTATAAAATAATTATAAAATAATATAAAAATTTCATTTTTGTTATATAAGAACATAAAAAATTAAATTGTTACAAAATAATGCAAAATGATACAATTTTATGTGATTTCTAAAATAATTATAAAACTAAGTTAAGATTTTCAATTTAAATATCTAATAATTAAATAAATTAAATTATTAAAAATTAATGAAAAATATACAATTTTATTTGATTTCTAAAATAATTATAAAATAATATAAAAATATCATTTCTGTTATATATAACAACATAAAAAATTAAATTGTTTAAAAATTAATGCATAATTATACAATTTTATTTGATTTCTAAAATAATTATAAAAACAAGTAAAGAATTCAATTTAAATATATAACAACATAAAAAATTAAATTGTTTAAAAATAATGTAAAATTATTCAAATTTTTTTGATTTTGATTTCTTGATTTATTATAAAATTAAGTAAAGATTCAGTTTTAGGTATTAAAAATCATAAAAAATATTAAATTGTTTTATTATGTAGTTTCCTGTCTGATTTATTAAACATCATAAGGGAATTATGGGATACAGAGCTTACATAATTTATGAATTTGCTGCTAGAATATCCGAGTTAGCATAAATAACATTTCAGATGATAATAGAAGGTGCAATTTTTGTTTTTATACTCCAATTAAATAATAACGACTTTGTAAATTAGCTGAAAGAAATTTATTCTTAGCAAATTTGCTATTAACCAGATAAAAAGATTTTTAGAAGTGTACAAATACCAATAGGCTAAACTTTAAATATAGGTATAAATAAATCTGGAATTTCTTCTCAATCATTTCATAAATAACTACACTACGCTTTAGGCTTAATATTATCATAAAAAAAAGAAATTTCTATTGAATTTAAATAATTTTTAGAATAGTTTTAATCATTATTTGAGATACAAAAATTGTAAGAAATGTATAAATCTGGATAGATGAAAAACTTATTTAGTTATTTGTGAAACACGAAAATGTAAAAACAACATAACAATATTAAAAAAATAGATATTAAAATAAAAGTCTAGATCTCAACATTTAGGATATAAATGTCAAACAAAACAAAAATTAAAAGAAATGAATAAAAGAAAATTTCTTTTTTTACTAGTATATATTTTTTGTTAAGACAATAAAATTGTTGTATTTTATTGACTAAATATTTTTGAAATACATTATTATATATATATTTAATTATATCTAATTAAATTTTGCTTCTGAAAACAGTTATATATAAAAAATTGAAATCTTTATGTAAATTTCTAATTTTTTTTAAAATCAAATAAAATTGAATAATTTTACATTATTTTAAAAAATTTTGTATTTATAGATAAA